TTCAATCAGCATGCCAACACCGTACCACAGGGTGTGTGGTCAGCACACTTCCCGGTGATGTGCGCACACATTATTTCCTAGAGTTGTGTGCTATTTCCAGCACCATTCCCAAATTGTGTGCTATTGCGGGGGGGGGCGACCATTTCTGATTTTACAGACTGCTGTTATACTAGGCCAGAAACACCTATGAATAATCTGTAGAGCATCAGTAAGCAATGCTGTGCAAGAAATGAGCCCCCTAAAGTGCAATTAGAATGCTCGGAGATGGTACCACCATCGTTGTATAAACCACAGACTTGGTGGTGCGCCCAGAGCATAACACCCAAAATACATGCACCGGTACAAATAACTATATTAGGTAAAATTTTTGAGTGGTAGAATTATACTTAAGGATGTGGTCCCAAGGGGGTGACCAAGGTGGTAAAGGACCGCAAGGGTCGAACGACCGCCCTCTGGTGATGCATGCAGGTAAGCATTTTTGTGTTGCTCGCCCGATCCTCGTCGTGATTCCGAAAGCCTGGTGTTCCTCCGCCCTCGCCTGGTGGCCTCCAGGCCTCCAGGAAAGAAGGAGCACGCGGCCGTATGTCCGGAGCACGGCTCGGCGTGTTACAGCTGGACTCTGCTAGAGTCTGTCGAGGAGGAATAATCAGACCTTAGCCCGCTCACGAGCAGAAAGACGTGCAGGACGTCTGTGCGGGGAGAGCGTTGCGGCTTTCAGGCTGTCGTGGTGCAGGAAGAGCCTGCTGATAACGTTGAACGACATAAAGTCATATACGGTGTATGGGGTCCTTGCAGGTCCCCCTAGCGCGGCACGGAACCGCATTCGCCAGAACACCGCGCCTGACGTGTTTCAATGATGCGATGTTGTAAGTGCTTAGGACAACAATACCGATAACAATATGACGTGTGCAAGCTATATGCTATATAGACAGCGTGGAGGAAATCGTGGATGCCAGGGGACAATAATCTATCCTGCCAGCCCCGTCCAGGGCATCTCCGAGGAAAGGGATATAGCAGCGTACGGCGTCGACACCGTAACAGAGCCCGTACTACGGACCCGAGGGTGGGATCTTTGACGTCTAGTCATAATCATAGCGATGACCGAGAGAGAGGGAGAAATCGTAACCGTCGAGGCGCGACCGAGTCGTGGTGATATAAACAAGGGAAGAGAAACGGAGATCGTGAAAGCACCTGAGCCGTGGCAGCGTCAGCTGGCTTGAGCGTTGGCTTCTTGCGACGCTGGACGGCCTAGTTCGACAGGTCCGAGGCGCGCTGGAGGTTATAACGACGGCGGTGCGATGCCGCGTTGACGTTCGTGCGCGAACGGCGCGAGTCCGCGCGCTTGACCTTGCAGGACGAGGACGAAGCGGTGGAGGAGGCCGACGGGGCGGCAACCTGCACGATGGCGGAGGCGGTCGCGTGCGGTTGTACGGACGAGTGGCCGTGGTGAACCGAGAACGTGTGGTGCGCGTGCGCAGACGAGACGTCCGAAGCGGCGATGGCCGTGGAAGAGGCGGAGCGCACAGTGGACGCGGACGCGGTGTGCGAAGAAGCAACGGAGGTGGGGTGGGCGGCAACCGAAGAAGCGGAGGTAGCGTCAGATGCGGCAATCGCAGTCGACGAGGCAGAAAGGACAGTGGAGGTGTGAGCGGAGGAGGAAGAGATACTGACGGAGGCGGACGCCGACGCCGATGAACCGCCGGAGAATCCCTTGATGGCCGGCGTCGCGAGGTTGGGGCACTGAGCACTAGCCGTGTAGGGCACGGGGTTGCAGCCCGGCAGGGAGGTCAAGGGGCCCTGGGTGTTCTCTTCTACAACCGGGGGCGTGGTGCAGGAGCCCGCCTTGGTCCGGTTGAGGGACGCGGTGAAGGGCGGGCAAGCTGAGAATGGGATGAGTCTCCCTGATTTGGATAGCAGTCACGATGTCTGAGACTTACACTCCAAGTCGCCGAAGAGGTTACCGGTGCATTGCTCGACGGCAGCCTCGAGAACGTCGGTGTCCCAGCCGTTGATGAAGTCGGCGTGGAATCCAAGACCTTCCTCATCGCCGTAGGAGAAGACTGCAAAATGGTCGCATTGGTACACATATTCAGCACCACACGATCGAGAAGGACCTACCCCAGTTCTTCTGGCCCGAAACACTGACATTACCAATGTGAATACGGGTCGGAAACAGTATAATCGTATCGAACTCACAAGTCGAACTTGCCAACATCGAACACCCACTCGTTGAAGAGAGTGATGAGCTTGATAGGGTGGGAGCTCGGGCAGTCGCCACTGTCTGGTGCGCCACCGATCGGGTACGACATATGCGACTTATGGTCGGCCGAGTCCAAGTTGACCCCATCCTGATCGAGCCATGTATTAATTCTCAAAATCTTGTATACTCAATACTGCCAATTGACTGACCCAGCAACTCGGGAAAACAATCTGAGCCCTCATGCCGTCCGGGCACTGGGTTGTGGGGAGCGTGTTCTGGTTACCGGTGGCGGGGGCATTGTAGTCCAAGCAGACGAAGCTGACGGCAAGATCCTCAACACTGGAAGCGTTGTACGTGGTGCGAGCCATGTTGCCGGCTAGCATGCGGAGACCCTTGGGGAAACCCTTGATGGTCTTCTGCGTGGGGCCATCGCGGTTGAGGTCTGTCGGATTGCAACTTAATCAGCTGCTATATTCAGGGATGGGAAGCAAATGGGCTCACAGTACGTCTGCACGAACGAGATCGGGATGAGAGTGTAGGTCTGTATCAATGATCAAGTAAGCATCCCAGCATTCCCAGCCATCCTGCGAAGCACTGACGTTGTTTTCCTGGTTGCGGTGGTACTGCATATTTGTTTAGTAGCTGCGCTGCTACGAAATGAATGAACTCACGAGCTGGGGAGCCCAGTAATTGCTGATGCACGTTGACTCGTCAGTCCCGTGTGGTTTTTCAAGCGTACCGCTCATCTCACCTCTTATCAGCTTGAACAGGGGAAGTTGTGCACTCGCTGCTCTGAAGCGAATCGTAGGTCGTGACTGGGCCGAAGTTGGAGGCACCGACGACGGTGTGTTCGTGCGTGGAGACTTTCCCGGAGGACAGGAGGGGATCCAGGCGGTCGTGTGTGAGGGATCCGTGAGACAGGATCCAGAATGCGTTGGTCAGCGTTGGGCCGACGAGGATGGCGGCGGCGGCGGCGCGAGCGAGGATGGTGAACATGGTGAAGGGGGAGAAAGGAATGGAGTATTGAAAGAACGTGAGGCTCGACACCGGAAACAACGAGGACGCGGGAACGCAGCACGGGCCGCAAGGAGAGGGAGGAAATGGGATGAAGAACGGCCCGCGAGGCGCACGGTCTTTATCTAGTTGAGGCGTTGATGCGGAGTTGAAAATGTCTCCGCGCAAGGAGTTGCATCAATCCTCCGGGCTTTCTCACTACCTGCCTGCGCTCCGAAGGTGGAAATGTCACCATGGTAAACAAAACGAGTTCACGATCTCGGTGCCTGGCCTGGCCATAATTTGCGCCAGACTCCCGCAGTCCGGTTTCATCTCGCCGCTCACCTCCCCCAAGACAGCATCGACGTATGCTCACTCGGGGATCTATATGTTGAGCTCTTCACAGCAATTGTTAATGCTGTCGCAGCCACATCCGTGTATAGGCATTCAGAGGTACTCAAGGCTCGAATTGAACATGCGTCACGCAGCAGCACGCAGCACGATCGAGCACCTGGGACGCGCCGAAAACGTCCTGGTGCATTTGCTTCCGACGGCGGGTGATGTTTTTGCCCTCCGGAAATAACCACAACATCACGTTCTCGCGCGGCATACTTGCGACCAGTTGATTCCCTGGTCCTTCCTCGGGCAACAATTGTTCGGCGGTCTCACAATCAGCGCTCGCGGGATGCCATCGACGTGCCCTTGCAGCGTTCAACATACGTTCAATGAACGCTCATGACATGCGCAGCGACTTTCCCCGAGATAACCCATTCATTTTGTACATTGTAGGTTCATTACGTACGCTCCATCTACATATTCGACACTATCGACATACCAAGATATGTCGCACTGACAGGCACCGTAAGACATCAAAGTCGACTTGAAACGAACCGCGAACAGTATTCCCCACCAAGTCATGTTCCCGGCCGTTCACAGTTGTACATAGTACACCCCTAGCGTGAAGATAGGCCGGTGTGTGCCTCGATAAGTATGGGACCACGGTCGAAGCTGAATGAATGGTTATATAGCTTCGGCCGTAGTGACAATATACTTACCAGTGTCGATTAATGTCCGCTATAGCACCACTCGTTCATCTTGATAGATGGCCCATAGGTAGTCTCTCCGGGTCTTTCGAGGCGTCCTATCAAAGCTGTTGCATTGTGGCTACAACGTCACAGCAAGAATGGAATATAACAGATAACAGTAAAACGATGAAGTTGTGGAACAAGGCTATCGATGATATTGAGACGTCACGGTGTCCTACGGGATGCGACAATTACAACATAATTGATGCAGGTATACAAGCGCAGAGAAGAGATGGTGGGCACAGACAAGCCGAAATAACGGCAGAAGGGCCAGAATATACAAGGTTCGGCGGAGGTACAATGACGAAACCGAGGTACGGGTAGATCATCCTGGCCAAGTCGAAGGCTTGCAGAGTCCAGAGAGAGGCGGTCATCAAACGCTCAATGCGCCCTGAGTCGTGCGCACTTACACCTTTAGAGGCCCATTAATCCGCCCCCAGAAGAACCAGGTCCATATCGAGGATCCCGATGATTGGCCCTAGAAAGAGCCTTCCGGGTACATTTGCATACCTTCGGCTTGTCCTTCCGGTATTTCTCAAAGCATCGATGACACCGAAGCTCGTCAGACCCAGAACTGCCGTATCCATGGTCTTCTTGGGTGGAACTGTCATACGGCTTCGAAGGAATGAGCACGGGAGAGGTACGCCTCCCGGGACTCGGGGAGTTGGGACCCGGGTGATGCTGCCATCCGCTGGGGCTGGGTTGGTCCTGAAGCCAATCACGTATACCGCGATTGGGAGACTGCGAGAGCTGGACCATGGCGTGTGGAGACGCATGTGCATTCAAAATAAAGGGTGGACGGTTCGGTAGGGCTGGCTCTGGCTGAGTAACTGGAAGCAACGAGTAATCGCCGTCCGAAAAAAGCGGCTCTGAAAAGCTCTTGTCTCCCGGGGATCGAGAGGGCTCCCGAGGAGCATAGCCGGGCGGATAAGGATTATATCTGATGGGCGTCATAGGGGTGACCGCGTTTGAGTAACCGGGTAACAAAGGGGACACCGGAACTAGTGATGGCGACTGTGTAATGGGCACGTTGGTCGTCGGCGCGTAAGGATGGTCTTGATTGGCCTGAATGAGGTGAGCAGAGTTGGAGTTCCCCCATCCTCTCCTTTGAGATCGCTGGTTTCTCCGTGGGTGCATGTATCTGTGGTGTCGGGTTATGAGGAGAGGTGAAGGGGGTGCGTGCGTGCAGAAAAGGCGACGGGAGAGATTTTATATTGCCAGAGAAGCTATCCAACACGGCACCGACATTTCCGTAGAGCATTGGCACAGTATCGCAAAGTGATATATCGAAGGGCTCCCGGCGACACCTGAGTCAACGTACCAAAACGTCGGGCACTCTCGAGGATCCAGTTAGGCCAGCAGGCTGCGTATATACATCCGATCTGTGACTTGCGCATGCTGTCGCAGCTCGTATGTAACACCAGACCCTGCCAGTGGTGCGATGGCAAGTCGGATACGGGAACGGAAGCAGGACTCCAGGCCCGGGGGGACATAGTTTACAAAACGGCGCGGTTGAGTGAGAGAGCCGTCTGATAAGAGATCAGCGGGACTGCTGTCTTGTGCTTGTGACCATATAAGCGTTGCTGTGGAAAAAGACGGTAAGCACAAGGTTGCCTGTTTGGGTACAAAGGAGCCCTGATGCTCATTCGGCAATGCTGCAAGCATGCTGGGGCGACCTTTCTGCTACTGACTGATCATTGTCCACCACGCTTCCATATCGATGGTCGGTCCTTTGCACATGCTACATCCTTGATATGGGGTACACTATACAGCACCGTGACTGCAGACTGACGGATCTTAGGCGATTGTGCACTCAGATCGCGATGAGGGCTTATTGAGTCTCGTCAAGTTTTACGTCTGGAGAAGAAACTAAGCTCGGTCCCAGGACAGGGTGATGCAGCCGGGACATACTATCATCGAAACGTAGCCTCCCCCAACTCAGAGGAGGCCAGGGAGAAGTCGGCGTGCACTGCCACAATGGAAGTTCCTCGGGTTTCGCTGTCGCCACGTGAGGTTTGTACTTATTCGAACCGTATCGTGTCACGGGCAAGGCTGGCCCGGGAATGTCGGAGACGAGATGGGCGAGTAGAGTAGCAGTAACGAGTATATAGCAGAAGGAATACAGTGAGCGTTGGCCGTGGACTGGCGTTGTCGAGACAAGGAGCGAACGCGTGGCTCTGCGTTGCTTAGTCCATACGAAGAAAGGGGCAATGCCCCGAAAGGTACAAAGGCTCGGGTGCATCAAAAACCTCCCAAATGGTGAGGAAAAGCTACCGGCCGTCTACGTTACGTGCATGTATCCTTGTCCATCACAGTATCCCCCTTCTAGCGCGAGCGACACCTGGCGCGAGTAAGTTGGGATCTTGCTATAGGTTGAGGCGGGTCGGTGGCTTGGACACCCGACCGGCGCGCGTCGTGGTTGAGGTAGGCGGTTGATAGTTTGTGCGAAGAGAAACGTAAGGTTCGGGCGGCGGCGACGCGGGGCGTGGTGCGGCTGGAGGCACTTGAGGACGCGGAGCAGGCGGCTCGGACACGTCGGCCTGCGGTTCGGGTGAAGGAGCTGAGTCGGGAACGGAAACATCAGCGTTAGAAGGCGCAGTGGGATCAAAGACTGGCCCGGGTTCGACCCTGTCCAGCACCAGGCGGTGTGGACGGGGCGCTCTTGGGTGACGACGGTGAAAACGCTCGATGAGCTCGTTCGCCGTCGTCGGGAGGTCCGAGAGCGCGATCCAGGCGCTCTCCGATGCGTCTTGGTCCTTGAACCGCACGAAGTACTCGTAGCGGTGACCGATCTTGCGCGCGTCGACGATTTCGGCAACCTGAGTCGCCGGGTCGGACTCAGGGTCGAGCTCGAAGGGCTCGGGCGACGCGTGAGGGTGGAAGTCCGAAGGGTCGGTGTACGGCTCGAGGAGCGAGACGTGGAACACAGGGTGTAAGCGCGAGAGGTAGGACGGGAGACGGAGTTGGTACGACGACTCGCCGCATTTTCGAACCACCGGGTAAGGACCGAGGCGGCGGTGGTCGAGTTTGTTCGATGGGCGAGAGGTTTTGATGTTGCGTCGAAGGAGCCAAACGAGCTGGCCCTCCTTGAGCTCGGGCGCAGGCAAGACGTGGCGATTAAAAGCACGCTTTTGAGCGTCTTGCGCGTGCTGAAGCTCCGCACGGAGTTCGGCGTGGATTTGATCGAGGCGGGAAGCGAGATCCGACGCCGCAGGCACGGTAGAGCGCTCCGTGATGCGCGGTTCAAAGGTTGGGTGGAAACCTGTAAGCGCAAAGAATGGCGTCTGCTTGGTGGACGCATTCTCGAGGTTGTTGAACGCAAACTCGGCGACGGGAAGGTAATCTACCCAGTCGTCCTGCTGATAAGAGCAGTACGCCCGGAGATATGCCTCCAGAGTTTGGTTCGTGCGCTCGGTAAGGCCGTCGGTACGGGGGTGATAGGCCGTGGAGGTGCGAACATCGATCTGTAAAAGTGCCATGAGCTCTGACCAGAAGCGAGAGACAAAGATGCTTCCCCGGTCAGAGATGATCGAGTCTGGAAGGCCATGGTACCGGAAGATCCGGTCGAGGAAGAGCCACGCAAGCTCGGCTGCGGACATAGACTCCTTGCACGGGATGAAATGCGCCGCTCGGGAGAGCCGGTCACAAACCACCCAGATAGAGTCATAGCCATGCGAGAGCGGCAATTTGACGATGAAGTCCATAGAAATCGAGCGCCAGGGGCGACTCGGAATCTCTAAGGGTTGGAGAAGGCCATACGGCTTGTGGCGGACAGCCTTTGTACGTGCGCAAGTGTCGCAGGCAGCGACATATCGGCGGATGAACGTGAGCATGCCGGGCCAAGCATAATCACGCTGCACGAGTGATGTAGTGCGTGCGCGACCAGGGTGGCCTGCGAGGAGCGAGTCATGCCGTGAGTGGAGGATTTCCGTTCGCAGTGGACGAGGAACAAAAAGACGTCCCTTGTAGAAGACCATCCCCGCTTGCGCGGAGAAGTCTTCGCTGCCACTTGCGATGGCCTCTCGCCATTCGGTATCCTCTTGGAAGGCGTCTTGAAAACGCTTGAGCAGTTCCGAAGAGTCGACGGCGAGTGTGGTGAGTGCGGAATGCGATGGCGCTGAGTGGAAAGGGATCGTGGAGGAGGAGTCGACGCCGGTGGCGAACAAGCGTTCCGTGTGGGTGTTGGTGAGCACCTGACGCGCCATCGTGTTCCGGACATCATCCCCCTCTTGAGGCGCGAAGTCGGGACGACGAGAGGGTCCGTCTGCGACGTTCTTGAGGCCAGGACCCCAATCGAGGCGAAAGTCGAACTCTGCGATGAAAAGAGACCAGCGCGCCTGCCGGCGGTTAAGAATCCGAGTAGTCATGAAATACTCAAGATTTTTATGGTCCGAGATGACCGAAATGGGCTGCGCGGTGCCAAGGAGCCATGCGCGCATGTCGCGAAAGGAGTCGACGATGGCGAGGAGTTCTTTATCGTGGACATCGTAGTTGATTTCCGCAGGCGTGAACTTGCGTGAGTAAAATGCGACCGGGTGCAAGAGACCGTCGTCGTCGGGCTGCTGAAGGACGCCAGATAGAGCGAAGTCCGAGGCATCCGTGGCGAGCGTGCAGGGTCGAGACGTGTCGTAGTGTCTTAGTACCGGGTACGACGAGAGTGCACGCTTGAGCGCGCTAAAGGATTGTCGCGCGCGCTCTGTGAACGAAAACTGCGCGGCCTTGACGGCTTTACGCGTCAGCTCATTAAGCGGAAGAGCGAGCTGGGCGTAGCGATGAACAAATCGCCGGTAAAAATTGGCGAAACCGAGGAACGACTGGACGTCGCGCACGGAGCGAGGCTCCGGCCAGTCGATAACTGTTTCGAGTTTCTTCGGCGACATTTTGATGCCGTCGGCGCCGAGGACGAAGCCGAGGTAGTCCACCTCTGAGCGGTCGAAGACGCATTTCTTCGCGTTAGCAAACAAACGTGCCTCCTTGAGGCGGTCGAGGACCTTCTTGACGTGCTCGTCATGTTCCTCCTGTGAACGAGAGAAAATGAGAATATCGTCAAGATAGACCACACAGAATACGTCGAGATAGTCGCGGAGTGTATCCTGGATGAAGGCCTGGAACGTGGACGGGGCGTTCGTTAGCCCGAAGGGCATCACAAGCGTCTCGTAGAGACCGAGTGGCGTGCGGAACGCCGTCTTCCATTCATCGCCCTCCTTGATGCGGACGAGGTTGAAGGCGTTCTTGAGGTCAATGACGGAGAAGACCTTGCAGCCTTGCGTCCGGTCGAGGAGATCGTCGATGAGCGGGAGTGGGTAGCGGTTCTTCTTCGTCATCGCGTTGAGGCCACGGTAATCGACGCAGAGCCGAAGTTCCCCTGACTTCTTCTTAACGAAGAGAATCGGCGCGGCGGCGGACGAAGTTGAACGCCGGATGAACCCCTTGCGGAGGTTCTCGTCGAGGAACGTGGCGAGTGCTGCGCGCTCGTCTTGCGACAAGCGATACAGCGGGCCGAACGGCGGGTCCTTGCCGTCCTCAAGGTCGATGGCGAGGTCATAAGGGCGATGTGGCGGAAGCTCGTCGACCTTGACGTCGGAGAAAACCGTAGATGCCCAGGGCATGTACTTGGGTGGAAGCCCTTCCACACCTGAGGCATCGTCGTCGTCGTCGGGACCGAGATCCGTGAGCGTGGAAGTGTTGGGCGCCGTAGATCCGACCGAGCGAATAATAAAAGCCGGTGAATCAGTGGGCAAAAAGCGAATAACCGAGACCTGCTCGGAGCGTGAACACTTAGCAAAGCGCTGTGGACTCAAGAATTTGATGTCCGGTGTCCGTTCGAGGGGCGATCCGCGGTAGGAGCGACCGAAGCCGGTCCAACCCGGGAGGGACGAGAAGTACGATGGCGTGGGGTCCGGCGTAGGCGTAGGCGGAGCCGTGCGCGCCGAAGGATGTTCGGGACGCGCATCCGAGGGCGGTGTGGTGGACAGAGAGTCGCGGGCGGAGACAAGGGATTGTCGGTGAAGACCGAAGCCTAGGCCGACCGATGTCGGGGCGATGACGTTGACCGAGGCGGTAACGCGGTCGAGCGTAAGACCGAAGCCTTGCGCGCGGGCGTGGACGGGAGTCGAGCGCTGGAGATTGCAGCAGTCGAGGGTGAGCTCCATGTCAACCCAGTCAATCCGGGGATTATGGCGGCGAAGCCAGTCAAGCCCTAGGATCACTGGGTAGCCAACAGAAACGACACCGAGAGAGAAAAACTCAGCATGTTTGTTGACGAGGATTTGAGCATGAACATCGTGCGTGACGAGGCCGGAGGCGATAGGGTGATCATCGACCGCGGTAATAGGGACTGGCACGTCTTTTAAGACGCGCGGAAGTGAATGCCTGTCCGCGAAACGGTGAGAGATGCAGGACCGATTCGCGCCGGAATCAATTAAAGCGAAGGTTTTTATGGGTTTTCTGTTTGGGAACGAGAGAGTGATGTTGATAAAGAAATGGTCCGGGGAATTAAGATATGTTGAAGCCGAGAAACGATAGACAGCGGGGAGCACAGGACGGGGTATCCAAGAACCGTCGGTGAGACGGGAATGTCGGGACTCAGCTTTTAGTGGCCGGTGGGTCCTATCACCGGCCGAGAGCCCCGCTTTCGAAGGACCGTCTAGGCCTTTCCCGCCTTAGCGGGTCCGGCCTGACGAGCAGCATCGCGCTTCTTCGCGGCGTCCGACTTATTTGGGCAGTCGTTCGCGTAGTGGCCCGAACCTCCGCAATACGTGCAGAGGCCGGCGGCGATGCGGCGGTTGCGTTCGTCCGCCGTGAGCTTGCCGCGAGGACGCGCGGAGTGGCGCACGGCGTCAATTTGCATGGCGTTTGGGTCTGCCGGTGCGACATAGGCGGTGATGGCGGGGGCTGGGGTCGACGTCGAAGGGCGGGGAGCCGACGAGGAGGACGAGGGTGTCTTCTTCTCGCTCTCGAAGTCGAGCTTGTACTCGTGCATCTCGTTGTCGAACTCGATGGCGATTTCGGCGTACGCGTCGAGAGTCATCGGCTTCGGTCTGACCGTGATCATCTTCTCGCGGACCGCGGGCTTGAGGCGCGACTTGTACTCCTCGATCTTCGTCGCCTCGGTGAAATCTAAATAGACGAGTAGTTCTTTGAAACGCGCGGTATACGTAGAACACGCGCCATTTTGGCGGAGAGCGCGAAGCTTTCGCAACGCGCTCGCCGCCGCGTTGGGTTCCCCGAAATGACTCTTGAATGCGTCGATCAGGTCCCCCCAGCTGTTGAGGAGCGCCGGATTTTGAGTCTTCACCGAGAACCACCAAGACTTGGGGTTCCCGTCGCCGAGGTAGCCGGAGAACCAGATCGCTCGGGCATAGTCCGTCGTGATCGTGTTTTGCTCGTGGAACAAGCCGTTCTCGACCTCGTCGAGGAAGAGTTTGACCTGCTCGACTTTGCCGTTGAATTTGCGAGGCGGCTCGTACTTTGGCGGGCGTGTGGAGGTGGCGGCGTGGACAGCTGGTGCGGGAGCAGGTGCGGGAGCAGGTGCGGGAGCAGGAGCAGGGGCGGCGTTGAGTCGAGCGATGACCTGGTCGAAGGCGTGCGCCGTGCGGTCCTGGTTCTGGCTGAGAGCGTAGATCGCCTGCCAGAGGGCGTGTCGCTCGGCCGCGGGGTCCTGGGGAGGCTGCGGCGGGTTGGGCTGGGGCGGCGGTTGGGGTTGCTGTTGAGGCGGGGCGTGGTCGACGCCGTCCCAGTCGGCGGTGCCGGCGGCGGGAGGCTGTTGTCCCCATTCGCCAAAGCCGGTGCCATCGGGCACAAATCCTTCCATTTCGAGCGAGAAGGCGGTGGGTGAGAAGCGAGGTGTGGGAGCGAGGGGAGAGGGAGCGGGGGAAGAACGACCCAAAAAGGGGCGAAAAGCAAGTAAGGCGGTCTCGACAAACTGTCACGGGCAAGGCTGGCCCGGGAATGTCGGAGACGAGATGGGCGAGTAGAGTAGCAGTAACGAGTATATAGCAGAAGGAATACAGTGAGCGTTGGCCGTGGACTGGCGTTGTCGAGACAAGGAGCGAACGCGTGGCTCTGCGTTGCTTAGTCCATACGAAGAAAGGGGCAATGCCCCGAAAGGTACAAAGGCTCGGGTGCATCAAAAACCTCCCAAATGGTGAGGAAAAGCTACCGGCCGTCTACGTTACGTGCATGTATCCTTGTCCATCACATATCGGAAGAAGACTCAGAGGGAAGCACAAGGAGGCAAGTACTTATGTTATCACGACTTTCAAGTGGTTGGCGGACGAAATCTATTTGAATCCAGAGGTGTCGAGCGTAAGTATGTTACATCGGACTCAAAGCTGCACCCCACAAAAAGTGATCTGCTTAACCTACGTAGACACGAACTATAGAGACGCAGATATCGATACACGGGTCGAGTACGATAGAACCTCAGGTGAGGGGCTTTCTAATCATCAGACAGAATTAAATGTCGATAGGCGCCGACTGCGGCACAGGCGGAAAGACTGGTAACCACGACCAGGTGTCGATCAAATGACATGTTATTACAAGCGGAGATGGCTAGGCAAAGGTTGACTACGTCAACCTGCGAGACTAATTGATAATAGCAGTGAGGCAATGTATGCTTCGCGAGGGTCCAATATTGAGGTGGGTGTGTCACGTTATACAGAACGTCAAGGATGCGCCGTCTGAGTCGGAGATACGGAACAAATGGTCTAGTGACAATTACCCAATCTAAAGGCGATCTGGACAGAAGAGTCAGTACCAAGGCTCTCATGGTATTCACGTCTACGCGCCTGCGCATTCATAACCCTGTCCATCTACCATCGGGAGCACCAGGTCCTCGGTGGTGATTCTGCCTGTTGACCCTCCGAGTCGGCTCCCGAGTAGTACACTCACATCTCTTCGACCCGTCCTTCCGGCATTTCTTACCACACATAGCGCACCGAAGCTCGTCGACCCTATGGCCATCGTAGGAATGACCTCCGTGATCAAGCTGCTGCCGACCGTCAGACAGCCTCGAAACAACATTCACGCGCTGATTCTCCCGCTCGTGTCGGTTCATAGGACGGTTCGGTTTCGCGGAGGGTATTGGCGGCAGTTCCAGTAGCCAAGCTCGTATCCTAGAGAAGACTGTCGACGTGGGCTGGACCGCGGGTGGCGACCCTTGCGCCTGCTGAGCGTACGATGTCCTACTCCGCAAGGGGACGCCGTTGTGTGAGGATGTGATCTCTCTTCGTGGTTCAGAGGGCGCCGGAACAGCAGGATAACGCCGAGAAGAACAACATCTTCCGTGAGTTATGCGCGTTACCGAGTTGGATGGCGCTGGTAAGGTGTGCGCTGGGGCACAGGGCACCCGAGCAACAGGATAAGGCTGGTAAGGGTTAGGTCTTCTGGGGATCGTGCGAGTAACGAGCATGGATGGGATGGGTAGAGGGTGCACTGGGGCTTGCAACGCCGGATGGGCGTCGGGCACGTTGGCGCGAGATTGCCTCGCATTTTCCGCGGCGATAGCGAGACGAAGATTGCGTTGCCAACGTGGTTCATACTTCCTGTCGGGTTCTTGATTGTCCGAATTCATTGCTCGGTAGCGTTGCGTGGGTGAAATAGGCGGGGGAAGGGGGTGGAATGGTGCACGTAGGAGACGTGGAGGTCATTATATGCTGACAGAGGAGCTATACCTAGCATCGTCAAGCAATAATAGCGTAGCATGTCTACGTTGGTGTCACGGTACCGAAACGTCGAGTCATCTCCAGGCTACAGCAAGGTCGTTTGGTCGTATGCGTGCAACAGGCATGCAGTCGAAGAAGCCGTGTCGTCCTAGCAGCCCGAGTTAGCACCAGAGCCCTGATCAAACAGCAGATTGTGCATGACGACCGAAGCAGTCGTCTCAAGAGGCAAGGGACACATAATGGTGCTGCTGAGCTGAAGAGCCCGTGAGAAGGGGGAAGAACTGCTTTCTTGCTCTTATGAACGTAAGCAGGAGCTGTGCACGAAGCCAACAAGCACGACGTTACCTGTTGGAGCACAATGAGCCCTCCACTCGTCGGCAGTGCAGAAAGCATGTTGGACGAGCCTTTTGTGTCCGTAATTGATAAAGCACGGCATGCTGCTATATGAGTGCTCGATCCTGGGTAGAGGTGCACACGTTAAGCGACACGTCCTGGTATATCATTGTTCGCGGTGGCAACAAAGCAGAGGCTTGCAGGCGGACCATGCGGTCGAATAGCGGTGCTAGGTGTGCTCAGATACTGCTAGAGATCCGATTGAACGCCAAAACTGCCCACGAAGCCAAAAATTGAAGATGAAGAACTGGAGAGGAGCTCTACAACAACAGCGCGTTTACGCCACGTGGAGTGCAAGTTGTCTTGAAATACACCCAGCCACGGTGCTCAGGGATACCCTTGCTGCGTATATTTATGGTCGAGCAAGTGGGTTGCCAAGCTGTTCAGTTGTTGGGAACGACTTACAGGGGAGCAGAGAAATTCCGGAGGTAGTGCGGCGGCGGTCGAGGCATTTATGCGCGCCTTACCACGCCCCAAGTCAGACTTTTAGATATCCTCGGAGACCTCATGCCTGGCAAAACGATATGATAAGCATCGAGGGTTACTATACAGTCATGTGCTGATACAGGGGAAGAGTGCGGTGGAGGAAACTGTCTGATGAGAGAGGAACAGGATACACATGTACAGCCGTCCCACCGCTTTAGGTCCTGGGCATCGACTGCGGACGGTGTGAGCCGGTAGAGGGCCATCCACGACCATACGGTGTTGGTCGGACAATATCGTAGTTCAAGCGGCTATATGCAGGTGAAGGCTGATTATCATGGTGAATCTGGATTTGTACTGCATTGCGAAGGACGAAGAACGTACCTCCCGTATGACGGGACCGAGGTCGCTCAAGGTGGACGTCGAGGATGAACGTCGTTTATGAGAATCCAAATGGTTGGGATTGCACTCCTTCATGTCTGGGCCTTGGTATGTCGCTGATACGGCGCGCCGCCGTCGCTTCACCAGGCATATTGCGGTAACGAGTCCAGCTATCACAGAGGCTATAGATGTGTGAACACTAGAGGATGAGGAGAGGGGGACGATCAATGCGCACCTAAGGCTACACCCAGGCCGATCTCCCATTTTTCGCCGAACGCGTCGTCGTCGGGTTGCGCTGCCGGGGCAGCGTATACGGACAGAACAAGGGACAACAAGAACAAGACCAGTAATGACATCTCCGTGGCTGATTAGATTGCTACTTGATCAGGGCGACCTTGACGGCCTGCAAGCGCAAGCCGCTGGGGAGTTGACGATGGAGGAAAGAAAACAAAGGCGAGGCGCAAGCAGATATATAAAACCCAGTGTCTTGTTCACCCCGTCCAAGAAGACCTTGGCAGTCCTTCTCGTCTATGCCAGGAGCGCCAAGCCGACGAGGATGCCAAGCCATCCATGGCGCTGCCGTTCTGCCGAACTGCCGTTCACGCCAGCATCGTACTTATCAGCGTCTAGCTATAGCGATGAACTTACTTGCCCAGCTTGCGCACAATAAGGCTAGCGTCCCTTGGTAATAGGTATTTTGAAGGCATTGCCCTGGGCGTCTGTGTTGTGCGACGACGGCGTGCGTTTGACCTGCGGCGGAGGACGCTTCGTGTCACTCATGAAGCCTCTAACGTTTGGGATGGGCTCCAAAGGGGGGGCTTGCTTTTGACGTCGTACGCGGTTCACTGAATGGTCGGAAGACGAGAGTGAAATGATTCTTGGCATGCCTGCGCCATTTAGGTCCACACGCGCAGCGACACCGGCCGGCCGTTCCTGTTTAGGGACCAGGTGCCGTTAATCTTGGTACCGGAATGACGGCTGCGACATGGCCGTTCAGGAATCAGGGCCATACGCAAGCATAATCATTCCGAGAATGCAGCAGAACAGCCGAATGTTGGCCCAATGTCTAATAAAGGCTGTAACAGTGTATTTGCAGCACAGGCACAGTGGAGTGGGACTTATGTTTTGGCGGGGCTCCCCGCGGACATCTTTGCCTACTGCGGAGAACTTTTACCACCTTGCAAACACACTCTGATGCATAGATAACTCCGAGCTCCGAGTGAAGATTACAGAAGACGTGTATAGACGAGCGGAAGGAATGACGTGCACCGGACCGTCGTCAAGTGGTCCGTTTGGTGTTTGACTCCTCTGGCTTGTCCACGCCCATAAACGCAAAATCGTCCGAGCCAACAGATTCAGAACCGTCACCGGCTGACGCAGTATCACTGGCAAAGGTCCAGCTTCCACCGGTAGGTGTGAGCTCTCCGTCTTCGGGAGCGGCCTGGAAATCGCCGAAGTCGCCGAAGCTATCGAAGGAGGTTGCATCCTCGATTTGTGCGGACAGTGTGCTAGGATAGCTGAACGGATCCGAGCCACTTGCAGCAGCAGAGTCTGAGAAAGGCCCGAAGGTGTCGTCCTGGTATCGCAGTGTGCAGTGTGAACTAGCGTGCAATGTCTGAAGCAGAGGTACATACGTCGTCTGCGCTGAACGGATCGTCAAAACTTGAAGCGGTCGTGGTTGCGCCGAACGTATCCTGATTTGACGTAGTCAGAAGACCTCCTGCGAGAGGTCCTGTCAATGTATACTCACATCAAACCCGCTGGGTGTACGTCTCTCGGCATTCTGCCGAGCTGGTGGAGGTCCGAGGTCGAAGTGTGAGCGTGCTAGCCAACCTCCGTCGCCGTCCTCATCATCCTCGTCTGATGCGTCCGACGACGACTCGTATTGATGTGACGACTGTATTTCCGAAGCCAAATAGCGAGCAAACTAACCGGAGTATCAGCCGCTGCAGCAGCCATGCGACAATGTTAACTTGCCTGGGCAGATCCCGCGCCGTCTTCATCTTCTCCTTCTTCGTCCATGGGGGCAACACCGAAGTCGGCACTGTTTTCTCTCGTGGGACGGGTACTCGTCGCCCTTCTGAACTCTCCCATTGTACCAGCCTCCGTAGAACTGCTCGCGCCACTGCTACCGCCAGCGCTTTCAGCCTCGTCTACTGTCCATCTTTCACCAGGACGGCCTGGCCCAGACGCTATGACCGGCTTGCCTCCACCCAAAAGGCTGGTATCCCTCTGCTTTGTCTCGTTGAACCTGCCAGTAACGTATTCTTCCCAATCGGGCTTCGGGGCGAACTGTTCAATCGTGAGCCGTAAGTCCGCTGGATAGTGCTCCAGCGCGCTAATAACGTCCTCGGCAAGTAATGTCAGATGTCCCATATAACCTAGCCGCAGGCCCTTCGGTTTTGCACTGCGACGATTGTAAGTGATGTTCCTTCACGTGGTAAGAGGAATTTACCTTTCTTCGTCATTACGCTTCTGCCCTTCTACGATGCGATGCATTAACCGTGCATCTCGGAAAAGCGAGATGGTTAGGTCTCGGTTTCCACCCGAGTCTAAACGGCCGATGAGAACTTGGTGAACAGTATCATAGACAACCGTGTGCGCAAAGTTGTTCCAAGGAAATTCGAAGAATAGGTCCTGTATTTCGATAAGTAAACAGTCGGATGGTTGACTGAAGCACCTACTAGAAGAGTCGAAAGTACGTCGACTTCCAAGAACCTCCGCTTGAGTTTCTCACCGACGCTGACGTAGCCTGTCTTGGACAGACTAGTGGTACTGTCACGCAAAGTGCGCCGTGAGCCACGCCGTGACCGGAGTAAGTGTGGCCGCGGGGTGTCGGACAGCGAGCCGACGGGACTCGCAGAGTTCTGGCGCATGTGGGGTGCACCCTCCGACGGAGAACTGCTCGGCGATTGGGATGGAGACGGCGATGGCGATGGCGTCCTTGCAGGTACACCCTGAGCCAATGATAGAGCCGAGGTTGAGTTACTCGACGGTCCGGCTTCATCATACATGGCTATCTCTTCCATAGCGTCATCGTCAGAGCTCCCGGGCTCGCTGCCGCTCATGTCTTCATCCGAGTCCATGCCAGCAGATATCATCCGTGGAGCACCAGACACAGGGAATTCTGCTGCAGGCTCCATCTCATCTTCATCATCATCAGCGGCTTCCTCACCTCCCCCCTCCCCGGAGCCCATGGCTATGACTTGAGCCAGTTCCTCGAGGGCTGATAAACCTCCCTGAAGGCGGCCATCCGCATCATATAAATGGGCATATTGCGGGGGTCGATTGAGTATTGCCATGTTAGAGCAATGTAGCAGTTCAGCGTAGAGTTCGCAAATGCGGAAGCGTTCAAAGGTGAAGGGGACAATGGGGCCGACAGTCGTGAGCATGGTGCCCTTCTGTGACAGAATTAGTAAGGGCAAGAGAAAACGGCACCGAAACTCACCGAAGACCTCGGATTGCGTAGCAAACGTTGAAATTTCTCTAAATGCTCCGAGATGATCTCCAGAACTGCTCCCAGGTGCACGACACCCATCCGGTCCACCATTTCCTTCATGGCTTGTTCGAGTGCGTCACGATCTTCACCAGACTGCATGGCTTGTTGTTGCTGGATCTGAATCAACCTGTTGCGAAGGGTATGGAACAGGTAGGGCTCGAAGTAGTCGGAGTTGTTCTTGCGGATCAATTCAATGAGGACAGATATCGAATTCACCACAGATGAAGTTGAGGATTCGAGATTGGGACGTCCAGGACTAGGAGGCTCAGAATCTGCGCTGTCACCCGGGATCTCTGATCCTTCCGAACTGAAATCATGGAGGATGTATTCCACGAGCTTGCTGACGCTGTCTCGACGTGCAAGCTCCCGTGCGAAACGGTTTGAGGCCGGTCCGTTCTGCAGGCCTTCTCCGAGTCCAGCAGCTGGGGAAGGGGAAGCGATGGAGATGATGCCCTTGATGAGCTCCGCAACGACGGTGTGCATGTCGGAGCTGTGCTCGGGGGAAAGAAGAGCAATGAGGCGACCCATGAGGCTCTCTTGCGACAACCACTGGAGGCCATCGGATGAGAGGAGCAGTGCTCTGCAACAACACTGCGACATACTTCTAGTACCCCCGCGCCTGCTGGATGCTCGTCAAGTTGTATAATCCGTACAATGAGATCCACGAATGATGGCGTCTCAATGTGCCGTATGAGACGCTCAACGATTGCCCTCTGTGATTGAATGAACGCGAGCATCTGGGCACAAGAGTACGGCAACACTGTCATACGACTGCACCTGCAGGCGGACCAAAGTACTCGCCTCCGCAGGTTTCTTCGTAAGGAAAACCGCGTTGATCTTGGCGAAGTGTGAGGCCATCACCATCTGAGTTTGCATGTCCTCCGGCGAACGATCGAGGACGTTGTTCCAAAATGGTACTAATAGCTCTTCAGAATGGTTCATGCATGTTTCGACGATAGACCAGATTTCGCTGCAGAGGACCTCCGTAGCAACATATGGGTACCTGGTGAAAACATCACATAAGAATCGCCATGGACAGTGCTAAACGGGGACTCACTTGAATCGACCTGCTTCCTCGCCCTCGATCTGACCAGTGACATATCCCAGCAAGCGCTGTAGTACGTCCACGCGTTGAAAGTAGTCAATAAGCCTCGTGTTCTGCGCCTTGCATTCCTGAAGAAGGTCATCTTCGTCTAGGATCGACTCGAGGGCAACGTCATCTCGGTCCAAGAGCGAATCAATTGCAGATGCATTATGGAACCCAAATCTGTGCCGCTATCGTTAGGTCTAAGCGCAAGCGGCGAGATATCGGCCGACTACCTCCAGAACATGCGACAGTATGTTACAACGACAGCGAAGTCCGGGGTGGTAAGAGGCTAAAAGCAGATTTCGCAGTATGCGCGGGATTTTTTGGTTGACAGTGGGTCCGCTACTCTCAGTCTCTGTAGCTACCAGCGCATCTTGGAGTCTCCGTAACAAAAGGGAATAAAACTACGCGACGACAGGGGTTCCAGTGATGCATGTTTGTACAGTGACTACCCTCGACTGTTAACGTGAACCATATCAGAACTGGGGAGGCGATCTCAGCGTGTTGACCCCATGAAGATAGGATATTCACACTGACCCTAATCTGGTAAGAACCACTGGCCTTGGTCAGGTAACGGACCCATTTGATACTGTTGTAGTTAAAGTTGCTCTTTTCGAACACTTTCAGGAATCGCACGATGAGACCGGATGCCGTGAACATGAGAACTTGAAAGTCGACATCTATCGGCGGTCGTGCCCAGACCTGCCGTGTCGTCGTAGATGTCAGGTCTGCAGTTCCGTTGAAGGTGAACTCGGCTCCGCCTTGAATTCGTGGAATTCTAACACAATATGAGTGTTCCGAATTGAGCGAATCCTTTCGAGCTCACTTCCAGACGATGTAATTTTCGGCAGGCTGATACTTCGCCTTGCCTTGGGCGACTTTGCAGTCAACAGTCGTAGTATTGAGAGGTGTGGGTATCTTGAGAACAACGTTGGTAGCCGAGAGTTTGTTGTTGAAGTTGGCTTTAATTGTCACGATATACGACACCTGCGTGGTGCCGATCTCGGTAATTGTTGGTGTCACCTTCAGAGGGAGCTTGACGTTCGATGTGGAACGGTACCTATGGAGGACGACAACAGATCAGCCACGCACGACATTTGGAGGGCATGCATTTACTTCATCAGCTCGAACTCCCCGTCAGGAGGTATGAAGCTGATGGTTCGACTAGAGTCGAACTCGTTCAGCCGAACGCACTGATGGAACTGGCAGTCGTCCAGCTCGACAGCGTTGGGATCGCCGCCGCCGGAGCTCTTGTCGATGACCAGTCGATCGTTGAGGCCAAACTTACATTCTGGCGTTCCGGAAAGGTACGCCCTCATGACTATATGACCATCGACATCCGCACGAAGAATGCTTCCTGCGCAACCCATGAGAACCTATCATCGTGAGATGCGAACGAAGTACCCTTTGCGCTCATGGCCAGGTTGACAGTCTCGACAACATCCACAAATGCCTCGTTCTTCTTATACTTGACATCCGCGCGCCGCCAACTGGTCGCCCCTGTCGCTTGCGACGTAATCTTCGACGACTCTTCCTGTACGTTGTTTAATCATCATGGCGCATAGTGTGAATGATGAGCCGCAGCATACAGGAGCAACAGCTGAGACAACGCTTTCGGTGGTAATGTACGTTTTCAATGTGTCGATTTCGCTGTTTTGCGGGTAACCGAAGTCGATGATCTCTAAGGCGAAAATGAGCAGTTGAACATCTAGTAGAGAGGAGGGCAGACCGTCGATCAGCTCGTAGATCAAAACGAAGTTGTTCTTGACAGACTCCTCGTCAATCTTGCCGAAGTACGATTTCGCGATGTTGATGAAGCGGTAACAGTATTCAAAGACAAGCGCGGCATTCGCATTGTTCCTAGTTGCAGTCAGCTCAGCGCCAGTGAATTTTCCTTGAGCACCAGAGGCTTACTTCGTGACGGCTACGATGTACAAGTTATTAACGCGAACATGGAAGAAACTTGTTGATCCCAAAGTGATGATCGGCGACCGGACGTCCGGGTTGGATATAACTTGTATACGAAACACATCGGCGTTAGAGCGTCTAAGGAGTCCGTCAGCTTCCACTTGGACTACTTGAGAGTGCCCCGTACTTGATGTCCGTGCGGTATAATCGCGATATCAGCACCTATGTACCCGGCCATGAATCCGCCGGTGCTGATGACGTCGGTGAAGGGACACACCTCGCCCTTCTGATTGAAGATGAAGAACGCCTAGACATCCTCGAGCAATATTCAGCCAACACGGACTTGTTGGTGACTCGCCCGCTTACCGAAATCATGGCCAGCGATGCAACGGTGGTAAGCCTCTGCCGCGCGAACGCGGGATTACGTCGTATTGTTTGGCCAATCCAAACAAGTGCCTGGCGCGTCGCGTCGCTGTTTGACTCTGAACCTCCTTGGTATCTGGCTCCTGCATGCACCTTGCGCGTCACGCTACATCTATGTATGATTATAGCACCAGCTTTACCTTCTCACAATGCTTCATTCTTGGCTACTTGACACATTCTGTAGTCTGTATTTGCGCAATGTGGTTGTCGATCGCCCGCATGTCTGGTCTGCTGACCGGGATCATGCCGTCTCTCGCGTTCAACGTCCCGTCTCGGATGATTCTCGGCGCCACGAAGCATGATACGTTCGAAGTCCCGCTCATAGGCATCGGGCGATCTCGTTGCATAGGCCCATGCATAAAAGCAAGGAGGCATCGTCTCCCCAAAACGCCTAGTCACCGCCGTTTCTAACTGCGGCAAACCTGCGTCGGAGATGTATTCCTCGTGGATCCCCGTTCTGGGCTTGGCTACCAGCGCGATCGCGAAGCTAACTTGGTCCAACACAGAGGTACGCTCTTCCCTGAACAGTATCGTTTCTTATATCATTCAAATAACCGAGCACACTGAAGTACATGTTCGTATTCGGGGATTCTTACACCACCGATGGGTACATTTACTCTTCTCGCAAATCTTCGACAACTTAGTGTTCATAGCTACAACGTTTCCGCGGGTGTGAACTCCGCGGTTCCAGGGTTTGTGAGCTGGATCGACACCAGCTGCTCGAAATCATGCTCATTTTTGACACCCAGACGTCATCAAACGGCCCGAACTGGGTACAGTTCTTGAGTAATGAAGTTTGACTCTGGCACTATACGTCGTTGTTGATCCCAATATAGCGGGTACATATAACGTAACGAACACGAAGGTTCGTGTCATCGTCTAGGGTGGATTGTGATGACATCGAAAGTGGCATGTACTAGGTGTTCGATCTGGCCTACGGAGGGGCTACCATCGACTCGGCGCTGGTGCAACCCTATCTGCCTACTGTCTTGTCGGCAGTTTGTCATTCTTTCGCGCTTTCCCAACCTGATGCATACCTGATCCAGGTCAATCGTGGACCAGGTCGAACAGTTCCACGAGAACCTTGCCGACAAGCCAGCTGGAGCTGAGTGGTCAAGCTCGAACAGTCTGTTCGCATTTTGGATTGGGATCAACGACGTGGTCAGTGCTGCGTCACACGTACTATATCCGTGATATCAACGGAGACAACAGGGAAATTCCTATGCTTGGGCAAGTTACCCTTCCTGACGACGGTCTTTCTCGGCTAACGCTATCAAAGACCAACATCTCCACAACTGCTTTCAACAAGGTCCTCATGAATCGCCTTTTCGGCCAGGTAAGCCGTTTCGTTTACCGGAGAGGTTGGTTGGCACTCATCGCTTCTCTTCGCAGGTAGAGGAGCTTTATGAGGCCGGCGCCCGGTCTTTCCTGTTCCTCACAGTTCCACCTACGAATCGTGCACCGCTCCTCATCGAGCAAGGCAAGAGTGCCACTAACAAGATCAGCTCGGTGATCAAGGACTACAACTCTCAGCTCGCCACGTCTGTCAAGGCTTTTCAGGCAAAACACAAGGACCTCGATCAGATCACCGTGTTTGACACGCAGCCCATCTTCAACACACTGTTGGATAACGCGAAGACCTTTGGTTTTGTGAACATCACTGGCTATTGCGACGCCTACCAAAACGGCACACCTGAGCCGACAACCGTGACGCCCCCCTGCGCACCCGTGTCAAGCTACTTGTGCGTTGTCTTGCATAGACCTCGCCCGTGACATCATAAGCCCTGACGATGTGCATCAGCTGGTTGAACACTCTGCACCCTCTCTTCACTGTGCACAAGTGAGAATCACCTTTAGTGCAACTTCGCGGTTGACTCTGACGTTGATTGTCGCCCAGCATCCTCGCACATGCTATCTCTACGACGTTAAGTGGATGGTGACCAACCCTATCTTCAAGTACGACCACCGGTGTATCATGGGGCACGTTGCGAACCATCACATCATTGCTTGCGGGGGTACGGGCCATAGCTTAATCGCAGTAAAACCATGTATTGCATTGGCAGCCACATTATCTGCGCACACGCGCTCAGTAGATAATGGATAGTGAAAGCTTGAATTATGCGATCAAGACCCGACCCTAGGTCTCATTTAGGCGCTTGACGCTAATCACCCAGCGGGTTGTCGTCGCATTTGGAACTCCGACCCGCCACACCTCTTGCGCGTCTTGGACCCTCCCGCGCAGCGGGTTAGCTGAAGAGTTAGTCTTAGGAGGTTAGGAGGTTAGCTTAGGGGTTAGTTAGGTTAGTAAGGCTAGTTTAGGTGCTTATGGGGTTCATTGTTGCAGAAAAACACAGAAGGGAAGCCGAAGAGAGCAGATTTGAGGTCTGACTCGGCAGTCTCTGCGGTGAAGTCATTCAAGTGGAGCTTGAAAATGAAGAGGCTTCATTGGCTGAACAGGGACGGAGCTTCAAATGCGACGACAAACCCCGTTGGGTGATTAGCGTCAAGTCATTTAGGCGGTACTGCTGAGCGCACTCTATCACATTCACCACTTCGATCTGGACAATGGCAGACCCGAAGAAACGCAAAATCTCATCCATCGGGACTTCAGACATGAACGGAAGCGGAAACGACGAGTGGACCAAGGTTGAGAGGCGAAAAGCAAAGAAGGCAAAGAAGACTGAGACGAAGCTTACGGTACGAGCATTTCTGACACGGACGGCACTTTCTGAGCATTTTATGACACAGACTACGCCTCCCAGGCTGTTGTATTCAACTGGAGAGATGACGCGGAGAAAGGAAGCAATAGGGATATCAGTTCGTGAAGTACCTTCTGTCCGGGACCACTGGTGATAATCGCCGCCAGTAGGATATCCGCGACTTGGTCTTGCATATGGTCGCAGATGCCCCACCTCCATCATGGCTGCGCGTTGAAGTAAGCACATCACCCTCTGTGGAATGAAACTGGAATGAAACTGATACACTCAACAAACATTCAGAATCCACACTCCATTTCACACGTCGTGACCCTGCTTGTACCTGGCCTTACTCCCGACCTCCTCGCTCTCCCTCCACTCCCAACGTCAGCGACAGCCAACCCCAACCTACCACTCGCAATACCATCTCCCTCTGCGCAGTCAGCCATTCCATGGGTTGCATCCACGTTCAGCCACGCGTGCCCGACCCGGGCGCCTGGTGACAGGATGCGTATGCACTCAGTGCTAGCGGAGTTCTTCCAAGGACCCGTCAGTGGCGAGGAGAAGAAGCGCAGAATGCAGGTGCGCATCGCCGGTGCGCTCGTTCTTCCCCCTATATATAGCTTGACTCACAACCTCTATAGCGGAACGGGAGCAACGGAAAGACCCCACGGCCTATCTCTTGACAAGAGAACAGATGGTTGAGAACGACTATCCTGTGCCATCATATATCGCGGACGTATTCGAGAAACCGGATGGGTGGGTTGAGACCCCGCAACCCGCGGAAACGTCCACGACAGGCGTGATATATGGCATAGACTGCGAAATGGTGAGCTACTTCTTCCATTGAATTGATCGTAGCTAATGCCACATCAGTGCCTGACAGACGATGGCAAGCAGCTCGCACGGGTTTGCATCATCAACTATGCCACCAACAAGGTGGAATATGATCAACTGGTCAAACCCGAAAAGCCTGTCGTCGACTATCTTACTAGGTGCGTGGGCTCAGCCTTCTTCTGTAACCAATTAACACTGTTCCTCTTAGATGGTCAGGGATAACGCCTGCTGCTCTCTCAACTGCTACCGCCACCTTCGACGAAGTCCAAACTCATGTGCTCTCTCTGCTCTCAGTTTCGCCAACGCCAATTCTTCTAGGCCATTCGCTCGAGTCCGATCTGAAGGCTCTTAAGATTGCGCATCCTCTGTGTATTGACACTGCGTTGATATATCATCACCCACGAGGTCGGCCTATGAAGCCTGGTCTAGCATGGCTCACGAAAAAGTGGTGTGGACGTGTCATACAGGATAGGGGCGAGGGGGGCCACGATCCAGAAGAGGATGCCAGAGCCTGCATGGAGCTTCTCAGAAAGAAAGTGGATAACGGTACGCCATAATCAGTTCACCTAACACAGCTCATTAGTGATCATGATCCTCCCATAGGACCAGGATATGGCGAGTTCCGCACAGACTTCGAGTCGATTTTCGAGCGAATATCTCGGGCACCGGCCAGAGGAGGCGGGTCCTCCATCCGCAGTGCGGTCGTCGATCACGGCAACCCCGCGGTGATGCATGGATCGAAGGCGACCACTGTGATTCCCTGTGCGGGTGATGAGGACGTGCTCCAAGGTCTTCTGAGCACCGTCCCTAGCCATGCATTCGTGTTTGGCAGGTTCACCGCTCTTGCGGATGCCCTTGGATGCACGTGCACCTCCCCTCGTCCCTTTCTCCATAATCTGATGTTGAATGAATAGGGATCACACCGAAGGTCACAGGCGAGACCCTCGTTGAAGTTCAACCAGGAGAACCTAGCGAAACTCCTGCCTCTGCGCAGTCTCTTCCGAACCTGCCAGATGTACTCTCTGCATTGAACACACGTTTGAAGACGTTGTACGAGGCGTTGCCACCACGCACGGCGTTGGTCATCTTCACTGGACATGACGATCCCCGGAAAATGGCAGCGCTGAATTCACGCCGAGGAGCGTTCGAGGAAGCGCTGCGGGCGGGTGTCGCTGTGGACGATCTTGTGGAGGAGAAAAAGTGGACCGCTGCCGACGGGCGGGAGCTGGAGGCCGAAGTCGAGAGGGCGAGACGCGGTCTGTTGTTCCTATGCGTCAAATCACCAAGCGGATGAAATCGCATGCTGCCTCGACAATCGTTCATAGTTCATTCGTACCTTCTTTGGCGTTGTCTCAGCGCGTCTTCGCACTGAGACCAGCTGCGCGACCGTTGCTGAGATAAACTGCATGTTTAACGATTCCGTGTGTTGTGCAGATGCTTAGCTCTCTGACACTGCTCTGATTCACCCCCACTGGCATTGGCTCACAAACAACCATAACGTGCAACTGTAAGATCAACCAGGTGACAATAAGTAAAGCCAGATACCTAATACGGTCTACTCAATGGGGATATCGGCAGGCATTAGAATCAGATCACAGTGGAATATCTTCGACGGTCAGCCTCAGAAGGATCTTGGCGAGGTAGCGGTAGTGGCGCAACTGTACATGCAGGAGCGTAGCAATTCCCGATACCGGCGGGCAGAGCACTCAGGGATCAAGTCGGCGCCATTTTCATTCCAAGCCTCTATGCCGTAAACAGATGAACCGTCACTAGTGGTGCGCAGCCTTCGCGTTCTGGGCAGCGTAAGGATTCTTGGGATCGTTGGCGTATTGCTCGGCTGTAATGAAGGTAATGTCAGCATCGGAGAGAAACCAGGGCGAAGAATGAGCGTAACGAGTAAACATGCGAAAGGCGAATGTCCAAGGGCGGGTTACAATATCAGGTTGGATATTGCTAAGAAGAACAGAACGTACACTTAACGCCCGCTTCCTGCATCTTGGCGACGAAGTAGAATGTAATGCCCGAGGCGGCCACGAATGGCCACAATGGCTTCACAACCTGTATGTTCAGCAGAGCGTAAATCAGGTCCTGCTTCGGGTGAAGTCGCGAGGAAAACGTGCGGGAGTAGGCCACTTGCGGAGTCCGAGGAAGGCCATGTTGATCGTTCTGGTGTCCAAAGGGGTTGTTAGGAACGTGTAAAAATGTTGAGAGGAAAGGGTGCACGGAACGCACCGGTCAACGACGACGACGGGGAAAGCAGGTTGGAACTTGGAAGGTCGTGAGACACTGAGGGAGGTTAGTATTCCTGATAACTTAACCCCAGTAATACAGAGTGAATAAATCCTAATATAGCTTACTTTGAGCCTCGATCAGTCATTTACATGTGACCCTTGTTGTACTCTACTTCGCTTCTTACCGCCACTCTGCTCTTCGGCGTTCTTCGCCAGACGACCTCGGCGCACAACATGGCCACTATAACTGCTTTGGCGCCGACGGCGGCAGGGAACGGAACTTTCAAAGCGAAAACCAAGAATCAACTGCGTCGACTCAAAGCTAAGCAGAAGAAGGCGACGTCAGAAACACCGGTGCGTCAGCATACTGCAATTCATGATTATACATTTAATTGATATGCATGAAGGAGCCCAATGGTCAATCAAATACGGAGCAGACGACCCCGCCCGCAAAGGAAGAGTCGGCGGAGAACGTGGAGTACGTGTCTGAGCAGTTGGATGTCAAGGACCCTTCCCTTGAAGCATTTTCCGACGTCTTTGCTCGCTTTCAGCTACCTCAGGATATGGCCGCAGTACGTAATCTGTTGTAAATTTGAATCCGCATGGCTTACGTCGGCATCTTATGCTAGGACTCGAAGGAAAGGATAGATACCAAAGGAGAAGTCATCTATTCCGATGACGATATGGCGTCCGACGAGGACAACTCGGACACGGAGGGCGAGAAGAAGCCTTTGTCAAAGAAGAAGCAACGGAAGATGAATCGTCTTACGGTCGCGGAACTGAAGCAACTCGTGAAGAAGCCTGAGGTCGTCGAATGGACTGATGTGTCCGCCGCAGACCCTCGGTTACTCCTGCATTTGAAGAGCTACAGAAATACTGTACCCATACCTCAACACTGGAGTGCCAAGCGGGACTACCTTCAAGGCAAACGCGGTATCGAAAAGCCGCCGTTTCAGTTGCCGTCGTACATCGCTGACACCGGTATCGCGACAATGCGAGATGCGGTGAAGGAGAAGGAGGCGAACATGTCCTTGAAGCAAAAGACGCGGGAACGAGTGCAGCCAAAGATGGGCAAGGTCGACATCGACTACCAAAAACTTCACGACGCATTCTTCAAATTCCAAACGAAACCTCCCGTGACGACCTTCGGAGAGATGTGAGTAGTTCAAACATGTCTGTGGAGGATGGCTGCTGAAGCGCAGAGCAGGTACTACGAAGGCAAGGAGTTCGAGACATCGCTCAAGGAGAAGAGACCTGGTGAGCTTTCGCCAGAGCTTGTTGAAGCTCTGTCGATCCCTCCGCTCGCTCCACCGCCGTGGCTCATCAGCATGCAACGGTTTGGGCCTCCGCCAAGTTATCCTACACTTCGTATACCGGGTTTGAACGCACCGATCCCTGAAGGGTGCGTCATCGCGTGGATCTAGTGACCTAATTAAACACTGACGTTTCGCATATAGAGCACAATGGGGTTTCCACCCAGGTGGATGGGGAAAGCCACCCCTGGACGAATACAATCGTCCGTTGTACGGCGACGTCTTCGGTGTGTTGCCGAAGACTAACAACGACGGCGTACGTAAAGGCAGCTTACATGAAACGTATATGAGTTGGCTGATTTAGTCTCTCTAGATGGGCGAGCCGGTGGACAAAGAACCGTGGGGCGAGTTGGAACCCGAAGAGGGTGAGTGCATATAGGCATCCGATAGTTGAGTCTTGATCTCACCGTATACTTGTAGAGGAGGAAGAGGAGGAAGAGGAAAGCGAGGAAGAGGAGGAGGAGGAAGAGTCGACACCAGCGCCTGCGGATGGTCTGCAAACACCATCAGGACTAGAAACGCCGTCGGGCATGGCGAGCGTTGTCTCAACTGTCGCTGGTGGCCTCGAGACTCCTGACTTCCTCGAACTCCGCAAAAATGCTGGCAGAGCACAATCAGAGAGCAACGACGGCCCTCGGTCACTTTATCAGGTTGTGCCGGAGAAGCAGACGTCGGTTCGTGGTTTGATGGGCAGCGAACGCGGTTACGACGTCAGTGGCGTCTCGGGCGCAGCCAACGCAAATATTCCGGTTCTCGGAGATGAGCGGGGCAAAAAGGTATGCTGTCATACACGTCATGCGAGACCAGCACTGACATCCGCTTCAGCGCAAAGCCAATGGTGTGGATGTCTCGATCGATGCGTCGGAACTGGAGGGTATGTCAGAGGAAGATTTACGCAGGAAGTACGACGCACACTCGAGAGGGAACGCGGGCGTACCGGGATCGAAGGAAGACTTTTCGGATCTGGTTGCGCAAGAGACCGTAAAACGACAGAAATTGGAGAGGGAGCGACAGCAAAGGAGATCGACCAAGGACAAGGAGTTCAAGTTCTGATGCCAGATCTATTTCCTTACGCTATTGATGGATCGAGCGAGTTCGACTATGTACTTACTGTATGCTTTCCTCTTGATATGTATCGGCCGCAGTGGCCACTGGCGAGCACCTCATCGCGTGTGGATACACAGCTGTACACAGCCTCACTGATGGGATGAGGGCGTTCCGCCCGTGTCGGACATGAGCAGGGACGTGATGAGCTTGCTTCCTCCCATGACGAGTGCTGCCCACGCCTGAAGCTCGCCGTTCTAGCGTTCATTCTCTCTCGTTCTCCCAGATGTCTCAAGCCAAGCTGTTCGTCATCCCGCGTTCTGGCCGAAGGGGCTCATCGCTGATTTTCACCGCAGAACGCTCCGCCCACCGCCCAACGTTGAGTTCGTACAAGGCAAGTAGGCACCCATGCAAGCAAACCCGGCTATTTACGAGGCATTCTTTCAGGTTACCCGGGCATACCACCTGGGCCGGACCGCCCGCAGGCCGCAGTGAAAGGGGTGCGTGTAACACTCAGTACCGGTGCTGGGCTCGCGTTAATTGACGCGTTACTCTACAGGCAATTGAACTGCGTGTCGCGCCCCAGGGAGTCAAGGCGAAATGGGTCAGGATTGAGATGCGGAAGATCGAGACCCTACCAGGCGGGGGTCAGAACAACGTTTTCGTGGACTTCGTGGGCCAGAGCCCGGTGAACGTTTGGCAGGCCAGTGAGGACTATGCCATGTTACATACCGTACGTCACTATTATGCAATGTGTGATTGTGTGCCTAAGCCATGCAATAGCAAGACTTCCCGTTTTATATCCGGATACCCGACACGATACCCCCCAGCTTGGCTCTCGAAAAAGGAGGTGAGTACTGACGTTGTCCCGTGCTTGCGTTGTACCTAAGTATATTCCAGCCGGCATCAAGTACGAACTGATCGCAACAGTGTGCATAAAGGGCAAAAAGTGAATACATTCCTTCGTCAAGGGGTGAACGACGCTTACAGTCGTACCCAGAGGCTTTTTCCGTCGCGACAAATCGATCGTTCTATCTACGACTGCTCCCATCATCATCGATAAGCATGAACTGCACTCCGTTTGGCCTCTATATCAACAACCGGAGACGCGCAAGTTCACGCAGGACGGCGTGACCCTCACCATCGACCGGAATCATACTTGCTACGGTCCCGGAGATCGTGTTTCTGTCTCTGCGACCCTGAAATCCGACAGCTTGCATACTGTCATTCTTCGTGGCTTCGAGTTTACGTTGAAGGAGACTACCGTCTTTCGTGCTGGCCCGCATGCCACAGGCAAGAAGGCTGTCCCTCAGGTTCGTGTCTCCGTCATTGGGGACCAGAAGGTGCCAGTGAACGCCACTCTGTACGGCGGCAACCAACACAAAACGGAACTATCATGTATGATACCGTCAATGCACACTTCGACCACTCTCAACTCTGCACGACATATCGACATCACATATATTCTCGTCGTCCGGGCGTTGATGGGCACTGGCAAACCCATCATCGTGGATCTTCCTGTCATGATCTCTAACTGGCCGAGAAACGTCTCCGTGGAGGCTATAAAGTGAGTTATCTACCGTTCTTTTGGTTGCGCGTGTCTGATTCGGGGATCCAGACGAATAGGGCCGACCCAGGCGCTTTCGCTGGTACATCAGGGCCCGACATCGCAAAGTTCTCCTCAGGGCGTTATTGTCCAGACCCCTGCGAATCCGCAATACCCTAACACTGTATCGGGAGTGGCATCCAGGCCTGCTCAGGAATTTGATGCCGGTAAACAGTACACGACACTGGCCAGTACTGGGCAAAATGGCTATGGGGTGGATGAGTTCGGCTACAACCGCCCTGCTATGTCCAGTTCCGCTACGAAGGCTGGAGCGAATGCTGTTCAGAATTCGTATGGCGCTGGAAGGCGACCCGGTTCTCCCGACGGGCCCAACGGAAACGAAGCCTCGAGAATGTCCATTTCAACGTCCACCAGTGGTCCCAATGCACGCGTAGCACCGTCCGCGCAATTTGCTCAACGCCGGTTCACCGTCACGAACATCGACGAGAATGATTCGCCAGTCAGTTCTGACGAACACCTCGAGCCGGAAAAGAAGGCGCCGCCACCGTCGACACCGCCGCAAAACCAGTGGCTTACAGCCGAGCAAGAAAAGCAGCTGCTATATGAACGTGCGCGGGCCCAGGCTGAACGGACGCAAACGATGGCCGCCAATCCTCTTGCAGTAAGCTAGAATTGCCATCATTCGCATCATAGATATATGATCTGAATTACTGGCAGCCTATGGCTCTACCAATAAATCTGCATCAGGATGCAGGACCTATCATGTCATCGCCTGGGCCTGTGCCCAAACTCGCGAATGGTTGGATGCCTGCAGAGGAAGAGAAGCAGCGACTGTATAACGAGGCTACAGCGCTTGCTGCGCGCACGCAAGGTTACGCTTCATCCCTGCACAACCGGACGAATTCACAAGGATCGCATGCCTCGATGGCCCGGACAGGATCACCTCAACCCGGCTTCCCGCCTGCTCAGAGCTTATACGGCCAGGTACCCAACGGACGGTCGGTTGGCGGAAGCTCCGCATACCCGACTCCTGCTCCGAGCACACACTCGCCGCCTCGAACAGGCCCTGCGGCGCTCTCCTCACAACCACAGTATGCATCCGCCGAGCAAGAGAAAGCGATGCTGCGTCGGTACGAAGAAGCCAGGGCCGCGGTGGACCGGGTGCAAAGTTACGGCGGATACGAACAGGAACCCGTCGCAGGAGGGTCAGGCGCTGCGTCAACCTCGGATCCTATACCATATGACGCCCTATTCCCGGCTCCACAAAACATGGCAGGTTCTGGCGCCGCATCCGTCGACATGCCGCCTGCATTCAATGTAGGAAAACCATACACGTCTGCTCTGGACGAGAAGGAGCGCGCTCGGCGGTACTACGAAGCACAAGATGCCGTTGCGCGGGCGCAACATCCGTACGCTAACGGAGGCAGGCACTCACCTCCTCCGCCAGCGCCCACTCCCAGTTACAGCGGCAGCAGCCAGCAGCCATTATCAGAAAAGGAGGTGTTGCGCAGGAAGTTCGAAGCGGACGATGCTGCAGCGCTGCGCTCCGGCCCTCCTCCCCAACCTCCCCCCCGGGGTGCGCCGCCTCCACCTGGATCGCCGCCTCGGGGGATGAACCCGCGCGGAGGCTCGGGTGCGGGAAACAGTGGGCTCCGATCCCCACTTCCGGTGCCCGGATCGCCGGTGCCTTCATCCGGTTTCCCTGGCGGCTTCAAGCCCCTGACGGCGGCTGAAGAGAAGGCGCGGCTCAAAGCCCAGTATGAGGCGGAGGACCGGCAGTCGGGTGCCTCTTCGTCCTCGGGGCCGCCGCCGAGTCAATATGCTTCTATCCCTCCGCCTCCACCTCTGATGCCGCGCCCGCCGAAGGAGTATATCCAAGAGACCCAGGCAGCAAACGCACGCTCCCAGCAGGGCCATGACCTCGCGGATGTCGCGGGTTTGTCATCTGCGACACCGCAGATCGACTTGACCATGCGCCCGTTCACGCCTTTCACTCCTGGCTTCGACACTGTCTCGCCACCCCCTGGTCCTCCACCCCCACTACCTCCCAAGGTCTCCGCTGAGTGACCGTCCATTCCTTTAATAAGTATCCATTGCGCGGGTCGTACCGCGACATTTACTCGCTCATTCACGCTTGTTTATTATACTGACTCGATGCAGAGCAGGATGCTATAACAGTCTCTAACTGGTACATGGTGTAATGAATCGGTTAAAATATTTATTTCCTTTTCTTCGGCCTCGGAGCGGTTGGTATCGGAGTAGACTGTTTGGACGGGTTTGACCCGTTCACGGGCTCTGACATCTCGTTAAGGCTCACCACCTCGGACTTCCTCTTCTTGCGCGCTGGTCCCGGCGAGCTGGGCGCGTTCAAGTTGAGCGACTTCTGGGACGCGGTGTCAGACGCCTGCGACGCCACCTCGTCGAGGAACGCGGTCAGCTCCGCCGGATCGGTGCCATCGACGTTGACGTGGTCGAGCGAGGCAAAATTGCCAAACTCGCCGCCGCCGCCGCCATCGACGACGTGCATCCCCGTTGGCGGATGCTGCTGAGCGAAGTCATTGAGGAAGGTGTCGAAGTCGAAGTCGGGGGCGGCCTCCGCGGGCGGGACGTCAACTGGGTGCTGGGACGGGTCGAAGCCCATCTGGGTAATCAGTTGGTTCAGGCTTGTCTGCAGCGCGTCGACGTCGGATTCAATGTCTTGCGCGTTGTTCCACGTACGTTGGAAGCGCTCGGTCTCGTGCACCAGTGGGTCATACGAGGCAAGAGCGGCGGAAGATGTACCAGGGGCAGGGCCGAGCGGCTGCACCGTAGACGGTGGCCCGGCCGTGGGCGACATAACACTGATCGTAGGAGGTGAGGGCGCATACGTATGTGATATCCAGTGCTCTGAGGGATCGAACGACGGTCGGCTGGGCCCGTGGTCGGGCGCTGGGGGCGGAGCAGAGGCAGAGGACACGCGGTCATCGGGCGGCGGAGCACTGGGGATCTGGAAATTCGGTTGGTTAGCGAGGGCCTGGAGGAGCTTCTGCATCTGCGCAGGGTTGCTGAGCAGCTGGTTGAGCGTGGACTGAACCGTCGCGTCTGCGTTTCCGTTAGTGTGGTTTTGGATCGTGGCGACTGAGTTGAAGGGCGAGGGAGTGAGAGGGTGAGAAGGTTGCTGTGGGGGAGGCTGCTGGTGTGTTGGCTGCAAGTGTCTACTGGAGTCGTTAATCGTCGTAGCTGACCGTTGTGGTGGGGGGCCCGTCGGCGACTGCGGCATCGCGGACCCCTCCCGACCGGGATACGCCGAGGTGCTCATCTCCGTTGGGACTGGCGATAACGCGTTCGGGGGTTCGCTCGGGGGTAATGACGGTGACCGCATAGTAGATGGCGTCTCCACCGTTACGAAGCGACCTGGGTCGCGGTATGAGTAACGCATGCCCGACATGAAGTGGTGGGATGGCGGACCTATGGGATTGGGAGACACATCGCGTATTTTCGGGCTCGTGTCGAACTCCGTGTCCTCCATATCTGCATCTACTATCTGAATCTCCTTCTCGCTTGAGTTACCTCCGTCGGTGATCATGAAGCGCTGCCGTTTGCGTGGGATGACCGGCGGCGTGCCCCGCCCTGGGCTCTCCGTCTTATGATGCATATGCGCATCCCCTTGACCAAACACACCCGCCAGGAACTTGAGTATGCGGTTTATCGTGTCCTGGTGCTTCTTGTGTCGCTCTCGGGCGGCGAGCGCTTCTTGCCATAGGTGTTCATTGGACGCCTTCAGCTCGCTTAACTCGGACGATATCGTGGCCTGATGCCGTTTCACGGCCGCGATCCCGTTCACAATCGAGCTAACGTCGAGCACCTGGCCGTTCGAAGCCGTGAACGTGCCTCCGGTGGGGGGTAGGGGGAGTGGCTGTGTACCCGATAACGGTGGGACGTCGGCGCCAAAGTCGACAGCCCCTGAAGCACTGTCGGCGCCAGGGGCACCGGCGACACCTGTAGGTTGCGCGGCCTGTTTCTTGCGTTGTATTAGGCAGAGGAGGTCGGGTTGCCCTCGACGGAAGGAGGGATGCTCGAAATTCCAGTGCTCCGTGTCCGACTCGGACTTGAGGACGCCTTGCTGAAGGTGGGGGATCTTGTGGAAGCCGTACATGTTAAGTTGGCGGACGAAGGAGGAGAAATTTTGGTGTTTGAACCAACGGCCAAGGACCTCGCGCGCGAATCGTTCATGGTCGAGGACTGGTTATATTCCGAGTTCAGTATGGGTCATTAACTGCGTTCAGGCAAGAGGGGACGATCGGCGCGCACCATAGAACGAGTCTCCAGCATCTGACCACCTGATCAAGCCTTGGTTGCTTGGGTCGTTAACCATCCTGCGCGATGGTCAGTATGGCACAAATAACCAGGGTAGATCAAAGGGCGAGACGCACTCGTAGAGCTTCTGCAAGAAAGCGGGCACGACGCGGCGCGAGACACGACTCTCGTCAGAGTACATTTTTGTGTGCCTTGTGAGTGCGAGTTGCTGGTCTGAAGCCATGGAGGGCGACGTCGGGGTGGTAGCGGTGGCTGTTGGTGGCTGTCGTCGAACTGCTGCTAATCAAACGCTACGCGGCCTGCGCTTGTTGCTGTGGTCGCAGTGCCAGGCGATGGGGTTGGCTGAAGACGGTAGCGTGGCTGGTGGAGGATTTGAACGGCAGCAGAGCTACAACGCGCAGCTATATGGGCTCATGAAGATATGGCGTAATAGACGGGCTTGACTGAAGTCACCACCAAACCCAGAGCCGCGCCTTCGGGCTGTGGCGATGCAACGAACCACAGCCACTGACTAACCTATGATTAAAGGTCACCGCAGCTGCGATCGTAGCCCCCATATACTTATACTGATATAGCAGTCCTCAGCCTTGTCCTTGTAAGCCGTATGCCTGTCAAGATGGTAGAGAAATGACACAATCGACGCACGCTCGCGGTCTTGTTTCGAATTACTTGTAAGCAGATCAAGCGCTCGCGCTCTACACTGTCTACACATAGATCTGACGATATGTTGATGATTGTCTATGGACTCGTTTACATCAGCACGCACGAAAAGCTCACGATCGGTGGACACTACCGGACCCATCCGGCACACAATTCAGAGGAAGGACTTGACGTGTTGCCCCGGTCTTAGCCGCAGTTAACATAGCGAGTCTCGCCGCAGTATAAGTTCCGGCCGGGTTACGACTCACCGCCGACTCCACGTCGTCGGAACGTATGCAAAGGATATCGCAAGTTTGTACTCCGGTCCCATTGGCATTGCACCAGGAAAGAGGGCCAAAGCACGTGCATGAAAGATGTTACTCTTTCAACTCATGGTAATTCGGCCGGCACATTGCGACGTCAGCACCGTACATATCATGAAGCATCGCGGAATACGATTTGGCAAAGCGGAGTTCACGTCGAAAAAAACTACATCAACCAAATATGTGAGCCTTCACCCCTGACAGGAGGTACAAGGTCATATTAAACTCACCAAATCCCAGAGACATTTACGTGCATCGGCGGTAGTAGGCCGTAAATCTGATTGTATACTTTGTTTCTTCAGTGATTACAACCAACGTATGATAACCGTACTCAGTAAGCCGATTTCCCCGGAGAAAAATCTTCTTCAACGCTGACATCTGATAGAGAAGTCGGCATGAAGGTTCGGGACAAAGTGATACCCAGGGTACACAGGCTCAAGAAACGTCCCCATTCGTCGCATAGCGGACACATCCGAAGTGAGTCATGAGAAGATCAGAAACGTCCGCATCGGCGGCCCGCAGCACAGACAGCCGAGAGTGCAGTTGACGAGTCTAAGGACTGCATGATAAAGGGGGGTTTTCTTGCACGGTGCTCGAAACCTGAATTTCTGCCATTTGGGTGGGGAAAGACTTCTCAGTCGACTGTGCGCTGCTGGGATGGTGCCATATGCACCCCGCATTCCCACCCCAATGAGCAGAAGTGATATCGGGTCGCCGCAGGCACGCCCGGGCGTGGAGGGCTGTCGCGACTTGGCAGGACATCCCCCGGCACGCACCCCCCGACAAGGCAGTCCATGACATGGGTCGAATAAATCAGGGACCCTGCCAGTACCGGACGTCAATTGGTTCTGATCTATCGGCCGTGACGCTTCCTCCAGAGTCTGAGCTTGACTGGCCGTCCAAAAGTTCGGCCAGCCACGCGCCGCATAACGTTCTTCGATCCAAGCTTACGCTTTCCTCCGAGAGCAGTCCAATTTGGCCCATGATTATCCTGTCCTCCGCTCCGGGTGTCTGGGCGGAGACGATAGCTCAGTCTGAACGCCGTTCGTAAACAGGTGCAGGCTCCTCTTGGTAACGCGCGAGTGTCTACGCGGGCCCCGATCTACATAGTAGTATGGAATTCTCTGCATTGGCATATGGTATCGGCGCCACAGGCGGGTCGAGATAGGGCTCTCACCTGACGTCTCTCTTTCCGATGGTTCAGGCAACGACTAGGCTTCAGGAGTTGAATGGCGAATCTTTCAAAGGTGTGCCAGTCCAGGACGGCTTAGGGTTAGCGCTGGTTCCCGAGGATTCCGCGGCACGGGAGTTCGGCAACCGAGGATGCATCATGATCGTTCAGTCGCAACATGACCCACTTTCGCGAGCACCAGATGTGCCAGAGCAAACGAGGTGGCTGTCATGGCTGGATACCGGGTTGTGGACACATGAGAAACGAAGAAGGGCCGAAGTCGTCCGTTCCAGGAATTCCCTGTGCTGGCCTCTGTGCGTGGAAAAGAAACGGAAGCAAAGAATGTCGCCTGATTAGTCAGCGTTTCAGATATCTAGTTCCAGATTCTGAGTTCATCCCAAGTTCAGCCGCAATCTTCAGCGGAAGAGAACAGCGGAAGAGAACTAGACTAAACCGGACCAACGATGGGGAGCTCGGGCGGGATTTTACCTCCGAGCATCTTCGCTCGGCGATAAGTCAGTGCTGCAACAATGGGCTTCGGAGCTGGGATTCAATTTCTGAATCGTACTGAGAGATAGAAGCGCTGCTGGCAGAAAGAGCGAGACGGATATGGGCGAGTTACCAGCAAAAGCGCGGTGTGAACGCGCAAGGACGGAAGGAGCTGAGAGGCTGCCGGCCCATCCGGCAGCCTTTCTGGAATCTGACTGCGCTTATCTACCTGCGGTCGTTTATCTACGATGTATCCTGGGGACGTGCCTAGCTCGTATCATATTGGTAGATTGTGCTTGGTGTCAGCAGATCTAGAAGTGCCGTGGATGACGCTGCTGAGAGTTAATCCACCCATATATTTGGTGTAGGGAGTAATAGCCACCTTTACGGCGTATGTACACTAATCTACATAGAAAGCATGGTTCCAGAGCGGCGAGAAAAGCTAGTATGACCAGAGATTCTATATGCATATCCCCATAATCGAGGGTAAAGTTCATTGCCGTTTGACCTTTTCACCAGAGCCAATCCATGAAACGCTCGTAACGCGTGCTGGGTTCCTTGAGCGGGAACTCTTTCTCGTGCGCCTCGACCTCGGCGATGCCAGTGATCAGATCCATCTCGCTGGCCTTGACAAATGTCGTCTTGTGCCAGAACTTCCATCCGAGATAGATTGCGAGATAGAACACAATCCCGAAGTAACTGTCCCGAGTAAAAGAGACGCGGTCAATCATTCGGTAATTCGGACCGCGGGGGTGAGGGGGTGGGCGAAACTCACGCGGTGAAGAAGTTGGCGAACGACCAGTGGCCGTGGATGAAGACGCCAAATCCATTCGTCAGGAGGATGATGCCCACACCAAATAGGGCGATATAGTTTGAATAAGCTGTCGACACGAGTCAACGCTGGCGGAGCCCGGTCGACTTCTTGGACTCACGAGCAAAGCGGGACCGGAAGGGCAAGGTCTCCAACGGTATACCCTGGGCCTTGAGACCCGCACGGAAACGCAGATTAGCGTACTGCCCATCGATAAAGTTAGCAATAGCAATAACGGGTCGAAACTGAAAATGACCACACTCACAAGCATGTGCACGTAGGCGATCATGATCGAGACAGAGCCCAGGTTGATGAACCAGTTGAACACCTGCAAAGAGCTGTTGTTCACGGTCATGTACGCTAGGCAACTGACGCCAAGGCTGAACACCAAAGCCGGCAGGGGCACGCCGCCTTTGGTGGTCCTGGCCAGGATCTTCGGAGCGCGTCCCTGTTTCGCGAGACCGTAGAGCGTACGCGAGGCCTGGAACAGCAGGCAGTTCGTGCATGACCAAGCGCCTAAGTCCGCGGACAAAAAAGATCCGAGTTAGACCGTATTTCGTCACGTCACACAACCTGGTAATCCGGAGGTCTCGGAGAACTCACTCGTGATGACGATGGCGTTCACGAGGTCCGGAAGGAACCGTATATCCAACCGCCGCATCGCGATCACAAATGGCGAGCTGGCAACGCCGTGACCGTTGGCTTGAGCGGCCAGCATCGTCGGGTCATTGAACGGCACGAGCATGCCGACAGCCAAGACCGAGAGGATGAAAAAGAAGATGAGCCGGTAGATGACTCGTTTAACTGCTTTCGGAATGGTGCGTCGGCTATATATGGCGTACACATCCGATTAGTCGCATCTGGAGAGCAACGGGGGACACTATGCCCCTGGGACACGCACGGATTCTGTGCCTCTGGAGCGCAGTTCGCGATGAAATCGGGACCGCCGATCGAGAACGCAGCGGTAGTGAAGGTGCTCCATATGGCTAGGAAACGGCCTAGACCACCAGTTGTATACGCCTCGTTGAACGCTGTCAGAAATACGATTTAATTCAGGCCAAGGCACGATGCACGGATGATTTTCACCTCCAGGATGCTTCCAATAGCTAAGTGCAAGTTAAATACCGGAGTGTGGACAGAATGACCCATGCTTACCGAAAGCCAATGCGCTGAATGGATGTCAGACATGTCGTTCATTGGAGCCCTGAAGACACTCACGTCGTGATGGGGATTGCCACCTAAGACCACGATGAACGTGAAGATGAGGAAACCAAGGATCAAACTATCGTCCAATGAGAATGATTTGATCACGAGATCAAATCATAAAACGCACAAAATCTTGAAGATGGATGCATAGAACTATGAATCATCATGAACGTCAACGGAGGCTTTCGGCATGTGGGAACGCTGAAAAGGCACCTCTGCTTCGCCGAAGTACTGGGCAGGTTGGCTGGGGATTAGCATTTGACATTATAACAGCAAGCTCAATCGCGAACATGCCTTAACAACCAAGCAATTCAAGCACATCACAACCACGAGTGTCACGGTCACCCATACAGCGGGCGATATATCAGGGAACCAGTATGACCATAAGCCAACCAAGGCAGAACAGTCGGCTGCCGTAAACACCCTGTTTCGGTGTCAATATCCAGTACTCGATGGAAGGGCAGGTAGCAGGGCAGACTCACATCATGCTGTAAGCGTAGATCCAGCCCATGGCGACGCCAGCGGCAGGGTCTATGAAACGGCCGCAGTGCGTGGCGAAGGAGCCCGGTACAGGAAGGTAGGCAGACATCTCGCCCATCGCGTGTGCAACGCATAGCAGGAAAACACACCAGATGGTATATCCAATGAGCAATCCACCCGGGCCCGTCGAGGCGAGGACACCGCCAGTTCCGACCTGTATGAACGCGCACACCGGCAATTCCCGAGTGAGGAGACGTCATTTCCTAGAGCAGCAGGAGACTCACGAAGAGACCTGTGCCAATAACACCACTGATAGCGAGCAGCTGGATATGATGGGACCTCAAGCCGCGGTGGACTTCGTCGCCGACGAGGAGATGCTGAGAAGCGTCGGAACCGCGAGCAGAAGCGACGTGGTCGTCGGCTAGCGAACCCTTGAAGCTGCCGCTTGACGAGCGTTTCTCGAGGTCACCGAGGGCCATCGTGGTGTGCGCAAACCAACCACGAAAAACTGGCCGGGGTCGGGACAGCCTTTGTTATACGCTGTGGGAGGATGGGTCTTCTAGCCCGATGTGGTATCGCGGTTCCTGGGTATGTCGTATACGTAAGGTCTCTTATTTCATTTCGTTTTCTGCTTCTTGCAGCCGAGGCTCGGATTCGCCACCCCGCCACAGTTGGTGCCGGCAGGTGAGCGCTTGGAGGTTGTCGGGGGCAACGTCCAGGGAGCAGGGGCAGATGCGTCCGTCGGAGAGCAGAAGACAGGGGCCAGGCCCGATTCCCCTTCCTCCGAACGCGCCTTGTATGGGATCGGCTACAGGCTCGGAGGTGCAGACCTCACCCGCTCCGCTGGACCTCGGTCACAATCCTTTTGGGAGGAAACGAAAAATAACATCCACACCCCGATCCAGAAACAGGCAGGAACCTTCCGTGCAACGTCCAGTCACGGGCAGCAGTCCGCCCGGAGGGGGCGCCGCTCCGAGAGGCTGCATCCGAGTTGTGCACACGCGGCGTGGCTCTCACCTCAGTTGTTTACCTTCTTCCGACTCGTTCTCCGCCGTTGGCCTGATCACCCCCGCTTATCAAGAGCTTAAGAATGTGCCGATCCTACTACATTCCTAGTTTGCGTCTGCCTCTCGAGAAAGCCCGCCCCCACCGTCTTCGCCATGGCTATCTCAAATCCGGAGCTCGGTCTCTCCTTCGTCCTCTTGGGACTTGTAATATATCTTCAGCGACGCGGCAAGTCCTTCTTTAGTCGGAAAGTTGCCGCCGTTCCTCCATCGCCCGGGCATCAAGCACGGAAAGGATTCGCGATTCAGACACCAGGCCGTTAGTCCAGTACGTTTCATTGATGGAACGAACATCCAACGACGGCTTTTCAGAATGGCGGCCGATGGAATGGAAACCTCCGGTCATCGTTCCGCGTGCAGGCTTTGACTTGCAAAAGACGCCCGCACCTGATTTTCGGCCGTTCCGGCCGTATGCCCGCCAGTATGTTCTGACCTCTTCGACGACGATGGATGCCCCACAAGCTGACTCCACGATCGCACAGTATGATCCTCACAAAGCCTCTCGACCTGAACGACTGGGTTCTGGTACGGTTTCAATCCCGGTTCACCCGGAGAGAGAAGCGCTCATGGTCGCTGCCAGCTCGACAATGAATTCCCCCGCTACCATGCGCTGCGCACGGCGCGATATAACGAACGAGCCGATCAAATATGTGGCTACCTACCACAGGCCAAAGAAGCTGTCTTCGAGCTTTGCCAAGATCTCTGCGGTCTGTCTTCGCCCGTTTTGCAATATACATGCACCGCTCACGCCAGGGCGTATCCCATCATCAGAGTACTTGGTGAGGCGGTATCCCAATGTCTACGAAGTGCGACGTAACGCGAATGGTCTCGGATGGGAGGGAGACGGCGAGATCATCAGTGTCGCGATACCCAAACTAGGCGCTTATTATGACCTTGGCAAAGACGACCCCTTGAAGGTACGCGATCCTATTCGCCGAACCCCGCTAGTCGGCCGCGCTAGACCCTGACGAGCGGCGAGCAGGTCGCGGGCCTGATCCAGCCGGATGACATCAATCTTCTCGTTGAAGAGCCCGACGGCAAGGTTAGCATTCCCACCATTAGCCATTGTTTATTTGGACTCGGCGATTTCACGTTGATCACAACTCAATCCGGTATCGGGGCGGGGCGCTGACTTCCTTGTTCCAGTATTATCTTTCCGCGTGCATGTTCGGTCTCGGCTGCGGTCAGCGCCTCGCCGGCAGACTCGGAATCGATTTGTCCACTTTACACACCAATGGGAGGGTCCCACACTACGACTCGCAACTGCGGCATCCGCTGGAACGGTCAATCGTGATCTTCGCCGTCATTATGAAACCAACGCTGACCGTCGTAATTTGCTCTTCTCAGATTCTTGTCGAAGATGAAGGTTGATACTCCCATTCACCGCAACACTGCGACGTTCAGCATACACGGTGATGCCGCATGTCATTTCGCAACCGCATTCAACGTTGCTCACAACGTGTTCTATTTACGACAGATGAATTGCAATGGCCGACGATATCCATGGGCCCGGAAGACGATTACGACCCCGTGCTCCGTGGACCAAGAGTGGGATCGGCATCTTATGGCGTGTGGAGTCCGCCACAACCTATTTCTGACCCGGAGGCAGTTTTCCTGCGGCAGGAGCGTCAGACGTTGCGGAGGCTTCCTAAATCTGGAGCCGTCGTCTGGTTGGTGCACACCTACGTCCGTAAGTGACGCTCCACTTGTGGCCAGCGGGTGGAAGATAGACCATGAGATTGAATCATTATTGCTTCGGCGCGACAGGGCCCGCTAGGGAGGTGGTGCACGAACCCGGAGTACCGGGTCGGATGGCGGCATACATTCGCAGTTGGGATCCGGAGCTAGCGAGGCACAAGGGTGTCCATCTATATCAAGATTGCTTCCTCCCGTATCGTGAGCCAGTTCTGCCGGTTTGGTAGCGGGTGGAAGGCTAATTACGCGATTTTCCTTCCTTCGTTCTTTTCCGCCGTTGCTGCCAGTGGACGCCCTTCACAGGGAACAGATCGCGAGCGGAGTCTATAGGGAAGAGGGGGTGGTGGAGACGAGCTAAATGGTCAACTGGGAGAGAGGCGTTCTTCTTCTTCGAATGTCTGTGCCACGCATTCTTTTTGACGCGGGAATGTGATGCGTCTGATCCAAAGCTTCGCTTGTATGTAAATATTGTGTCATCGAGTATTCCAGGCTATCAGTTCTCGCCATGGGACCCATGCGGATTTCATGAGGGACCGACGCGGGGAAGAGGTGAGCCGTTGGGACTTGACACCCCACCCTCGCCAGACAAAGTCGGCAAGGTGCGATCTCGTTACCGCGCTTCATCTATACTAAACCGGCGTTTTTACTGCCGCAGGCTAGTGGGTGTGTCGGCTAGCAGCTCATGCTCGCGGCGCTAGCGGATGCAAGAAAAATGATGGACGTTTCCCCTTACCTGCAATGAATGTTGGTCGGCCAATACCTTGCGGCGGCGACGCTGCTCTGCGGGGCACGAATCCAACTGGATCGGGGCGTTGGCGCATGTCCTCTGAGTGGGTGGCTGTGCCGTGGTCAGTAAGGCGCGTATTGCCGTTTAGGGGGCCTTCCACGAACCTTCGGCAGCTCGGTTGCTGCCAGTGGCTACTTCGATGCCTGCGCAAGCACGACCTTCCGGGACCGTGGAGCCGCCCAAACGAAGGCGAGAGACGATCAAGGTCGCCTGCGATAGCTGTCGCAGGCGAAAATTACGTTGCGAGGAGGAGAGGCCATGCAAACGCTGCAGGAACAGCAACGTCGTGTGCGAGACTACCGAGTCGTACGTGGCGCCGTCTCGGCCCTCGGCTCGTTCGTGGTATGCGAATCTGACATCTTCAACAGCGATCGACTACGGTTTCCATCGGGCATAATATCAAAGAAAGTTAAGACCGAGCGATCGTCCCACTCCCCGAATCGCCCAGAGGCGGTGAGTAATACCCCCGTCGCTCCTTTCGTCCAGGTTCCGAACGTCAAGAACCGAACGACCGCACAGGACGTCCAGGACCAAGAACAGTGGCAATCGTCTTTGTGGCTCGACGCCGAAGACCAGATCCATCTGTCGGGCAGCTCGAGTGGCCTTCCTCTTATCGAGAGGCTCAGCAACCTGCATTTGGGCTGCGGGACGGGTACTCATCCGACGGAGAGAATTGGGCGTGCGTTGTCAACCGAAACCGACGCCCTCCGCCGCTCCTCCTTACCTTCCCAACCCACCCCAGATCGAACCCCTGGTCATGATGTGTGGGATGCATTGCTTGCCGTCTGTCCCTCGGACTTGCTTGACCGCTTGATACGCAATCACCTGGACTACACCGAAAGCATGTGGCCGATATTACATTGCCCAACCTTCCTCAACCACTACATGGACGTCAAGAAGAAGGCCGTCCCTTGCACTCGCGAGTTTGGTGCTCTGCTCATGGCCCTCTGCGCTATCTCCTCCCGATCCATCGATGACGATCCTAGTGTCTTGGGGGACCCCAACGACAAGAAAACCGCTGGTGTCCGGTATTTCATATGCGGCAATCGATTACTGCAGGAGAAGCGGTCGGATTTGCACTGTATCCAAGTACGTAATGAGACTCTTTCCTTTTTCAGCAATATTGATCACCGCGACCGGAAAAGGCTCTTTTCTATCTCGCTATGTACGCGGAAGGTCTCGGTCAAGCGTCGGTGCATGCCAGCCTCGTGGGGCAGGCCATCGCATTAGCCTTTGCGTGGGTGGTCTCTCATCGTTTCCTGCGTTCGGACAGCTCATTTCCGCAATACAGGTCAGGAATGCACCAGGCGTCAGAACACTGGAACTTCGACTGCGTGGTCTCCGAGTGCAGAAAGCGCGTGTTTTGGGCGATCTACTCCCTTGACAAGTGCGTGTTTCCCTAGTTGTCTTCTCTCATCTCCGGGGGGCGTTCTCGCTGACGGTGTTTATCGCAGGGCGGTAGCGTGCGCCGTAAGCCTGAGAAAGATGGAGCAACCGCGTGCTGGGCGACTGACCTTGGTTTTCCCAGATTGGCCGCCCGCCCATGCTTCGAATCGCCGACTGCAACGTCCCGCTGCGCACGTAACCCTTCTTATCTCCGCTTTTTTCCCAGCTAATTAAACTTCGCACTCCCGCAGCCGAAGCCGTTGACGACAGCTGCATCACGTTGGACTCCATCAGCCCTCAGCCTCCGGAAAAGCCAAACGTTCTGCAGGCTGCGTACGACATTCCACGAACGTGATAAACCCGCGCCGTGCTCACTTCTCCGACAGTTGCAATGCCACGACACAGATCAATGCCGTTGTCGAGCATATGCTGCTAGCGTGCAATACGCCGCCCCAGATATATCCCCGGAAGGACAAGAACACGCAGACGGATATCATCTACTCATTTCGACATCACTACCCTGCCTTCGATCGCATTGCCATCCTGTCACGCGCAGACAGTATGCTCGATAGGTGGCACGCCAACCTGCCGGACCATCTGCGAGCCCCACGAAATCTGGATGAGGCACTGAAACTGAAAGGGGACGCGCGTTTTATCCAATCGTGTCGCCTTGAGATCGCACACGTAGGCCCACCCCCGCAGTCTCACGTACTCCTACTGATCATCTCGCGTAGAATCTGATTCGAGCCTTGATAGCACGGGAACGCATTGCGCTCGAGCTGAAGGACAAGCCGCTGGCCCCTCCCGGCCCGCTCAGTCTATCGGCCGCTCGGGCCGAACAATCCTGCGAGAACATCATACGCCTCTACGACTTGCTCTCCGTCCGGGACTTGCTCAAATCTTTCGGTATGCAACAGATCCAGCATCTCGCCGCGTGCGGGCACACCTTCCTAGCAATGATGGTCATCTATTCCAACATCTCTGCGGTGGGCGTTCGCCGCCTCCAGGACACCATTCGCTTGCTTCGAGAACGGAGTCACTTCCCGTCGGCCATGCGTGCCATCGACATTCTCAGTGACATGGCCTCCAAATTCGATATTCCGCTCTCCGAAGAGCCTCGCAATGGCGGCAAGATCTCATGGTTGCGGATGCTGCATCGTCGAAACGCGCAAGGGGCTGCCCCCACCCGAGGCCCGTCGTCGAGCCGCGCCTCGTCCCGGGAGCAGGCTTTCGACGACCGGTCGGTGACGAGGGAGCTGGAAGCTGGCGAGGTGACGCTGCGCCCGCGACATCCGTCCATGAGCAAGCGGCACTCGCTGTCACAGCAGCAGCAAGTCATGCCGCCGCCGCAACCGACGACCGTGCCCATGTACCAAACGCAGCCCATTGTGCTCGCACCGGCCCCCGCGGTCCCGGCGCCGCAACCCACCCAGATGGAGATCCCGCAGGCGCCGCCGACCTACGACGCCTACGGCTCGTACGACAGCGCGTCGATCGACTTACAGGCGCCGTACCTGCTGCAGCCCGCGGCGGCGCCGGCGTACGAGGCGCCATCGCTCGAGTCGCACTACGGACACGACGTGTTCGGCGGGCCGCTGAACCCGGGCGAGATAGCCCACGCCGACTTTTACGGCGGCGCACGGCGGATGGGGGTGGGGCCCGGGTCGGAGATGCCGCAGGACTCATTCACATACCTGTTCCAACATCACCATCAGGGCATGCAGAACTCGATGGGGCGATGATATCTTGCCGTCGATGAAATCCTGGGTTGCGTTTTTCTTGTTTGGCTTGCTCGCAGGGATCATGGACTACGCGGTCGCAGTTCAGTATCGCATCGTGCTGTATATCTAGTTGCTGCATATCCTTGTATCATAGTCGTCCGCTGTCGTGTTTTCCGCTCATCCTAGCAGTTTGTACATAACTATACACTTGCAAGCACTGATGTTCCTTGTGAGTTTTTGGGCACGACCGACCGATGCGAAGGTGTTCGAAACATTGTTCTTGCGGCTGATTCAAAACTCTAGTTTTACAAGCTGCTTTTGAATTTTCTACTGCTTCAGCGGCTTCTGGATCATGCTCTCGCGTCCGGGACCGACGCCTATCCACTCGATCGGCACGCCCAGGAACCGCTCCGCGTACTCGATGTACGCCCTGCAGTTCTCAGGCAGGGCAGCGTACTCCGTCGTGTCCGCGATGGACGCCTGCCACCCCGGTAATGCGACGTACTGCACTTCGACGCGCGCGAGGACGTCGAGATCGGCGGGGAAGCCCGGGAGCTCTTTGCCGTCCAGGAGGTACTTAGTCGCGACCTGGATCTCGGCGAGGTCGTCGAGGACGTCGAGCTTGGTGAGGTTGAGGGCGTCGTAACCGTTGATGAGGCACGAGTGCTTCATCACGACGAGGTCGAGCCAGCCGCAACGCCTGCGACGGCCCGTGGTAACGCCCCACTCGCGTCCGACTTCTTGCAGGTGCTCGCCGGTGGTCTGTGCGAAGGAAAAAAAAGATGATTAGTGAGAGACGGTGCGCGACGTGGGAACGCGGAAACGCACATTGAGCTGTTCCGTCGGGAACGGGCCTCCGCCGACGCGCGTCGTGTACGCTTTCATGACGCCGATCGTCTTACCTATCAGCTTGGGGGGGATGCCGAGACCGGTGCAGACTCCGCCGATCGTGGTGCTCGAACTTGTCACGTACGGGTAGGTGCCGAAGTCGAGGTCGAGCATGAGCGCGTTGGCGCCCTCGACGAGGACGCGCTTCCCTGAGGCGAGCGCCGAGTGCACGTACGCGACGGAATCGATGACATACGGACGGAGGCGCTCTGCAAGAGCCTAGATTCGGGCTGTCAGCGATGTTTGTCGCGAACGAACAGCGGGAACGAGATCACCTTGTAACGTTCGATCTCACCCTCGGTGTCGTACTCAAAGTGGCCATAGCGCTTGAAGCGGCCTTCGACGACCTTGCGGAACTTGTCGGCGAAGATGGTGGGGTTGAAGAGGTGATGAATGCGCAGGCCGGAGCGAGAAGCCTTGCCGGAGTAGGCCGGACCGATGCCTTTCTTGGTGGTGCCGATGCTATCGACGCGCAGGTCAGCCATCCCTTGTCGATGTAACGGAGAACTGAATGAAGGGAAAAAAAACGAATCGGGAGAAGTACCTAGAGCCGCCGAGCTCGACTTCCTTGAGTCCGTCGACGATTTGGTGGAAATCGAATACGAGCTGAGCTCGGTCCGAGATGAAGAGACGGCCCGTGCAGTCGAGGCCTGGTGGAATGGTGATCAAGAAGCGAGAAAATGTATCGAACGGCATGCGAACGCACCCTGGGCCTCTAGTGCGTCGAGCTCTTCGAAGAACGATGGTAGGTGGACCACGCATCCGTTGCCGATGAGGCCGGTGCACGTAGGGTTCACTAGTCCTGTCATACGGCGTGGTTTTAGATCGAGTCATAGAAGGGGGAAAGGGGGGGTAAGTACCACTGGGAAGTATGTGGAACGCGAAGGTGGTCTTGCCGCGACCGGGCATGTTCACGACGATGGTATGGCCTGCGTTGTTACCGCCCGCGCATCTTGCGCATATATCCGCTTGGGCGGAGAGGATGTCGACGAGCTTCCCCTTGCCCTCATCTCCCCATTGGGAGCCGAGGACGACGGTGACTGGGAGAAGCGCAAAGATCAGGTTACGCCTGGACGCAAACAGGAGAAGGGAGCAGTACCGCTCATGGCCCTGGCGAGGGAACGTGGCGAGACGTAACGCTGGAGGACGACAGGAAGGGCGACGGGACTGGAAGGTTTGCTCTGAGTCGGGGTTCGGAGGATCGGATCTGCCTGATCATCCTGCGCGATGTCGCGATCTGGCCAAGAGCACTGCGCCCAACGCATCGTTGAACTGCATGTCCGTCCGTCTTTCCTTGAGCGCTCGCCCGAGAACAAGCATTGCGACCTTCGCAGTACCCGTGTAAGAATGGCCTACACCTACGTATGTAGATGCAGGTTGCTCCTCTAACCCAAGATCGGGGTTAAGACTTGCTCTAACGCCGCACCGGGAGTCCGGGCGATTCGAGACACGACCGACGGGATGCAGGCGTGGACCAGATGTGAGCGTAAAACGGATCTGAAGAAGCAGCTAGCGAAGAGGCCATCAGTTGGCACAAGCTCGTGAATATCGCGAGAGCCCATAAAGCCACCCCGGCTACCGGAGGCCAACTAAAGTCGTGCGATGTCGGCCCTCTCTGCACGCGTTTTGTTTCGCCCAACGGCCGTCTCCGCTGGCGATATTCGTCGTAGCGGTCCTCGTCCGACATCTAGCTCACGAATCATCGCCGTGGATGTGAGCGGCCGTGAGCCAACATGAGCGGCTTCGGAGGTGTCCGGGACTCGCGTGCGAACGACCTTCCCGAACGAGACTTTTGGGCCTGTCCGTGCCCCAACGGGTTCTTGCAATCTGCCAACGCGACTCGCTCGTCGTCGCCTCCATCCGCTTCCTCCCCCATCCCTTCCTCCTCTTCGCCTTCCTCCTTCCAAAATGTCTGCCTCGGCGCTGGCTCGCATACGCCCCGCCCTCGCGCGCGCCGCCGTCCGTGCTCCCCGCTCCGCTTCCGTCCTTGCCCGTGGTCTCCAGACCGCCGCCGACAGCACGACGCCCATCTCGGAGCCGGCCCATTCTGAGCCGTTCAAGGTCCGGCTCCACGACGACTCGTTCCACGCCCACAACTTGGATGCGCCCAGTCTCGAGGTCGAGGTCACGAAGGATGGCCTGCTCAAGATGTACAGCCAGATGACGACCATGCGTCGCATGGAGATGGCCGCCGACGCGCTTTACAAGGCAAAGCTCATCCGTGGCTTCTGCCATCTTGCTATCGGACAGGTACGTTCATCGTTTCCCGTGGATCTGTCTGACGCACGCTAATTCAGCGGTTGGCGCGTACAGGAAGCTGTTTCCGTAGGCCTTGAGCACGGTATCACCCCGGATGACAAGGTCATCACCTCCTACCGTTGCCACCCCTTCGCCGTCCTCCGCGGCGGCTCCATCACCGGTGTGCTCGCCGAGCTGCTTGGTCGCCAGGCCGGCATGTCGCACGGCAAGGGTGGATCGATGCACATCTTCACCAAGAGTTTCTTCGGCGGTAACGGTATCGTCGGCGCGCAGGTTCCCCTCGGCGCCGGCATTTCGTTCGCGCAGAAGTACCTCGGCAAGAAGGAGGTCACGTTCGCGATGTACGGTGACGGTGCTAGCAACCAGGGCCAGGTGTTCGAGGCGTTCAACATGGTTCGTTATTTCACCGGCCGCTCTCGCGCGTCATCTGACGATGCTGACCGTTCGCGCTTGCAGGCTAAGCTCTGGGACCTGCCTTGCGTCTTCGTCTGCGAGAACAACAAGTACGGCATGGGTACCTCCGCCGAGCGCTCCTCGTCCAACACCGCCTACTTCACCCGCGGCGACAAGATCCCCGGTCTGCAGGTGAACGGCATGGACATCATCGCCGTCCTCCAGGGTGTGCGCTACGCGCGCGAGTGGGCGCTCTCCGGCAAGGGCCCGCTCCTCGTCGAGTTTGTCACCTACCGCTACGGCGGCCACTCCATGTCCGACCCGGGCACCACCTACCGTACTCGCGAGGAGATCCAGCGCATGCGGAGCACACAGGACCCGATCCGCGGCCTTATGCGCTACATCGAGGAGTGGGGTCTCGCGACCGAGGACGATCTCAAGGTACGCCATAAGTGGAGATCAAGTCGTGCTGATATTCATGCTTTATCAGAAAATCGACAAGGAGGCAAAGGCTACCGTTGACAAGTCCGTCGAGGAGGCCAAGGCGTCGCCCGAGCCGCCGCTCAGCGACCTCTGGACCGATATTTACTACAAGGGTACCGAGCCGCCCTTCATGCGTGGACGTGAGCGGGAGGAGGTGAGCACCTGCTACATCACGATGGCTACGAACAGCGCTGACAGCTTCGCGAGCAGGTTCACTACTACTAGACGCTCGCGCGCTTGTGATGTTATGCTATTCCCATTGCCTTGGGCTATAGATTAATGCGTGATTGGAAAGCGATCCGAGTGTGTGTGTGCGCGGATAGTGCATGATCATGCCGTTCCAATATCGTCTATTCGATGAAGTGCTGATATTCGCTCCCACCGAAACACCAGTTTTAGAGCTTCCCTGTGATGTTTTCGGGAAGGCACCCAGTCCGCTATCAGGACATTAGCCTGCGCATCTGGCCCTCTTGTTCATGCACCGCGTTGTTGACCAGCGTCATCTACATCTCTCACGAAGCATCATCGCCAGTTGAGTACATGGTTTGGCCATAAAGGAACACAGTCCGACGAGCGTGCGCCGTCAGATGTGTATCGACACGAAGTCGCCCAACACCGAGGAGCAGTCCAATGTGCCGAGCAATCGACTTGCGCGGCATCGTTGCTGAATCGTCGCGAAGCGGACCGAGTTTGGGCCAACAGCTTGGCAGCTTATTGCGCTGGGGGTGATCTACAAATGCATCGAGAAGCTGAAGTCCGCGGAGGTGTAACCTGACGATACTCTTGCATGTACTATACAATACGCCTTTGGACGACGTTGCGAGGACAAAATCGCGCATATATGCATGAATTACGACGTTGTATGATGTAAGATCATGCGTGGTCCCAAGAGCTACATCGACCGGCGTCTGCCAGTGTCGAACGGAAGGGCGCGATATGTTATCGTTACACATGAGAAGAACTTCGGGAGGGGAGGATGCAGAATACACGTCGTAAGTACAATTTAATTGTTTGATGATGACGATATGGGACCAGCGCCGTGAGTTCAAGGAGGGGAATGTAGGGAGACCAAGAAGGATGGGTACTAGCGCAGCTTCTTCGCCACGCCCTCCGCCTCGCCACGAGCGAGCTCGGCCGCGAGGTGCGGGTCAAGCGCCTCAGATTCGGGGCCGGCGGAGGGGGCGCTATTCGCGGTCAGCTGTTGGAACGGCGAGGGCGCCGTGAGCGGGCGGTGGAAGCGCGCGCGAAACTCGTTCGGCCCTGCGGCGGCGGACGCGGACTCGGCGTGAGCCTGCGCGTGGGCTTGAACGTGGGCCTGCGCGGCGTACGCCTGTTGGGCGTCGTAGGTGGAGACGCTGCCCGGGTCGGGGCCGAAGCGGTAGCGACGCTGGGGTGACGCGATCGTTCTGATCAACGGCGGATCGCCACGTTCGACGGGGATGGGAACCTCACCTCTGCGTCCCATTTGTCCCAGGCGTGGGCGATGACGGGCTCGAGCGAGGCAAGCTCTTCGGTCGTCATGGAGAGGGTGCGGAGGACGTGCTGCTTCAGGAGTGGCGCGCAGGAAAACGACAGGAGCAGCATTTGGGCGAAGGTCTGCCCGCCCGTTTGACTGTTTGGCACTTCGGGGACCGGAGGCTCTTGAATCATCGGTGGCGGCGGAGGAGGCGGCTGTTGCTGTTGCTGTTGCTGTTGTTGCTGCTGCTGCTGCTGCGGCTGTTGTTGCGGCTGGGGTGGAGGCGGGGCTGGAGGAGGCGGCTGCTGTTGCTGCTGCTGCTCGTGCTCGGGAGGAGGGAAGACCTGCTGGTACGTCCCATCGGGGTTGAGGTGGTATTGGACGTCGTCCGCCGTGGTCGGGTTGCCCATGTCGTACCCGAGCTCCTGCAGCTTGCGGGCTTTGACAAGCGCTCGATGCTTCCTCTGGCGCTCCCTGGCGGCGGTGCGCACGCGCTCGCGCCGCGCGAGCTCCTCGGGCGACACGTCTTGCGCGAAACTGGCGGCATGCCCCTGAGGGGTCGTCGGGTTAGGGGGCTGGACCGCCTGGGGTGCCGGGGGTGGTGGCGGCTGCGGAGGCGCGGTCACGACATGTTGCGGTTGCGGGTGCTGCTGCTGCTGCAGGTGTGCTTGAGGTGGAGGTTGCTGAAGATGGGGTTGAGGTTGCAGGTGAGCTTGGGGTGGCGGGTGCGCTTGAGGCGGCGGGTGTGCAGGTTGTGGCGGGTATCTGGGAGGGGGCGGGGGACGTCCATTGACGGGCGCATCGACCACCACCGGGTTTTCTGCACGGCCGCGGGCGGGGGAGTTGTCGATGTAGACGCCGAGGGCGGCGAGCCTGTCGCGCTCGCGCTTGCGGCGCTGTCGTTCGGCGGCCTTCTCGCGCTTCTGGCGTTGGGCGGGGGTCTCGTTCTCGCGGGAGCGCTTGACGCCGCGGGAATGAGCGGCGGACGAGCTGGCGATGGAGGCGGCAGCGACGACGCTCTGGACGAGGTTGGTGTGATCCATCGGTCCTTTGGGGGGGCGCGCTACACCGTTACGGCGGAGTGACGGCGACCAGTAACGGTTACGACTCCGAGGGCGGGAGTCCTGCGAGAGTGTGACGGGCGTCCGCATCTGGCGCCCTTCATCCGCAAGTCACACGCTCCGTCCGATCACATGCCCACTGGAATCACTGCAGCCGACATCGACGCAGGGATGATTGGCAAGAGGTAAACGGCCCGTTCCAACCCTCGGCCGTCGCCCGGTACGCTCACCCACCGTTTCTGTAGCATCCCGGAATTGATCTTCATCAGAGTCGCCATCGCATCTCTCCGCCTCCTGGCCCCGCTCAGCGTCCTCTACGTCGTCGCGAGCTGCTATGCACGCAGCCTCCTCTGGTCCCGATGGCTAGCGCTTTACGCGTGCGCGGAAGCCGCCTTCTGGCTCCTGGTCTACCTGCCGCGCCAGACACGATTGCAAGAGGTGCGCACATCCCGAGCCCGACGCCGTGCTTCCGCTGATCCCATCCAGGCCGCGACCCACCCGCCTTTGCCTCCCAGAGAAGAGCGCGAAGCCCTCTTCGAGCGCTGCTTCAGCATCATCAAAGACTCCCATGCCGTCTCGGGATGGTTCATGCCCCGCTTGTCCGAGCTCAAGCGCGAAGATGCCGAGGACTGGTTCCTCTGGGCCATTTTCTCCTCCGACCGCAAAGACTACCGTGAGGAATGGCAGGACGAGCTCGACGGTTATGTGCAGAAGCTCGAGACTATTATCGGCCGCAAGCTGGAACCCGGCCGAAGCCCGCACGTCAGCAGCTTGAAGGTCACCCTTGACCCCGTCGTCAGCCTCCACCGCCCGCTGCTGTGGTACGCTGTAAGTCCCGGTAGCTCGTATCCAAGTATACTAGCGCTTACGAACGGGTAGATCGTTTCTCTGATGGACACCATCACGGCGATCGCGATGCGCCTGCTCGGTTTCCAGCACCATGACTCCACGCCCTGGTTCAACGTCTTCCCGCCCCGCCCGCTCACCATCTTCTCTCGCCCTTCTCCGGTCCCCCACCTTCCGCACTGGTACCGCCCACACCGCTCGTCAAGCAAGCCGCCCATCCTCTTCATACACGGGCTCGGCATCGGCCTCTGGCCTTACCTCCCCTTCTTCCGCGATCTCCTTCGTGCCGACCCGGACGTCGGCATCCTCGCGCTCGAAATCCTCCCCATCAGCATGCGCATCACTGACCCGCTCCTTTCGCGCTCGGCCATGCTCTCCTCCATCTCCTCCATCCTCGCCTCGCACGGCCTCCCCCGCGCGACCGTCGCCTCGCACTCCTTCGGCACCGTCCTCACCGCGCACCTCCTCCGCGCCCCCGCCTACGCCCCGCTCGTCGCCGGCGCGCTCCTCATCGACCCCATCCCCTTCCTCCTCCACCTCCCGAGCGTCGCCTACAACTTCGTCTACCGCGCCCCGCGCGACGCCAACGAGTGGCTGCTCTGGTACTTCGCCAGCCGCGACCCGGACATCGCCCGCGCCCTCGCCCGCCACTTTTTCTGGTCCCAGAGCGTGCTGTTCAAGGAGGACCTGGCGGAGTGCGTGAAGGCGGGGAGGCGCGTCGCGGTTGTGCTCAGCGGGCAGGACCAGATCGTGGATGCGCCCGAGGTGTGGAGGTATCTGACGGGAGAGGACGAGCCGACGGCGCGCTGGAGTCAACCTGGAGGTGGCCTGGACGTGTACTACATGAAGGGCCTCGATCACGCGATGGTCTTCGACACTCGCGAGCGCCGCAAGGTGTTGTTAAGTGCGCTACGGGAGATCCAGGGTGCGAGCACATGAATTTGAAGTGTCGATAGAAGTAGATTAAGCGCATGCCGTATCCGTGCTGTACACACTATGTGATCTATAGAATATGTTTCCATTCATGCCGTATCCGTGCTGTACACACTATGTGATCTATAGAATATGTTTCCACTGAAAAACTCGGCCAATCTGGATCTTCAACGCTGATAAGTTACCTCTGGCGACTCTTGTTAGTCAGATTCCTTGTTCGGTTGCAGAGGCAAGGGGAGTTCGCGTACTCAGAATCAGAGTTTGGTGGACAGCTCGTTCCATGAAGGGAGTCCAAACGTTTCCGGGAGAGATTGCCATGTAGTGCGTTGAAAACCCGTCCACTTCCTCGAGGTGGCGGACGCACAGACCTGGCATAACACGCCTCCGGCAGAACCGAGCCACCACGGCCGCAAGATCAGCACTTCGCGCGCCAGGGTCAGTGTGACACTGTAGGACAGCCTCGCCTCCGTACAGGCCACTTGTCTCGCGCAATCGGGAACTTGTTCTCGACCCCAATGAGTGAACCAATCTCGCTGCTCGCATAGCAACTTTTCTCGGCCGAGAAGCGTAGCGCGCTGTGCATTCGGCGGTAGCAAAGCGACGCCCTGGCCATCATCCCTGGGTGCTCCGTCGAGTATGTTGACCATGGCGTTCGGGGAGGAAATGCAGAGGTAATATGCGAATGGGAGGAGAATTGGTATCTCCATGTCGATGGCCAAACCTTGCTGAGGCTGTATAACGAGCCAAAATTGATCTGGGTGGCTACCCACTGTCTCTAGTCTCTGGCTGACCACGGGGAAACAATCCGAGTACGATGTGGGAATCTGGCGTTTAAGAACGATAATGGCATCCTCGCGCAGCTCGTGCATCTGGTACTTCGTCGCAATGCGTAGGATCCCGCGTATGCGGGAAAACTCATACGCAAATCCATTGGTGACGAAGTTTCTGTATGAAGTATACCGGGTACTCAGTTCCGCTCGATCATTGCAGGCGAAAGATGTAGGAATGCTGACCGTCTGGCGGAAAGGGCCCACAGGACATGCCCGACATCGTCCGGTTCATCATATAAAGGAACTGTGGGAACGCTCCCGGTCTCGTTCTCTGAAGGATGTGCCAGTCGAAACATGTCGTGTAACACATCCGACTGCCTAGCCAGCATGCCACGGTAGAACCGGAACTCCTGCACGGTCCCACCTCCTGGAACACCTGCGCGTACGATAATATTTCCTAAATACAGTACCGGAGATCCTGTCAATAATGTAATACAGAGCGTTTTTCGTCCTTCGTTACTAACCATCGTCAAACCAGGGTTCTGCCCGGATTACTACGGGACTGACCGATGGAGATGCGGATTGCTCCATCGGCAGTAATGGTAGGAATCGACGCCCGTCGTACGCGCACGGATTCTGAAGAAAGGTGAGTGGGTGTGCTTTATTAATATCAATATTGAAGTGACGCTACGCACCTCCGAAGACTCAGGTTGAAAGCGAGAAATATAGGGGCATACGTGGGAAATTTTGCAAGAAGTATCGCTCGACTGGGCGTGAGTCTAAACGGCCGAGCCTCTCTTCCAGCGACCGCGTCCCCCACCGCATACACGCAAAAAATGGCCAAGAAGAAGAACAAGGCTGTATGTTCCCTTGCCTATTTCCTTGCATCTGTGACTCACAGGACTAGGTCATCCGCCCCTGGTGCTGGTACTGTGAGCGGGAGTTCGAGGATGAGAAGGGTACGTTTTGCCCTGTTGCACGATGACGACGTTCATCCTGACACCGTTACAGTTCTCATGCAGCATCAAAAGGCAAAGCACTTCAAATGTGGAATGTGTCCTAGGCGTCTCAACACCGCTGGAGGATTGGCAGTGCATATACAACAGGTCCATAAACTCGAGCCAGACCAGTGAGTCGCTTGTCCTGCGCGCCTTGGGTATCCATCCTGAAGGTTCGACAGGCTTCCTCGCATAGAAAATGCGCTACCAGGAAGAGACGGATACGAGGTTGAGATTTTCGGCATGGAGGGTATCCCGGCGCCTGATGTGGCGGACTACAAGCGCCGGAAGGAGATTGAACTGGGATTGGCTGCCGGTACTATATCCCAACCGCAGGCCAAGAAACCGAAGATTGAGCATCGACCACTGACTGAGGAGGAACTGCGTGCTCAGCTGGAGGCGCACAAAGCATTAATGGGCGCCAACAACGATACCTCGTCGGCCCCGACCACCTCAGAGGCGGTTTACAATGCTGCTCCTCAGACATACGCTGTTCCGGCAGCGCCGGCGGTGCCTATTCCCCCACCAGGAGCCTCGCCTCCTCCCGGTTTACCTGGAATGCCTCCAATGTTACCTCCTGGAATGCCTCCCCCAGGGTTCATGCCAGGACAGCCTCCATTCCCTCCGCCGTTCCCTCTGCCAGGGATGCCCCCACTGCCACCAGGGTATGTTGAGTCGCTGTAGTCTGGAACTCAATGCTAACCCGGTTATCCTAGCATGAGCCCGCCCCCCGGTTTCCCTCTCCCTCCTGGCATGCCACCACCAGGGATGCTACCCCCCGGTGCGCCACCCTTCCCCTTGCCGCCAGGCGTTATGCCCCCGCCGCCTGGTGTGCTGCCTCCAGGCATCGGTCCTCCGTTCTCCCCGCCGAACGCTGCCACGCCCCCAAGACCGCCGCCGCCTTCAGCACCGACGTTCGTTCCGGCCGCTAGCGCACATGCGCCCAAGGCACCCTCACCCTCTGCTGCCCCACCTGCTCCTCCGGCACAATTGACGCTTCCCAACCCCGCGTTAGCTCAGACCTTGCCCGAGTTCAAGAAGCCGACGGACTTGAAGTGGAGAGATCCCAACTTCTCACCGGTATGAACAATAAATACTCGTAGCTTCGTATAATTACTGATGTTCACACGCACAGGACGAACAACGAGCGAATCATCCGAAGTACTACTTCAACAAGGAGAATGCTGCGGATGTCGACGGTGCTGCTCACGAAGAGTCTCGCGGCAAGAAGCGGGCAAGGGCAGAAGACTTCCTTTAGGCCATCGGCTCTGCCGTTAGTTCCTCCCTGTTCTCAGCCCACGTTTGATGTTGCTAGGTCCGGAGAAGTGGGGAGATCGTATAGCTGGGGTGGATCAGCGTGGCGAAGCGGCTATCATCAGTCCGTCCCGTCCATCGTCATCACTGGTCTCCATGTCCAGACGCTCACGCCTGTGACTATCAGCTAAACATGTTCCATACTGCATCATGGTGCGGAACCTCTTTCTCCATGTTCCTGGCTACGTTTGTATGCTGTACGGTTGGTCATCTCTTCGATGGTCTTATATCAATATCCTGCATGATCGTAAGGTGTGTTCCAATCAACAAACGTGCCTATGAATAGGTTTAGGAGACAAGCCGCTGGCATCTCACGCCGAATATCAATATCGAGGCGCCCTGAACGTGTATAAGATTTTGTCCGTCCAGCTCATCGAGATGCGCTCAAGCGTATGACTAACGTTTGCCGACAGAAACTGGGTGGAGGGTAATCACGGACTGTCTACATTCACTGTCGCTCTATGGGGATGCTGACGCGACAGGGATCCTGACTGAGGTGACTTGCGTAAGGCATGGTGTAATGGTATCAAGTATCCTGTCTGATACGATTTGCCTACAAACCCTCGCATGTACCGTATTCTTATGTGATTTCTGTTGGGGTTTCAATGAAACGAGGACACGAGGACCGACGGTGCTAATGCTGCATTCTCATATCTTATGAAAGCGGTCTATGTAAGACGCTGTGATTCGGATAGTGACATGATGAACGGCCACACGAGATATCGCGAGACCTTTCCCTAGAATATGCAGGAAATGCATGTATCTCTGTCATGCTCCATCAGGACCTCCCAGATCAACCTGCGCCATCCATCGTCTCGTCTCTAGAGGCGGTATTCGCTCGTGGGCCTAGCCCGCCACCCCTATACGGCGTCGATGCCATTCAGCTCACGGACGGGGACATCGCACGGACCCTCGCTTGGGCAAGAGCGCACGACATACGCGGGGTGCGTATCGTCCACCTCATACATATAGATCGCCTGATGAATCGCTGCAGGTCGCTGCTGGCTGGCTTAGATCCAGAAAGGGCTGTTTTACTCTTACGTGACGACCCATCACTTTGAAGAGGGAAAGCCAGATAATGTCGGTGAAGCCAAGGCACGATGGACGGTCTCGAAAGAAGACAGCACACGCGCACGTAGCCTCCTGGACGCGTTGCATACGCATTTCTCGCCGCTGCTGTTCCAGGCGCCGGCGGGGGCGCACATGAACTGTACGGATGCGCTCGCGGAGAGCTGGATGACGACTGTCATACCCGAAGGTACACTCCGTAATGATAATCCTGCTGCAACGGAGACTGAAGAACCATGCTGCCAGCGATGGCTGCCGATGGTCTGAGCAGACCACTGGAGACCTTGCAGACGTGGATAGACGCGGACTGGTCCAGCAGAGCCGTATGCGGAGACTGTCAACAGGCAAGTATGATTACCACTTGCCACAACATGCTGACCTGACCTGCAAGCACCCGTACAGACGGTTAAAGACGAGTGGCGCAGTGAGCAAGCCAGCATCTGGGGGAAGATCGGATCGTGGCTCGGCTTGCCGGAGTTGGATGCTTGATCTGAGCGGATGCCCCAGAGACAGAATATATTATTACAATGTAAAAGTCGCATTCCATCGAATTCCGCAACAATACGAGCACGGCAGTGCAAGTCCAGCGCCTAGATTTTGGACCGAGCACCCAGCATCCGGTCCCGTCCACCTCTTAGTACAGCACCTTACTTAGGCGCTGGACCGCATTGAGGAGTATGTCGCCCTGCCGGATTACGGTATCGTACTGAGCGTTCTTGAGCGACGGACGATTGGTCTCGACGACGCCGTGAACCTTGTCGATCGTGCAGTGCAAACGGCCGGAGGCGATGAAGCGCGAGAGTTCGCTGCAGAGAACGTCTTGTCAGAAGAGTAGAATAACACGTAAACAGTCGTCTGCTTACTTGTCGACGAACTCCACGCTGACGCCGAACGCAGCGCTGAGGCTCTCGAGCGTCAGGCTTCTGTAGCTCTCCAATAGTTGCGAGTAGGCTAGTATACGCATCTCGCGTACGTAGAACCGAGTATGGGGTGAGAGGAGGCGGGATGGGATGAGGTAGGTTTGTTCAAGGGTCGCTGAGGACATGCCATTCAATACATTGAATACATAGATTACAGAAGAGTGAAGAGTCGCACCTAGAGCGACGAAGAACTTGTCATAATGACAGTCGTAAAGGTTCTTGGTGAGGTCCGAGAGAAGGGGGATATCCGGAAGGACCTGGTTCACTTCTGGAGAAGCGATGATCTAAACCACAACCAATCAATTTTGCCGTCTTCACGTCGACAATATACTCGTCCGCTAACCTTCTTTTTCAAGTCTACCCGTTGTAACGTAAGCGTGTTCGTGATGACGGTGAGGGCCACGAAGTCATTGTACGGTATTAATTCCGTCGCGGTGAATGTTGACAAGGAGTCGAAGAACAATTCGCCAGCTCGTTTAAATTGGCGGATTGACAATGCGTGCAGGCCTTGATAGACCTTGAGGCGGTTGCGACGGTCCCAGTCACCACCCTTTTCGATGAGCCTGAAGTCCCGCTAGTGAGACTCCGATGTGCAGCATATATGCGAATGGACTCACTCTTCCGCCTTCGCGAGGTTGGCTGTTATAAGGCTATGATCCAGGAAGAAGAAGCCGATCCGGACGAGTGTCAAGACGATGTCTATCCGCGAGCCCGCTCCGGCAGTCTTCTCCAGAGCAACTTTCTGAGCCTCGATTGCTTTCTCCTGGTTTGCAGGCATCATCAGACCCGCCCACGAGCTAGGCCCTCGGGAAAGCGCACCTTCTCTCCGATCCTCGTCAAGTATGTCGCTTTCGCTCTCAGCAGCTCCGCAACATCGGTCTCGCCCTCGATCGCTTTTGCCTCCTCTATCCTCTTCTCAAAGCTCTCGAGCTCCTCCTTGTTCTTAGTCTCTAGTTCTGCCAAAAGCTTCTCGTCAAGCGGTAGTGCGCCGGAAGCGGTCACGATGCGATAGTAGGGCGCCATTTCATCCGTTTTGATGCCATCGAGGAGAGATGTGCGCGCAGAAGCATGAAGTTGGGAAAGGGATGGCTTAGACAAGACAAAGTAATGCTGGGGAAGGACGAGGTTCGGGTACGGAAGGACGGTTTCCTCGGCCATGATGATTATTCTACAGACGATCTGGAGGTCAGATAAGTTGGTATGGACGCGATATGTGAATGTACTGACTGGGAGGTTGGAGAACGCGTCAGCTTCGAGACGCGCGTCGTTCGTGACGCGTACCCGTGCTCTCCTGCTCGACGTCCACGATCATCCTGGTCCATCCTCCGAATTTTATCTACAATAATGTCGGCTACAGCGTCAAGGCTGGTAGAAGCGGCCTCGCTTGCAAAGTCTGAACCGAAGAAGGCCGAGCAGATCTACAAAGACATTCTCAACGCCGCCGGTGCGTTTGCTTGATCTTCCACCGCGCATTCGTATACCGACATTCTGCCACAGCGTCAACAAGTAGTGGTGCACCGGAGTCCAGCGAGGCGCTGCGGGAGCAGGAGGCTGCGTTGGTGAAACTCGGCGAACTATATCGAGACCAGAAGTGCGATCCATAAACCCTACCACCGATGCTCCTCACTGAATGCTTATCAGGAATGCGGAAGGTGTCGCTGAAGTCATAACTCTTTCACGATCGTTTATGTCATCTACGGCGAAAGCCAAGACTGCCAAACTCAGTGAGTTGATGATAGCATGCACCCCTTCCTTGATGTGCTCATCGTCTGCTCATTCAGTCCGCACCCTCCTGGACTTCTTCAACTCTATACCCAACTCTCAAAAGACGCAAATCAGGATATTGACCGACAACGTCGAGTGGGCGAAGCAGGAGAAGCGCATCTTCCTTAAGCAAAGTCTCGAGACACGTCTCATCGGGCTGTAGGTCTCTGCCTTGTTCTGCGCACATCGTAAACCAACCTCCATAATGCAGGCAGCTAGAAACCAATCAATTCAAACCCGCTCTCTCACTGATCGACAACCTCCTCACCGAACTCAAGAGGTTGGACGATAAAATGATCCTCACCGAGGTCCATCTCCTGGAATCACGAGTGTACCGTGGGATCGGCAATTTCGCCAAGTCAAAGGTATGTCTTAACCGCATTCTTCAACTGTTTGGGGTTGACCGTCCCTCAGGCTGCTTTAACATCTGCCCGTACCGCTGCAAACTCGATATACTGTCCACCGCATCTGCAAGCCGCGCTCGACTTGCAATCCGGCGTCCTCCATGCGGAAGACAAGGTATGATTTGCATGGTATTGTCCACCCAATCATCTGTTGACGGCAAACAGGACTACACAACCGCATACTCCTACTTCTTTGAGACGTTTGAGAACCTTTCCTCTCAAGACGATCCGGGCGCATTGAACGCGCTCAAATACATGCTCTTATGCAAAGTCATGCTCAATCTGGTACGTGCGACTGGTCGCATATTTGCTCTATCTCCTTCCATGAGATGTCCTGTCCTCATCGTTCTCATGGTAGCCCGAAGACGTTACCTCTCTACTGTCCATAAAACTGGCGGCGAAGTACGCGCAACTCCGGGAAGTTGAGAGCATGCGCGCCATCGCTCGTGCACACCAGAATCGAGACTTAGCCGACTTTGAGAAGGCATTGCGGGACTATCGGGATGGTCAGTAGATATGCCAGGCCAGTTCAGAGAGGGCGCGCGGCTGAAACTTGCCACAGAGCTCTCATCCGATCCGACGATCCGTTCCCATCTTGCTGCGTTGTATGACACTCTCCTGGAGCAGAATCTCCTCCGTATCGTCGAACCTTACTCGGTAGTGGAGGTCGAGTATGTCGCACAACAGGTCGGCCAGGGACGACAAGAAGTCGAGGCCAAACTGTCACAGATGATTCTGGACAAGGTGTTCTACGGCGTGTTGGATCAAGGACGGGGATGTCTGCTGGTTTATGACGAGCCGGAAGTGGATGTGCGTATCACGTTCTTCGTGACCATGATCACGAGTAACATTGGACGTTATAAAGGACGCGTACGGGACCGCCATTGATACCCTTGCGGAGGTTGGGAAAGTCGTGGACTCACTATACGCTAAGGTAGTTGCCACTACTCACCTCACGTCTGTCGCTCACAATCCCGCAGACCGTCCAGATCGCGTAGCTCATTGTTCATCATAATTGTAATGCATCGCATCGTTCCGATCCGTTCTGTCCCCACGCCGTTGTCTCTCAAATCGACCGTGCGGTAGAAGAAATGGAGTATGAACGGGTGTTAGAATCTTGAGGATATCTCACGATAACGATTCCCAAAGTATCATCAATCCAGGCATCGCGACGTTTTCCGAACCCTGAGGACTCTGATTACTAGGTCTTAGGGATGGCATCCAGCTATATGGTAACATATACAGTCACAGGAAGGGCTTGACGCGTCTATTAGTATGCGACGCTGACGATCTGGTTTTCCCACTTCTCCCAGTTCTTGATGAGGTTTTCCGCCACGTAGTGGGCAACGTCTTTCCTTGATACAGTGGTGAAGCCCTTGCCATGGTCGCCGACAGATGAACGGTACTTCTCGGTGCACGCACCATCTGTCAGAAGTGCAGGGCGCACGACCACCGTGCTCGCAATGGCGCCCGTCGAGGGCAAGTCGTTCTTCCATGAACCGTCGGACGGAAGAACGTCGGAGGGGGGTTCCTCGACCGTCCATGGTTTACCAGCAGTCTGTGCGAGCACACGCTCCATGCCGAGTTTGTCGTCATGCGGCTGCCGGAGGAGGTAGCCGTACATAGGACGAAGGGTCCACGGGAGGTTCTTGTGCGAGGTTTTCGTAACACCGGTCGAGGATATAACGACGACCTTCAGCTTGGGTGGAGATTGCGGAGGAGCGGCGCGGAGAACGTTGGCGAGGGATCGCGTGCAAAGGTCGGGAGGGGTGATCACCGCGCCCTTGCGGATGTTCCAGGAGGGGATGCCGCCTGGTTCGAGGAATTGTGTCAGGCGATTGCGCGCTGTGGAAGGGTTGTGGCATGAACTAACCGAGCGTGAAGAGGAGCAGGTCGACATCGATACCCCCTGCCGCTTCCCAGCCTGCACGAACCTCGTCTTGGTTCAGGGCATCGCCTTTCACAAGCTTCGCTTTGCCGGAAGCGACAAAGCGCTGGATCGTCTCATTCTTGTCAAAGCAGGATGGGTAACGCAACAAGAACGTTACGCTGTAGCCCGCGTCTGCCAGTCAAGACGACGAAGATGAGCATGTGCGATCTCGTGTTGGAAGCGAGTCTGCACTTACTTAGGAGACGGATGGAAGCGTGGTATCCGATGTTACGGGAGCCACCGACACAGAACACGTTCATTGCGGAAAAGCGCGTCGGTTCAGAGTTTGTAGAGGTAGATGATGAGATAGGGGCTTCGGTGATGAAGGACGCCTCACGTCCTAGCGCTCTTATACGCTAGTGCCCTACGACTGCTATATCCCCCGCGAGTTCCGTAAGCGCCATCGTCGATGGTACGCGTTATGCTGGCGATAGTGCCGAACGCTCACTGCGGCTTGCGGTCACAGTATGAGACGTGGTCGCAGCAATGATTGCCGGAAGAGTTGGCGGCGAATCCAAACTGCGGGAAACTGCCCGTTGGTATCGGACGCTGCATCACGAGTGACCGCGGAATGAGCAGAAGTGAGACGCGGTAAGTTGCGGTTACTGCGCGCGCCACACAAGTTGTCTGCGCGCCGCAGGCCAGCATTGGCCTCATTCAGCCGGAGGAAATGCCGGGTGGTTTCGTCGCAGGGTAACACGGCAGAGTCGGAGAAAAGGCCACGTTGGCAAGCTATGCCACGACACCGTCCTCTACCGTCTACGCGAGAACGAGGAATGCACATGTGCATATCGAATATGCCGGGAGCATACATGTGAGCCGCTGTTATTCCCGCACATGATACAAAATTCTCTGAACCCGCACACCCGCGGAAGCAAGGTAGAGAAATACATCCCATTATCTTTCACCTAGCGGGAGCAAGTCGTAGGAAGGACACAAGTCGCGCCAGGAATCTGGTTTCGTTCCAACGAAGCGTGTCCAGTCAGAGTGTGGTAACGTCGTCAAGATGAAAGCAAGGCACTAACCCGTCGTACGGTCCGTTGTTGGAATATCCGGAACGTCTTCAGCGAACACTGTTGCAAAGGGCTCAATGCTCCGGACAAGGCCGTTACGACAACCCCATACCAACTGCGAACCCGGCATTCAAGTGAGGTTCAATGTGACAGTGCAAGAACCATGGTCCGGGGTTATCCTGTGCAAGCACTAAGCACATTCACGTGGAAATCGAAACGATCTACTCACAGTAACAAAACGGATCGTGACATTGTCGCTAGCACCACCGATGCTGACGGTATCACGCTTGACCGGATTATGGAAGTTATACTTGTCGGAGCCGGCGCTCCTCACTACAGAGAAGGCGTGCTGTCATTGCGCAGTGAGCAATCTTGACTAGGAAGCAGCACGGACACATACACCATGCAGATGTACGGGATGCTACAGAGACCGGTGAGCATGATAGCCGTTACCCCTCAAGGTGAAGCTTACAGGACCGCCGATGGCATCTACGTTTGCACCAGGCATCGAAACCTGTATAACCTTGTTGCGCGGCAATGTATACACACTTCCCACCGGCGCAATCTCGTGAGCAGTCTTTGCACCCTTCAGTATTTGGAGTAACACAGGGACGGGAGGTGGTATGAAAGGAACCCCGTTCACGGTGAAAAGACCTGCGGTCTGGAAGGAAGGAGAAGTCAGATGTGCGAATGCCGTCTGTAGATGCTACTTACGAAGTTGAATGCAAGGTTAATATATACGTCGGCTTCCCCTTGAGCATTCTGAGGCTGTGAAGTAACGTTAACAGGCCGTCTGATGTAAGGGACAGACAACCCTCACTGCAGCAGCATTCTGGAGTGGCTGAAAGCGGTGTTAGCGAAATAGGGAGGGGTATAAGAGTAAGCAGACGTACATGGAGATTGGTCTCCAAGAGAAATGATCCTGGGGACGTAACGTTTTGGGTCGGCTCGCCAGAGCTAGCGCCCACGTAATGCAAGACGGCACTGTTAACCCCGTTGAAGAATCCGTCGTACATAGCATCATTAGGTTGCGCGCGAATCCCTGCGGTATCATATCAGACCGTTGACTAAAACGTTGAAGTGATTTGACTTACAGTAATTATCGACACGTTTGTTAGCATTCAGCTTCACCATAAGATGTGAGATAACCTCTCCACTTGATTGGGATATAAATGCGCACCACAAAGGAGTATCGCTGCGCTGGTTTTATTGAAAATATATGAGGATTGATCCTTCCAAGGCGAGCGGAGCTTACCGGCGAGAATGTTAAGAGAGCCGACTTCTAAAGGCTGTACATTATTCCCTTCCACTTCGATAATCTGTGCATATTAATTCAATGGTGCACGTGTAAAATATCCTCGCAACGTACAGTCATCGAGTGGCCATCAATGGAGAAGTTGAAGCTCGGGTCACAACTGCGGATCAGTGATTAAGCCCACATGCATATGACACCGGGATGATGCGAGAACGCAAACCTCATCGACACCAAGCGGAACCGGTATCTGTGTTTCGCATGAGACCGAAGCGGTGGGTGTTATTGAGACCTATCAACATACCGTTTCCCATGCTCCACATTAATGGTAGCAAGGTTCACGTCTGGCCCGCCGAGATATCTGCCTTTTCCGTTGATTAAGGTAGACCATGCCTGGCTGTGGATTAATTCAACGTCAACGAATGTCAAGAGTCAATGGAGTGGAGGTCATACAGTGGAGCCGGAATTTGGCTGGAAACGTTGTGATACCTGCAGAATGGCGTCAAATTAGCGTCCAATGACCCGCAGACATGATACTAGCCAGTCCGATAGAGTGATTACTGTGGATTCTGAGATATCTGGGAGTCATGTCAAGGACATTATTGCTCGATTTATTGCTTACCATCGTCAATGTCGTACAGATGCTTGGCAGGATCATCCGGATCGTAGATGACGAGCGGCCCTTATACGCCGTGAGAATACATATGCGCTAACGGGTAAATAACAGACCTCTGAGCCCATCACAATACTGTAAAGATTCATGGGAGTGATACCAGTGAGTTCCCGTTTGATTTATTGGATTGAACTGATACGGAAACGAGTGGTCTGTGTTGCGACAATGAGAGAGAGTTTCACATATCGCTGGTAAAGACTGACTTGGTGCGATCGGGCATTGCGTCACAAATGCGGGCCCATCTGCGTAGACTGACCCATATCGCTGCTGGATACCGTGCCAATGCTAGCCATGCAACGATGGGGATGAGAACGTCTGCTTGGTTCGGGGAGTAAATACATACCACTGTAGTGGTACGGTTCATCGATGTGTCGTGAAGGTAGTCCTGTACATTGATAGCGAAATCCTCTCCCTTGATTTGCGTCAGCGTGAATCGAATTAGAACGCGTGCTAATTGTTACCTTATTCGCCGCAATGAGGGGTCCCGGAAACGTTCCTCCAGCGAGAACTGCGCTTTAAGGATGTTCAGCTTACCGAGAGTTCAGCCGCCAAGATGTTCACTTACGGACGAGGGAAGCCATCTGGTGCGATGACGCCGTTCACGATGGGCAGATTGGTATGTGGCGGGAGAGCAGCCAGACATGCACCGGCTGCCAGTAGAATAGCAAAAAATGCAGCAAGCACGACAGCCATGGTGTGCAGAACACGGCCGCTCGAGAGATAATAACTCGTTTAGAAGCGAGGTGCTCCTTGATCGGACACGGAGGATAAAGCGAGTTCTTATACTGCGGCCATCCTGACAAGCAATCTTCGACTTTTTGTGTGCTTTCGATGAGCGTGTACCTTGACATAGCACATCAGAGGCCGGCGCGCATCGGAGATCATAGCGCCATCTCATGGCAGACCCAGAGGAACGATAGTGTGTCCTAGTCGTCATCAACGGCAGGGAGCTCAACACCGGATCCGGAGCCCAGCGTTCCGCAATGAACATTATCTTGTTATTATCATTGACACCCCGCTGGGACCAGTCCTTACCAGGCTACCTGGAGAGCATGGCATGAAGATGAATGATCGTATCAGTTGTGGGCCGATCGACGTACGCCAACCACAGGAACAGTGCTGATGGATACCGTTGTACGACCGACAACAGCTATAGCCGTGCACTTCGATTTTCGCGGCTAATTAGTCGCTCTCCCGCTTTTAGGGCTGTACTAGTTACATTAGCTGTACCGTAGCTGTCCTAGGTCAATGTTAGTCAATGACAAGCTCCCTCCCGGGCGTTCGGTAGGGCCTCCGGGTGTGGGAAATGGCGATGACATCCTGGTGCTTCTCAGAAGCATTCCTGGGCGGTAGTGCTCCTCCCGGGCATGGTGGCTATGCCCCGTACACATGCAGGCCTGCTGGCTTCCCAACGCACACGATTTATGGCTAGGTATTATAGTACGAGTTGTCATGGTGTAGTTTGTGTTTGAATTGCGCTTTCGGGGCACTACCAAATAAAGAAATACTCGATTTGGAATCACAGAATATGCGATTCCTGCTCTCATATACTCTCACGGCCAGATCTAAGATCATTGATACCGATCATCAAGTCAAAGATTGTACTGATCGTGGGAATCCTGGAACATTGTGAAAAATTTCCAAGTCTGAGCGTTATAGATATTCCCACGGATCGAGACCTGTGGTATGTTCCTCCTCAGGGTGTCTGCCTGAACATAAGGCTGCAAAAGCACAGTATAATATCTGCTATATTAGTAAGACATTAGATGTCCCTTGAGAAATGGGCCGTGTTAATGTGGGGGGAGCTTGATAAAACTCTCGCGGTTTGCTCTTACCGGGCAAAATTCAGATAGGATAAGGTACCTAAGTGATGCCTGTGCTGAAGCGGCGGAGTCGGAAGTTCAAATAAAGTCACGTGCACACCGGCCCGGAGCACCGACGACTTTTGACCTGACCCTGCAGGGCAACCGTACCCGTACCCTGATGGTCATTTCCCGCACCCGGAGGTCCTACCGAACGCCCGGAAAGGTGCTTGATACGGAATTCCCACGTAGAATGCTTAGGTAACCACGGACTGAGCCATAGCCGAGGCAGGCATTGACTGATATTGACCTGGCACAGCTACAGTACAGCCATGAAAAGGCGGCAGAGCGACTAATTAGCCGCGAGATTCGACAACCAAGTGTACGGCTAATAGCCGCGTACTTTGTATAACTATAGCTGACACGGCTGCCAGGAAGATTGTTTCAGAGTAGTTATGTGCTGTAAACTCGGTATGGTACCACAGCTCTCGAAGATCCGTGCATGCTTGATAATGATACGCGTCAATCGCTATGCAAGCAATGTAACTCAGAGTCATCGGTATCGTGGACGTAAGTGTTTGTTGCAAGTGACGAGTGAAGATCTGGTGAAGCCAGCATACCAGGACACGCGTTAAGGTTGCAACCCGGGGAGGACGACACCATTGCGGGCCGACGTTAGCAGCTAGGCCAGGTCTTTTCCATCGCCGTGCGGGAAGGTTCAGCACTAGCCTAACACCTATGTCTCCATTGTGGTTGAAGCGCCTCCGTTGTATCGTAAGCATGTGCCGAATAGGATTTCTCTGGGGTGGAAGTGAGAAAGGGTGCTTGATAGCGTCGTAAGCCTCTGAAGCAGCCAAGTTAGCCTCGGTCAGAGTACCGAGCACGGTAGGCGCTGCAGTCGCAGAGACGGCTCGGCTTGTCGATATGTTTGATGCGACAGTTAGCACGGCATCTGAACATAGAAACCAATCATACTGAGTTTCGGGCAATACTTGCGCATCCGTTGCAATCGGATGGGGCAAGCCGCACAAGGAGGAAGATAGCAGTCTCGGTGCCGTACCAACAAACACATACTAATGCATGTCACCGAAGGTTGTGTGATGTCATGACGACAGTCCTTGCCATGTTTGAAGTTTCGTATAGTCGTATGGGATTGACGGCTTGTCGGATTTATGGCGACCATGTGCTGGTACCAGCCGCATCTGATGTGAACGGAGATTGTAAAACATCCAACACGGCGGCTCAGTGAAGATACGGAGAAATTGGGCTTCGACGAACCTGTGGAGCATCATGGTGTCGACGCCCCGGCGGATGACTGATGGGCCGTTTGGCACGTTCGGCCCGAATCGGGAACGCCGTGTAGGCATCGCTGGCAGAATACAGAATGCGAACCTATATAAGCATGCCAGACACCGGAGAAGGTTTATGATAAATCGTCGTCACATTGAGATAAGATTCGGACTGGAGTTGGTACTACCGATGGAGTCGGCCACCCCTACAGTTGCAACCGCATCTGTCATGGGCAATATGACGAGACTGAAAATTGAGATAAATGCGATAGTGAAGACATCTAAGTAGATGACGAAGCATGCGTGGCGCGAGTCGAGACAAAGTTCCAACACCACACCGTCGTTCAGCCTTTTCTGACGCCTTTTGACGCCTCACGGTCTTAAATCAAATTCCACGTCGGGTGATATACACAATGTCTACGTCCGATTCCGGCAAAAAATAGCCGATCGTGCCTTCCGAGCGTGTCCCGGTCCTCGGAAAAGCGCTCGCTATGGTGGTCACCATGGTGCTCTACTAGAGCAAAAGATAGGAATGTATCTACTCCTGCAGTGTACTGGTGGCAGAGCGGGCTGAAGTAGCCAAGAAATAGCTCTCGCTCCCGTAACCGTGTCAAACAGGGTCGAAGAAGCGTACCGGCCCTTTGCGGTACAGTTGTTCGCCACCACGATCGCGAGAGTACATCATTGTACACGGGCAGTGCTGCTCCGACAACAGGGGCGATACAGACGAAGCCCAACGGGATAGCGATCAAGGGGGCTGACAGCAAAGTTGATCGGGGGTGCTGTTGGGACGAACTGTCTGAAGGATCGCTTAGTAACGGGGCAGGTCCGATTTCGTGTGGAACGGCGTGATTTCTGTAAAGAATCGGCTTCGAATCGTGGAACAGATCTTCCGAGTCATCGCTGCACGCGAACGACAGGGCAGTCTTCCTTACTTGCAGGTTCGTTCGAAGGAGGCTGCGGCATGGCGGACATGTCCGCTAACATGGGGGAGTTCTCGGCGAGGAGGCCGCGGAAGACGCGAAAATGGGTGCCTTGAAGGATGACGTTTCCTCTGACAGAACTGGTATGAGACGACCACCGGAGATTATTCCGCAGGAAATACTTGCCATCGTCGTACCAGATGGGCGAGCGTCGACTTGGTCGGTCCGTCGCTCATGGCGCCAAGAGGTGAGGATGAGCGTCGGAAGGTTGATAGGGATGTATGAGCAGCACGAACACGTGGGGATGCCGTCGAAACCATGTCGTCCATTATTTCACGAAGAAGGAAGGTAGTCTGAGCAGAGTATGGTCATTACTCGAACGACAGTTAGCCTGCGCAAGGTATCGTCGTGACTCGAAGTAGAGAAGGGTCGGATCACGGCTTCCTCGTGGTCGAGTACAAAGTGAGGAATCGTTCTACCGAAAATAGGGTAGACGATCGTTATGGTCCAAAGTAGAGAAGACGTAACGCGGCCCGTAAACTCCGAAGGAATGATCATGCTTGCAGATCCCTATGGAAGAGCAAGCGTTCTATATAATCCGTGCAGGCAGTTGAAGGTCCGTGTTCAACTAGGAATAACCTATGCGAGCGTATGCATGTGCCGGTGCGACGCCGCGGGCTACAACGCTCATCCTACGAGATGGTCCGCAACGCCTTCGTGCACAGTTTTGAGAGAGCATATATGGCAAGGTTGCGGCCAAGTGGTATCGTGTACGCGGAACGGGATGAATCGTATTTCGCGCGATGCTGCCCGATTCGGGCGTTCTCGGGATCAGCTGCACCGGGGGCCACTACTTCGGAGGACATGGCGGTTGTACCCAAGGGTTAACGGGTGCCGGGTGGAGGCCGACGGCAAGAGTGCGATCTGATTGACAGGTGGGTGAGTAGGTGCTTGGGGGGCTGGGCAAGTATGTTCGCGCACCGACGACCCTACCCCTCCATTTCTGCTTTCTGCTTGGGCGACTGCATCTAATCCGGACGAGCTGGATCAGATCGCCCTCCGAAGGCGCGCGATCTCTGCCAAAAACGTCCCGCCTTGTCGTTGGAGGCTGTCCGGAGCGTCGGCGGCGTTGAGCTCGACCGATCGAATCGAAAGCTTCCGACGTCGCGTCGTCGTCGCCCTGATTCTCAGTTTTGTTTTGGAAGGGTAACGGGGACATCTGTGAGACGCACGGAAAGCAGGCACTACCACGAGCAGGGGTAGACGTTTCTTCCGGGCGAGTTTGTGTGGGCTGTGCTTGGCGAAGACATCACCATGGGAGGACGAGAGGGAAGCGCGTGATATCGGGTGAGCGGCGATCCGACGTTGGTAAGAAGTCGAAGGGTGCGTGGGCCGTTATCATATATCCGGAACGAGGGCGATCCGCCCCGTGTACGGAGGTCGTCTGGGCTTGCGGCTGCAGGTGGGTGTGGCAAATCCTCGAGGTTGTCGTGGAGGGCGGTGGACCGTGTAACGGTCGAGGACTAGGACCCTGCAGGATAGTTTGGGTGGTGGGCGGACTCGGTGGATCGGTCGCTGGCTGCGGACGGGTTTGCACGTCCAGAGGACCTGGATTCGCGGTCAGCTCGGAGGAGTCGTCTCATGGGCGTCTACCATGGCGTATCGACCGACGATCGTTCAAATCAAGCTGGCGCACAGACCCGGTGCAGGGGAGGGGGATCCCAGGGTCATGGCCGGGTCTGGGCGCGCCGCGGTCGTGGCGGCTGCGACCGCCGCTGGTCGCCGCGTATTCCGCGCACGGTGCTCGGCGTCGTCGAGCGTAGCGTTGCTCAGAAGGACGGGCGCACGGACGGCGACGAGGTGGGGGACGGGCGGGGGATGGCAGGATGGTACATATCGGACACCACGAGTTACGTACACGGGGATCGATGCGGCGTGCGTCCGTATAAGGCACGGCGCCTCCTGCCTCCTCCGCTCATCAGCCCAGCCTCTGCCGCCGCCGCGAACTCGCCCAGGTCTCGAACCCGCGCCCGGCCCCGTGAGTGCGAGCCTTTTGACCCCCAGCGCGCCGTGGCTGACGACACACCATGGCCTCCCCCTTCTCGTCCCCGCTCGTGCCCAGGTCCCGCGCCGCCCGAGAGCGCTCGCCCCCGACGCCCGTCTCCCCGCCCAGGCGCCTCCCGCCCCACATGGACCACCACTCCAGCCAGTACCGCCTCCACCACTACGCCCAGCAGCCCACCCTCCCCTCGCCCTCCCAGCTCAACCTGCCCTTCCCCCAGAGCTACTCCCGCCCTGCCTCCTCCCTCCTGCCCCCCATCACCTCCGCCGCCCGCTACCCGCCCGCCGCCTACCACCCCTCGCTCAGCGCCAGCACCCTCCCGCACTCCCCCTATGCCCACGGCCCCGCCAGCCCCTGGGCCCACCGCAGAGACAGCGACTCGATGCTGCCCCCGCCCAGGAGAGACCTGAGCCGCGAGCGCCGTCGCGACGTCAAGCGCGAGTCGTCCTCCTCCCACTCGCGCGAGCCCCCCGACCGCGACCACGCCGCCCCCCAGTCCGCCGCCGCCAGCAACCACGGCCAGCAGGAAGAGGGCGCCTCCTCCACCTCCGATTTCGTCAAAAAACTCTTCAAGATGCTCGAGGACCCCGCCATCGCCCACGTCGTCAGCTGGGGCCCCGCCGGCGACTGCTTCGTCGTCAAGGACATGAACGAGTTTACAAAGTCGATCCTCCCGCGCATGTTCAAGCACTCCAACTTTGCCTCCTTTGTCCGTCAGCTGAACAAGTACGACTTTCACAAGGTAAAACGATGCTCTCTTTCATCCATCGATCCCCTCTCACGTACCACTATCAAGGTGAAAAACACCGACGACAACCAGTTCGGCGAACACTCCTGGACCTTCCGCCACCCTGACTTCCACGCCGACCGGCCCGAGGCCCTCGAGAACATCAAGCGCAAGGTCCCCACCCAGCGCAAGTCCACCGGCGGCGGCATCCCCTCCTCCTCCCACAAGGCCCAGTCCGGCTCCCCCGGCCCCAGCGCCGAGGGCTCCTCCTACGAGCGCATCTCCATCCTCGAGAACGAGGTCGACCGCCTCCGCCAGACCAACGACGACACCATCCTCCGCCTCCGCGACCTCGAGGCCCGGTACGAGACCGTCCTCGCCGAGATCGTCGGCTTCCAGCGCAACATGGCCCAACAGGACTCGGTCATGAAGGACCTCATCCAGTACTTTCTCAAGATCGAGAGCGGTTCGTCTTCCTGCCCTCCTCCGCCTCTCTGATCTCCGCTTGACGCGAACCCGCCTTCGTCAAGGCAAGCTCCAGTCCGCCAACCCGTCACAGTCCGGCAACGCCCCCGCTCTCCCCGCCCCCGGCACCGGCACCCCCGACGGCAACCAGTTCATCGTCGCCGAAGACGCCCAGCGCCTCGTCGGCGCCCCCTACACCGAATCCGAGGTCGCCCGTGCCTCCCTCCTCCAGATGAACGAGATCTCGCGCCGGGCCGAGAGCGCCGGCATGTCCTTCCAGCTCGGCGGGGGCGCCGTCGGCGGCGTCCCGATCCCCCCTTCTTCCTCCTCCGACCCGGCCGCGGGGGCGACGTCGTCCATCGGCGCGGTGAGTACCAGCCTCGACTTGGCCATACCCGGATTCGGAACGGATGTTGACCTGCGATCTCCGGCGGCACGACAGGCCCACGCCCGCGAGCGACAGGAGGCGATCGAGCGCATGCAGGAACTCCAGCGCCGCGCCGAAAACTCGGTCGCCTCCACCTCTTCAGCCGCCGCCGCCGGTCCTTCCTCCTCCTCCTCCTCCGCCGCCTCTGGCCCGACCGCCTCCAACGGGATGGACGGCTCCGAGCCGTTTCTGATGCCGAGCGGCGCGGAGCAGGAGGGTCTGCAGGTCTTCACCGTCGGCTCCCTCCTCCCCCGCAGCCAGGTCGACGACCCGAACGGCAACTGGACGTTCGACGTCGGCGCGCTCGGCGCACCCGGAGCCTCCTTCGACGCCACGACCGCGGACGGACCGCGGAGCCAGGCGGAGGCGGGCGGCGAGCTCATGCGCCCGCCGAGCAAGCTGCGCGTCCGGCGGTCGACGTTCGTCCCCGGCTGGGCCGTCCCGCCGCGGGTCCTGCTCGTGGACGACGACGCGGTGACGCGCAGGCTGTCGAGCAAGTTTTTGCAGGTGTTCGGGTGCACGACGGACGTGGCCGTCGACGGCGTCTCGGCCGTCAACAAGATGAACCTCGAAAAGTACGACCTCGTGCTGATGGACATCGTCATGCCCAAGCTCGACGGCGTCTCCGCCACGTCCCTCATCCGCCAGTTTGACCACATGACCCCGATCATATCCATGACCAGCGCGAGCAAGCCGAACGAGATCATGACGTACTATTCCTCCGGGATGAACGATATCTTGCCCAAGCCGTTCTCGAAGGAGGGCCTGCTGGAGATGCTCGAGGTGCGCGGACCCGCCGTCGTTGTTTTTTTCGTATCGTTTTCGCTGACCCCGCCTTTCCGGTTTAGAAACACCTGATGCACCTCAAGGTCTTCCAGCAAATGTCGGGCAAGGTGCCGAGGCCGCTCACCCCCGCCGCCAACTCGTTCGAGGCGCTCAACCTCCCGACGACCAACCCCGCGGACGCGATCACGGACGGCTCCGCGGGCGGCGGCGCCGGCGGCGCGTCCGTCGTCGTCGGCGGCAAGATCAACCCGCTCCAGGCGTTCGGGATGACCGAGGAGCAGTACGCGGCGTTGCTGACGACGATGGTCAGCGAGGACTCGTTCGGCGGCGATCGCGGCGCCGGCGGGATGAACAAGCGCGCGCTCGAGATGGAGATGGACGACGGCGAGGGCCGGGACGGCAAGCGCGGCCGGTTCGAGGAGGTGGCGTGATGCGATCGTGCAGATATATATATATATACGTTGTATCATCACGCGAGTGTTTGCTATAGCATAGTTTCTTCTTCATACCAAACCCGAACCATGTATTACTTCTTCTACTATGCGGTAAACTAGGGGGAGGTCGTCGCACGGCCGACAGCATATACAATTGCGATACGTGAAAATTTGTCGAGTTTCAGTCGTCTTGGTAGTCGTAGTTGTGACGGTAGCCCGGCCTGCCGTGGAAATCTGCGAGAACCGTGAGCCATGGAACTACGAACCGATGGAAACGAGAGAAACGAACATGAACTGGTGTCGCGTACGGGACTGACGCCCGCGACGGCGGCGAGGTTCACGTATCCTCCGCCCGAGCGTGGCCCGGCGGAAGATGCTCCAGGCCGGATCCATGCGGCTCGGCACCAGACGCAGGTCACGGTGCTCGACCGTTTCGCCCCTTTTTCCCGCCAAAAGGTTCGTCTCAGTACAAGGAAACGCAGGACAGACGTGAACGGGGGGGCGCGCGTACACTGCTGGAAGCACTCCTTGTGGATACCCTTTCCGCACTCGTCGCAGAAGGAGAGCGTGGCCTCGGCGACGCCGTGCATCGTCTCGTAGCAGATCGGGCAGTCGTCGCCCGCTTCGGGGAGGCGCTTTTTCTTCGCGCTGCTGGCCTCGTCCGCATCCGCCGCGGTGGTGGTGGATCTGCCGGTCGCTTGCAGATACGCCTGGCGGACGCGGGCGTGGGCGACGGCATGTGGGGCCGCGGGCGCGCTGGCGAATATCTGTTCGAGTTCGGGTGTCAGGAGGGACCTGCGCGATGGTTTTCGGTTGGCCAATAATCACGGATATGTGGATGGTGTTTGGTGTTACCTTTGATACCAGGCGTGCGAGTGCTGTGGCACATGTAGAACTGTGTAACGGGTCGTCATGCGGGGAGAGAGCGCACGAGGAAGATACTGGCAGTACCTTTGAGGAACACGAAGAGCTGCGGCATGTGGACGTCAGTCGTGGGCGAGCAGCGGTTTCGGAGCCACTCACGACGTGTTTGCATGTATGTCCTTTCTGTGCATCAGGGCCTGCGTGCGGGACGGTGTCATTATAGGAGCGGGAAAAAAGATTGTGCCCCGCGTACAATTGCAGGACGGCTCTTTGTCGATCACGACGGTGTATACCTGCGATGTATTCAGCTCGACGTCCGGTACGGCCAGACACCTCCTACGTTGCCCGTGGACCCGAGCACGCTGAACTCTTCGCGGAGCTGTTCTCCCTCCCGACGACGATCGACCATAAAGAACCTGTCCCGGTTAGAGCACAGTCAAGATTCCCTCGGTCGATACATACCGTTGTGTCATGACCCTGTCAACGCGTTGCAGGACGTCCTTAGGGCAAGAGGCGCGGTAACGTCGAAGGCGTTTCTCCACTAGGCGATAGGAGGACGCGAGGTACGAGTGTCCGCCTATCAGAGGACAGGAGAGCGTCAGGGGGCGACAAGGGTGGGAGCACCCGCCCGCCGTAGTTGGTTTGAGTTCGGGGCGGGCGTCGGTGCATCCCACCTCTTGTCGCCGCCGCCACTTCGGTTTTTGGTCGATAAAGCTCGTTCACTATACGTTCGACTCGCGTTTACGTCTTTCTTCGAAATACTTATTGTATCGGTCATTCGACATGCCTCCCTTGAACATCGGGCGAGTTTTCCATCGCACCAACGCCCAAGGAGAACGCCTTCCACGCACGAACGCTTCTCAAGGGCTGAAAGAGTGGTGGGCTCTGCAATCGGTGGATGCCCGCTTAGAAAAGAATAAGGATCTGCACGAGAAGAACAATCAGCGAGAGTTCAGGCATTTAAGGTACCTAGCCGGGGACCCGGCTTATCCGAATGCGGCGTCGGACGACGAATCGGACGTGGAGATCCTCCCGGAGGAGATTGAACTCAATGAGAGAGAGAAAAGGGCGGCGGGCGAGGTACCTGGAAGGCTGAAGGTCCTGAGCGCGGAGAACGATGTCGGTTTCGGGGAGATAGGCAAGGTGGGGTTCCCGCACTGGTTCCAGGACCTCCTCTCTCGGGACGCATACTTTCCCCTCCACTTGTTTACCAACAAGAACCTGTGGGAGCTGCTCATGTTAGGAGACGAGATCCCGACGAAAGCTACGAACCCAAAGAATAAAGGGGAGAAGAGGCCTTTGTACGCGGACCTCAATCACAAAACGGTGGTCGACAAGATCGGTGTCGAGTCTGACCTGAAGCATGGCGACTGGGTGGTTGCCGTGAACAATCTGCTTACTTTCTACAAGCAGTACGCTGACCGACCTTTTGTGTCGCGATGGGAGCAACATTTCCGTCTCCTATCCACGATCCCGGATTGCGCGGAGAACTTTGAGGCGGTCTTGCGCGTCGACATGGACACTCGCCGTCGCTATGCGGCGCAGCCGTTCACTTTCGTGGCTGCCACGCTGACCACCACCTACGAGCTCACCAAACGCGACATCAAACAGGAGAAGGAGAACGTCCGTCTGGAGAAGAGCAACGCTGAGTTGCGGGAGGAGCTGGCAAGGAGGACACGGGGGGACGGTGACGGCGGACGCCGCGACCATGAGGGCGGTTCGCGGCGGCAGCCCCTCGCTCCGCGTTTCCACCCATACAATGGCCAGGGCTCGTCCTTTCCGGGCCACTTTCCAAGCCGCAAGGACTACATCAAGAAGACCGACCCAAAGGCGACCTGTCTACGTTGCGCCGCGACGGGACATTCCTTCCAGTCCTGCAAGGCCACACAGGTCGTCAACGGGAAACCATGCTACATCAACACGTACGGGAAGGGCAACAACGGCCTGTTCTTCTGCGCCCGTTACAACCTCAAAGGGGGCGGAGCGGATTGCCATCGTGCCGAACAGGGCGACAGACACTTCTGCTCCTTCTGCGGGCTCACCAACCACCACGCCCTCGCTTTCAAGTGTGTCGTCAGGCCTCCCGGTGAGGCCTGAGACACGCGCAAAGCCCCAACCGGATCTATCCCACACGCTAATCCATCGCGCACGCCTTCCTGATACGACATCACTAGAAGAGGAGGTTTACTCGCGCGTTGTCACCCCTTACGACGCGGAGGCCTTTGGGCACCTCCTGGAACAGACGGGTCTATCTCCAGCCTACCCGCTCCTCGTCCGTTTCCTCAGAGACGGTTTCCCGATGGGCACCTTTCCGGTCCTCTCGCAGACGGTCATCCTTCCGAATTCGAGGTCCTGCGATGGGCATGACGACATTATCTGGGAATATATACACAGCGAAAAGGAGGCCAGACGCTTCTCGGGGCCGTATTCGCAGGCCGAATGCGAAAGAGTATTACGCGGTCCTTTCATGGTATCGCCGCTACTGATCGCAACCTCAATTACGGACGAAGGGAAAGAGAAACACCGGGTCTGCCGGCACCTGTCCAAAGGGGATGAGCGACGGGGCCTCAACGCTGTCAACGATCACATCACTAAAGAAGACTTCCCAACGCATTTTGGCACCGCACGAGATTTAGCCGAGTTGGTGAGTAACACTATGTTTTACTGGATACGCCAGATGGATGCCGCTTCCCTGGGGGTTGTCGGGACAGGATTTGCCGCTTCCCTGGGGGATGTCGGGCGATGCAGCTCTGGGAGCTTGCGGACATCAGAGGCCGCTTATCGGGAAGGGTTGTCGTGCGGCGCGTGCTGGATGAACGGGACTGGGGCCCGGCACTATCGTGCGGGGCAGACCCGCTCAGGGCATGGGGTGGAGCTCTCCATTGTGTGCGGGCGAGATGCGCTTCAGCGGGGAGCTGACATACATGCGTGGCAGATCGCGACGTCAAGGCCAGGGACAAGGGCTATGACGCTGGACATCGCAGCTTTCCATCGTACATGCCCAATGGCGCCCGCCCACAAGCCTTGGTTTGTCGTGCGAGCACCCGATGGTTCCTTCTTTGTGGACCACACTGCCCCGTTCGGCTGCGCAGCATCCAGTAGCAACGCCGGGATGATAGGGAATGCCATCGCAGACATCTGGGAGCGGCTGGGCGTCGGGACTTGTATCAAGTATGAGGACGATTTCACCTGCGCGCAAGCGCCTATCAGCGACTCAATACCCCCATGCTACATGTACGACAAACGGGCAGCGATCGACCTCATCGCCCCCCTTCAGGTCCCGTGGCATGCCTCAAAGGGTCAAGACTACGGCGACGTATGCGTTTCGATTGGTTTTCGTTGGGATTTCAGCCAGCGACGGGTGTCCCTCCCTGACGCGAAGAGGACGAAGTTTCTGGAAAAAGTACGCGCCTTCCTGGTTTCATTCCGCAAGAACCGATGCTCGCTATATGATATCCAGTCTATCCATGGTTCTCTCTGCCATATTGCTTTTGCTTATCCAGCGGGACGCTCTCGACTCCCGGCTTTCTCCAACTTCGCTGCCTTATTCGCCGACAACCCGCACGCCAAAAAGTACCCATCCCACGCCGTGATCGCAGCTTTGGAATGGTGGCGCGAGACCCTCGAAATGCCAGGCGTATTCCGTTCCCTCGTCCCTCGGGGGCCTACCATAGACATGCACCTGTTCGTCGACGCCTCTACAGACTGGGGCATAGGTTTCATCTTTGGCCAACGATGGGACGCATGGGCTCTCGTTGGCGACTGGAGATCCAAGTGCAGGCATATTGGCTGGCTAGAAGCAGTGGCCCTCGAGCTCCTCGTATACGCTTTGGACATCGAGGGATTGACGGACATCAGGTTGAAGGTCCATTCCGACAACCAAGGTGTCATTGGTGCCTTCGACAAGGGCCGGTCCCCAAACCACGAGATCAATCTGGCTATTCGACGGATGGGGGTAGTTTTGGACGCACGGAACATTAGTCTGGATTTGGTGTATGTGGCGTCAGCCGACAACCCAGCAGATCCCATTTCTCGCGGAGAGTTGGGCGATCCGGAATCTCGTTTCACGTCGTATGCACTGCCACAGGAGTTGGTTGCGTTTCTGCAACGGGTGTGAGCCTTCGTCTTCGTACTCTACGATCTGTATTTCTGCACTGTGTCTCAACATCATGGCCTTTGCCTTTATGCAACCACCGAGCTCTGGCCCGAAAGGAGGGGAGATCACTCAAGGAACTCATGCAACCGGGCTCGCGTCACTCAGCAAGGATGAGTTGGAGGCTCGTATTCACGCCAAGCGGGCTGCGCCTGCAGCACCTCCTACATCGGCAACAGCGCAATCAGTTGGCGCCCGCCAATCCTCACTTTCCGGAAACTTCACGACAGCGACACCGAGCCGACCGAATGTCCAGGCACACGAACGCCTGCGCTATTGGTCGACATCATACACGCAAGAGCGAGAACGAGATGTTGTCGACCGGCTGGGCCTAGACATTGCCACTGCAGCAAAGGACGCAGCGATAGAGGGCTGGACGAAGAAGACCAGGGAAGTGTATGCGGCGGGCCCACTGCGTTTCACGCAATTCTGTCAGGAGAAAGGTGTCCCGGAGGCCTTATGGATGCCAGCTGACCCCTTCCTCATCGCCGCCTTCATTGCACATTTTCAAGGCTCAGTTGGCGGATCTTGCATCAAGAGCTGGTTGTCGGGTCTCAAGGCCTGGCACGATATACATGGGGCACCCTGGCATGGAGGGTCGGCCTTGGTCAAGCTTAGTCGAGTTGGCGCATCGCGAGCTGGTGCGAGTCACACGAAACCTCCCCGTTCCCCCATCACCATCGCACACCTACGCGCCCTCGAGCAGGGCCTAACACTCACGAACCCGAAGGACGCAGCGATCTGGGCAGTGGCGACGAACGCGTTCTGGGGATGCCGTCGCCTAGGGGAGCTCACCGTCCCCTCGCTTGGAGGCTTCGAAGGGAGATTCCACGTACAACACGGCACACGGATGGATTGGAGGCGCGTGGCGGCAGCGGATTCAGTCTCGTACCGCATACCTTGGACGAAAACCACCAAGGACGGCGGCGCGTCGGTCACTCTCAACGAACAGGACGTCGCCTGCCCTCTGCAGGCGCTTTCGACACACCTGGCGGTTAACGGTGGTGCGGGGCCCACCGAGCATCTGTTTGCGTACAGGGACCCTTCAGGGCTGTTCAAGCCCATGGTAAAATCGGTTTTCTTGGCCCGTTGCAACGAAATCTGGGCTGGGGCGGAACTAGAGGAGGTACAGGGCCACGGTTTCCGCATCGGAGGGACCACGGAGTTACTGCTGGCAGGGGTTGCACCAGAAGCGGTGCAGAAGCTGGGTTCCTGGTCTTCGTCGGCCTTCTTGGCGTACTGGAGAAGGGTCGAGATCATTGTAGCATCCAACATCGCGCAGGCCTACTCTAGGGAGAGGATCGAGGTCGTCCGCAACTCGATCGAAGATTTTCGTACCCGACACGGACTCGCACAAGCACGGACAACCACCCAGGAAGATGGAGACGCTTGATGTCCAACCTCGCCGCGCTCTTGGGGGGTTGCCTGCCACTCGCTTTGCAGTCGCGCCCGGCGGAGGAGCTTAGCTCGGATGGGGGAGCCCGGCGCGACCTGCCCAGTCTGGGTGGGAGCGCAGCAGACCTTCGCCCTACCATCTCTCTCTACTGGATGTACTGTACTCTTCGTGTTCTACCTCGGTAATCTCACACATAGCCCTTAGTGATCCTGTTAGGCGATAGGAGGACGCGAGGTACGAGTGTCCGCCTATCAGAGGACAGGAGAGCGTCAGGGGGCGACAAGGGTGGGAGCACCCGCCCGCCGTAGTTGGTTTGAGTTCGGGGCGGGCGTCGGTGCATCCCACCTCTTGTCGCCGCCGCCACTTCGGTTTTTGGTCGCCCACCCACCCAACCCTTTCGATAGCACCTTGGCACGAGTGGGTCCGAAATCATTGGACCACTGCGTGCCTTGGAGCTCAAGGTCCTCCTTTCGCAGGTGGTACCCGGGTGGGAGCGCAGCAGACCTTCGCCCTACCATCTCTCTCTACTGGATGTACTGTACTCTTCGTGTTCTACCTCGGTAATCTCACACATAGCCCTTAGTGATCCTGTCACAGGGGCGTCGGGATCCTTCTTCTTGCGTTGCTTCTTGGCCGGGGATGGTAAGACGGGTTGAGCGGAGGGACCGACCGAGGTAGTATATGATCCATCGTACGTTCCTACGTATTCATCCAGCTGAGCGATCGCTTTCGACGTTCTGCTGCCCTGTTGCTTTGGGGGAACATCGACAATTCCCGGACATGACGACGGGCCAGCATTGCAAAAGTCGTCGACGTCCTGCCGTTGACGCTTTCGAACCGACATCGTTCGTGCTCTGATACCGTAGTGGATGAAAGTCTATTCAGAACGCAAACGCGACGCGTGACTTTATAACTCTTGTCTCCTTCGATGACGGTATCGCGCTTTGCCTTCTTGGCATTGTTTCTCAACCTCTGGACGTGGCTCAAGGCGCAGGCGTTGACAAAGGCCCGCCATGCGTTGCTCAAGGTGCTCTCTGCAGGTCCGGTGCCGCAGCACATCGCGTTCGTCATGGACGGCAACAGGCGACACGCTCGGCGGCATCACAAGCGAATAGCGGAGGGCCACTTTGACGGCTTCACGGCCTTGCAGAGGGTCGGTCGGCTTTGTCGAAAGTGGACCCGACCTCGAGCTTTGACGAAGGAAATTGTAGATACTAGAGATCTGTCTGAAGATGAACGTACGCTGTGTCACCGCGTTTGCGTTCGCGCTGGAGAACTTCAAGCGCTCCGAAGAGGAGGTCGAGGCGCTCATGGATCTTGCGGAGAAGAAACTGGGGGAGATGTGCCAGCACGGGTATGCGACATACAATCCAAAATGCTTTCTGTACTGACGGGTGCTCAGAGAGATGCTTGACCGGTACGGCGTCCGCCTGAATATCCTCGGTCGGAAAGAATTGCTGCCACCTCGGGTTCGGGAGGCAGCGCGCAAAGCAGAAGAGATGACCCGTCACAACGATAGGGCCATCCTGAACCTCTGTATGCCTTACGGCTCTCGGGACGACATGACCACTGCGGTCCAGAAAACGATACAAACTTTCTTAGAGAAGGGCTTGTCTCCAAGGTCTCTTTAGAATTACCCTCAACGATAGCCCATTTCTGATTGCGATGTTAGAGATATAACGGAAGAGGACATAGATGCGCACATGATGACTTCACTCGGCGGCAGTCCCCCCGTGGATGTACTCATCCGGAGCAGCGGTGTCAAACGCCTCAGCGACTTTCTTCTATGGCAGGTATGGATCGTTGCGCTGTCTTGAATATTCTCATGCTCAGCCCTGTCCACCTAGTGTTGCGACGATACGCAGATCCAGTTTTCCTCGACGTACTGGCCCGACTTTGGTCTATGGGATCTCATCCCGGTGATCCTCGATTTCCAGCGCAAGGTCTGGTCTAAGGAAGCGCATAAAGCGAAGCTCTCACCTTTCGCTTTTCCTGGCCCGGGTGTAGCTGGGCTTAGAGATTACCGTCGATAATCTGCGTCCAATATACGACGTAGCCATGGGACGTCTTCACGAGGTTCGCTGCCTCCGTACCTGGTCGGGACGTATTCACCACCGGTATCAAACGCTCCCGTCTTAACACGACCATGCGTAACATCTTCGCAAACTGCAGGAGTCGGAAGGCAGTGGGCTGGAACCCGGACGGCCCGGGCAGGTCCTTGGATGGAGTGGTGGTTGTCACGATGGTACCGCTTGGGCGTCGTCTCCATATGAGATACCCTGATGTTCGCGCGCTAGCCACTGGCAAGCGTTGACTACTGTACTCTTACAGTGTATGTCGCACATACGTAGTCCGTCTGATCCAGACCATGTCAGGATCGCGGCGGAGTAGCGCCGTAGACGTGCGATCGTCGCTATTTTTAGCGGCATCATGGCGTCACGCAGGTATTGTTACCGCCACCATGGCGGGGCTCGGATTGAGATAACTTATAACATCCACGACCGGTGCGGAGATGCACACGATACTGCTCTACGATCTCCACCATGCCCAGCGACGCCATCCTCGCGCTCGCCACCGGCCCCGACACCGTCACCAGCGTGCTCGCCCGAGATCCGACCAGGGACATTGACAAGGTCGCCGAGCAACTCTTCCCCCCAAAGGTTGTCGGGGGGAAGCACTCCAAGGAGGCAAAACGCGCGTTGAAGGGCCACGAAGACTACTCGGATCTCGATCTTGCACGGGCGGAGAAGTGCGGAAAGTTCCCGTATAAGCCGAGCGAGCTGTTCTTGAAGGTGAGCGTGCGGAGTTGCGCCTAGATCGTGGAGGATTGTAACATGTCGGACAGATATACTCGGATGTACTAGACACTCTCGAGAGGAATCCACTGATTGGAGTCGTCTCCCCCCCACTGCTCGGGTCATCTGGAGTTGTGACCCTGAGCATAGTCTCGACGTACGTTCCTACCAGCTTTTAATAAGACGTACTCATGACCATACAGGATTCCGGATATCATGAGGCACTACAAGCATTTGATTGTGAATTGCCGATTCGAAGTCATGCTCGCGACAAACTTTTGGCAGGAATCTTATGCTTCGTCGTTGTAAGCACACCGTTTGCTCATAGACGAGCATCCACTCAAGATCCGCACAGCGTACACGATGCTCTGATCGAACTATCTCAGCGATATATCGCAGACCCGTCCAAATACCGATCGAAACCCGTTGTCAAGTTCATTTATGACCGTGGTTCACCGAAGCAGGTTTTCCAAAACCATTTGCACATTAAACCGGAAGAATGGGCAGGGCTAGGGCTTCCCAAGCCTGAGGAGATACCGGGAATCGAATTCGAGGCAATGGTATACCCGAACCGCTCTGTCACCTGTTCCGTTCCCTGGGATAACCATTCTTCTTCTAGAATTACCACCGGCCAATCGCCGGCACCTTCCACGCCAAGTACATGGTCGTCGATAGACGTATCGCCGTCCTCAATTCCAACAATATTCAGGTGTGTCAAACAGGATCTACCCGCGTTGATTAGCATCGTGTGTTGACACATTCTTGTCGTGCCAGGACAATGCGAATGTCGAAATGATGGCGCAGTTCGAAGGACCGATCGTGGAGTCGTTCTACGACATGTCATTGATCAGCTGGGCGAAGGCCTCTTCCGTACCCCTGCCACTCATCTCGGGACCTTTCGCACCCGCAACCGACTTCAAATTTGGACGGGAGAACCCAGCCGTTGAATGTTAGTGATTGCATCCAAATAGCCTACAGGTTGCGTAACCCCGCACGCACAGATGTCTTCGTCCCTCCCAGCGAAGGGGGTGTAGCTGGCCAATGGCAGGCGCCGGATAAAATTAAAAATACACCTATCACTGCGGAGGACTTCAAACCGCACATCATCCATGAACCGCACTCCCCGGTTCCGATGGCTATGGTGAATCGTCATCCCCACGGCAGTACGTTGTACCCACGGGAACGGGATGATTTGGATTGCTCACTAGTGGATCCTCAGCTCCTGGCCACGAGGATGTCGATGTGCCTCAGAACGTTGCTTGGTTAGCTGGCTTCAGGCTTGCGCAGAAGAGCGTCTTCATGTAACACTTCGATCTTCATCCGGAGTAAACCATCACTGACTCTGTCGAGACAGCCAGACACCGGACTTCAATGCTAAACCGGTGGTCGAAGCTTGCTTAGATGCATGCAAGCGCGATGTCGTATGCACGCTGTACCTCTGTCTCGGTATGTTCTATTCTTTGCGTACGCGGTTTGTATTGACGTGATATAGGTTACAACGACTCGGGTGAGATGCTTCCTATGCAGGGAGGCACCAACAGCAAGGTCGTGATCGATATGTACACTGCGCTGAACAAGGAAGGCAAAGGTCACAATCTCAAGGTCTACTGGTACACCGCCAAGGACCAGCACACGCCCATTGACGCCGCCAAGAAGGACCGCAATTGTCACAGTCAGTATCCTTATTGCTCCGTCGCTCTCACCTGCTCACCGCATGCAGTCAAATACGCCTGCTTCGACGACCAGGTCGCGATCATGGGCAACGGCAATCAGGACACGCAGTCCTGGTTCCACTCTCAAGAGATCAACGTCATGGTCGATTCCCCGCAGATCTGCAAGGAGTGGTACGAAGGCATCAATCACAATCAGAACACGCGCCAAGATGGTTTGCTTGACGAGAAAGACGGTTTGTACCGTGATAAGGAGGGCCAAGTCGTTCAATCGGCTGCGGGTACAGCTAGTACGTGGAGATTTGGATCAGGTTCGCAGTCTAGGCGCTCACATCCATCTCACAGGCGGGCCCACAGCGTTGCTCAAGGGTATCAAGGGCACAATCGATCGTGTCCGGGGGGTGGGCGGTACCGGTGGCGCTTAAAGTTTACATGATCCGTCACTTCGTCTGTGTCTCTATTCCTAACGTCAGTAGCGGAACCCACATTGTAACAGTGCTATCCTACGTAACAGGACGTTGTATGTTATACATATAATGCAATCAAATGGGGTATATATGACTTGACCGAACGCTGCCTCGACACAAGATTAAGAAGATTCAGAGGCGGTGTCGCCAGCAGCCACCTTCACTACTGCGGTCGCACCGACATCTACTACACCGAATCCTCCTTCCGCCTCCCAGTCGTTCACCCCTTCTCTGTCACATGCCTCCTTCAGTTCTAATATTGGCTCGAGGGCCTCGATGTCGCTTCCGGCGAACGTTGCGAAATGCATCCCTTAAATATTGTCCAAACCCGTTTGAGACCGAACGGGAGCCAGGTAGACTCACCTAGAGTATGTCTGGATCTTATGTCCTTGTGAAGAAGCAGGGCATGAGTTGGCGACGCGTGTAGACCGTCTAACAGGTCCGTGGAGGCGATCTGCGATGGACAACATTTATCTGAGAGGTCAGAGAGACCACTAACTTTAGGTACGCACTCTCATGCCCATTGCGGCAACCCAAGACAGGGATCCACCACGCCATATGGGAATCATGGCAAGATCGAAGGGACCATATTTATCACCGATTTCTATACGCTCATGAGGTCTAGCGATGGATTTCTTGATGTCAACATTCCATACCTTTGAATGCAGGGCACGGACCACTTTCGGTCATATATCCGGTGTCCCTGCGATATGTGTGAACCATGTAGTCTGATATAAGAGGTTGAGAAGTACAGACCCTGCGTAATAAATGCTTGCCCCGCCTTCTTGCACAACCCAGCTCGCCCATAGGGTAGTAGCCTGGTCGTGAATCCCGCGCCCTGTTCGACACCGTCATGACAGTTTCTCGCCGGACGCATGACGGCACTAACCACTACCATGTTGAGCCGGACAACAGATGATTCGAGTTCGTTCACCATCGTGCACTCCTGGGCGAGGAAGATCGATGAATTCCCACCAATCCAGTTCATGTATCTGTTCGGCAGGAATGCCACACGACAGAAACCAAGCTTTATTACCTGCAGGAGGAATTCAGCAAACGACACGATCCATTCAACACAGTAACACTCACCGAGAGGCACGATATAATGTACTCGTTTGCCGCGATTCCTGTGTATTTGTTCAACGGTCGGCCAATCTAAATGATCATAACTGGGAATTGGTTAATCCAAAGACCGCGCATCCAAGCTTATGTTATCTCCTCACTGATTATGACTGGTTATCAAGAAATGGAATTCCGGGAGTTCTTCAAGGCTGCATGGCGGCGGAAGCCGCCGCTTGGGTCCCGCCCACTGAGTCGGAGAGGCGCGCTCGGACCATATGGGATCGAAGACCACGCGAGTGGGGGTTATTGTTTTTGCTGCTGGTAACTGTACTATGAAGCCCTTCTCGCCGCTTCAGCAATGCTGCCTCCCTTTTCGAGTGGTCGAGACACTCACGGCATGGCCCAACCATGTAGCTTTCACCCTCCCTTCGTCTGGCTCTGATCGCCCAAAGTCTGGTTTGACAACCTTTATCTGCTTTGCGGGATGATTATGCAGACGACGCGCCCACTCTAGCGGAAAGCGATTGAAGATGACTTGTCCAGACTCGAGTAGCGACTTGGGCTGAACCCAGGGATTCCTGAATGCCGTCGACTTCGAGTTCGCATGGTGGGCAGGTATAGTTGAGCCGTTCTTAGTCGTGGTCATGATGCGGATCGCGGATCAAGCCCACCGTTAGCCAAGCGAACGAGGCATGTATATCTGATGTATATCGTTACTCCAGCCTTCTGCACGAGGATGACACAGTGCTGGTCGAAGCGATGATGTCACTGTCTTGGGCGTACTTGTAGCAACAGAGTCATGTGATACATTAAGTGCCAGCTGCTGCGCTGCTGAGCGCTTAGCGGCTGTCTTGCCGCATAGATATTGCACCAGCATCGTTCAAAACACCCAAGATGAACTGTAACCATCTTCGAAGCGCATGCGTACGTCCAAATTGCATGGCCGAAGCACACGCAAGCAGGTCGGCGTCCACCAAACGGCTCACGTATCCAAATCTGTCCCAGAACATGATATCCGATCAACCTCTCCTCACCTGAACGTACCACTCCAGGCCCATATCGAGTGCTGGCGCCGAGATAGACGGCATTTCAACTGTCCGCCGAGCAACCGAATGGCACGGCACGCACTGTTCATGCGAATATTCAGCGACTGCACAGCGACCACGCAAGATGTTCCGAACCTTGCGACCAGAAATGTCATCGCCAACCCTATCATGTTCTGTGTTGCGCGGTAGCCACGGCCCTGCGCCCTGGTATATTAAAGTGAGCAAAGAGTTACGAATAGACGCATCCCAAACCCACCCACTGAACTCGCAGTCATCCCACCACCTTTCAACACTTTCACAATGGCACTTAAAGTCGCCGTAGCAGGTGTACGTCCCTTCAGTAAAATCAACACGCAACGGTCCCGTAATTCACACTGTTACAGGCCACTGGAACCCTTGGCCCGTACCTCGTACAGGGCCTCGTCGGCGCCGGGATTGATGTCACCGTCCTTTCTCGCCAGGCGAGCGTGTCAGGTCTCCCCGCCGCCGTCACCGTCCGCCAGGTCGACTATGACTCTGTTGAGTCGCTTACCGCCGCCCTCCAGGGCCAGGATGCCGTCGTGTCCGTCGTTGCTCAGACGGCGGTGCTCAAGCAGAAGGCGCTCATCGACGCCGCCGTCGCCGCCGGCGTGAAGCGCTTCTTCCCGGCCGAATTCGGGGTCGACACCTTGAACCCCAAAGTGCGCGCTCTGCCGATCAAAGCCCACAAGGTGGAGATCCAGAACTATCTGGCCGAGGTCAGCGCGAAGACGGACCTCACCTACACCATCCTCCTCAACGGCCCATTCCTCGACGCGTACATCGCGCAGGACTTCCTCCTCGGATACGCCGGGCTGAAGAGCCGCCGCGTTACACTCTTCGACGGCGGAGATGTCGCATTCAGTGCGACGACCGTGCCGCACATCATCCAGAGCGTCATCTCCATCCTTCACCACCTCGAAGAAACGGAGAACCGCGCGGTCTACGTGGAGGACATCACCTTAACCCAGAACCAGATCTTGCGCCTTGCGCAGGAGCTGACTCCCGGCGAGACCTGGACCACCGTCCCGGTCAGCACGGCTGAGATAGCGGCGACAGCATACGAGGCGTTGGGACGCGAGGGTATGACCGAGAAAGTCGCCATCGATTTCATTTTGGTCGCGGTATGGGGACAGGGGATGTCGGGCAAATTTGCCAAGACGGACAACGAGCTACTCGGCATCACGCCCCTGACGGAGGAGGACGTGAAGGCTATGATCAAGAAGGCGTTGGATTCATTTTAGGTCGGGTTTTATTCAGAAAGAATGCATGTACGCACATGGTGCCATAAGTAGCCGTTTGTTGTATATACTGGAGCCCTTGGATAGATGGATATCGAATCCATTGGCGTTTGTTGTAGCCTGACGTCAACACGCATTTTCTCGAGACAGTCGGCACAAGGATCACGAGTAAGAAACGAGATCTACATGAGTTAGCAATACAGAAATATCTATATACCGGATTGCGTGCATGAGACCAAAGTCCTTAGAAGTCGAGAAAACCGAACGAACGATCACTGTGGCCACAAATTCTTCAGACCGGCTAGGAATAGCCAACGCTAGGGACGCGGTGGTGGTGCAGCAAGGTTGGGCCTCCCACCAGCGACGGACTGTTGTGACCCGCTAACATGGAGCTGCCACAGGGCATCTGCACAGTGTCATATCGACGTATGCTTTGTCGTTACCGAGAACGTACGCACCAGCGAGATCATCAGGCGAAAGATCTGTCGGCGTCCATCCGTCCGTTCTCTCTGCGTCCTCCCGCTCGGATTCACTGAGCAGCGTATCGAAAACCCACTTTACATAGGCCTCTCTTGCGGATTCAAGTCGGGCTTCATCTAAGGCGATGTATTTCAGAAATGGGAGCTTGAAAAGAACGGGAGGAACTCGTTCCAAGGTCCGGACGGATAGAACACGGCGTCTTGTCAATGAACAAATGCGCGGGCAAGTCACTAACCTGCTGGCTCGAAAGGAGTTCGCGTGAGCCGTGGGCTGCCAATCTTAGCGGTGAGCGATGCCGTCTAGGCGACGTGAGACAGAGGACATGAGAGGCAAAGTTGAATACGAACACGTATGTCAGTCAGCAAGGCGAGGGACTTCACCCTGCAGTCAGACAGCTCGTACTTCAACATTGGATAGTACGCCGATACGCCCGACAGCGCCATATTGATTTCTTTTGTTTCCCCGATGACTCTGCGTGGATGCGTTGAGCGAGGTCAAGTAACAGTAATCAAGATCTCCTTGGCCAGCCTGGTCTGCAAGTTGTACAATTCCTTTTTCATGGTCTTCCCGATCTTATCTGCGTGCTCTTCGAGTGTGCGTACCGCACATACCTGGAGCTCTTGCACTGCGTTGACTTGCGCGACCAAATGCATGAAGTTTGCCATGGTGTACGCGACTTTATTCAGTAGATCGGATTCAGACGTGGACATGACCGGCACGTCTCAGCAATGCAAGGACCGCTAGATCGCGCGAAGGCGCTTACTGACACGCAGGGTGCGAACATATGTAACGGAGGGCGAGTCTGCCGCCGCTCCTCAGAAGAAAGACGGACAGCATTTGTCATTTACGTATACATAACCGCACCTTCTGCAACAAACATAACCAAACGCACAACGGCAACGTGAGTACTGTGACCACCTATTGCCATATCACAGATTTGACCAGTGCTTTGCAGGGATGCAGAACTGAGGCCTGAGGAAGCAGAGTCAACGCAAAGTCTGACTCAAACCTTACATAGAGTCTAACTTTCGAAGCGGGATACACGTGATATCATCTTATAACCCGACCACGAACAATCGAGGCCGCTATATGAGCACTTTGTCTGTGGCTCGTCGCTTTCGATTGATGTCTGCACGCGTCGTCCGCGGAGAGCGGGTCCACGCTGCCGCCGTTCAAGGCACCTCCGATGGAAGTGAAGTCACACCGCGCTCCCGTAAACGCGTCAGAGCGGACAAATCAGACATCGTCACGGAAGTTGTTGCGGAAGGCGAACACGCGCCAATGCCAAAGAAGCGGCGAGCAAAGAAGAAAGGGAAAGATGTCTCCCCGCACCCGGAGGACTACCGGGTCCGCGTGTCGAGTCCGTGGAAGGTAGGTGCCCATGTATCGGCCGCAGGAGGCGTAGAGAATGCGATTCAGAACGCAGCCTCCATCGGGTGAGGTTGCACAATATATCATATGCGCGGTCCTTTGCTCACAGTCGCCGCAGAGCTAACGCATTCGCGCTCTTCCTCAAGTCTCAGCGGAAGTGGACGGCTCCTCCTGCCAAGGAAGAGTCCATTCTTAGCTTTCCGACGCGTTCCAAACTCTTCGGGTACACACCGGCCAATGTTCTACCACATGGAAGCTACCTGATCAACCTCGGAAATCCCGACGCGTGCGTATCTTAACACCTAACCATGTAGGCTTCTATGCTGATGGTGAAGCTAGTGACAAGCGCAACAAATCTTACGAGTGTTTCCTGGACGAACTACAGCGCTGCGAACAACTCGGTCTCCAGTTATATAACTTCCAGTGCGTATTTTATGCGTCACTACATTCGGCCTGCACCGCGGCACTAACCAGCTTGCTTTACAGTCCAGGCTCCACAGTGGGCAATGCTACACAGGAGGAATCACTGGCGCTGGTAGCGGAATGCATCAATCGAGCTCACGAGGAAACCGAGTCTGTAGTGGTCGTCTTAGAGAACACGGTAAGGCGATCCTTTCGTCTTCAATACTGACGTCCTAATGCACTCATCATCAGGCCGGTGCTGGAAACGTGCTTGGTTCTCGCTTTTCCGAACTCGCAACAATTATCCAGCAAGTACATGATAAGAGTAGGATCGGAGTCTGCTTGGATACGTGCAAGTCATTTCTTTCAGAGATTCATATGACGCGAAGGTTGATGCTTTGCCTGTATCCAGGCCACATGTTCGCAGCGGTAGGATAAAAGGCGTCCGACTTTTGCTCGGAGTATTACTAACAACGTGCCAGGGATATGATATCCGCACTCCGGACGACTGGAAGTAAGTCGATAACATTTATCATGATCCAGCCTTCTGACAACAGCATCCAGCGCGACGAGTGAGTATGGCGAGCTCTTGCTTTGGGCATTGTTGACTGATGATCCGTTTCGCAGTGACGTCCTTCGAACAAGAAATAGGGATACAGTACCTCAAAGGCATGCACCTCAATGACTCAAAAGCCCCGCTCGGTTCCAAGAAGGATCGCCACGAGAACATTGGCCAGTATGTACCTCCCTGCCACTGACACGTTCCCCAGCGAAATGAAAGGCTAATCGAATATGGCATAGGGGTCACTTGGGTTTGGCATCTTTCCTCAACATTCTCACCGACTCGCGTACGCAGGGAATCCCACTGGTTCTAGAAACACCAAATTATGACGATGACACCGGCGTGTGGGCCGCCGAGGTCGATATTCTCAATCGCCTTTCCACGCTCTCTCTGGGTCCCAGGCACCTAGGCACTTCCCCGGAAGTGGAGTGTCAGCTTAAAGAATGGACTGAGGAAGTACATGCGGCGGTCAAGAAGGCAAGCGTGGCCAAGGTCGCAAAACAAGTAAAGTCGGCAACCCACAGGAGATTGAAGAGTCGGAAAGGACCGCAGGGTGACGCAGGGCAGGACGAAGACGGGAAGGAGCAGGAATCTCGGGCGATGGAACGAGAACAGGGGGGGCTGTCCGACCTCTCTGAGCTATCTGACCTTACAGTAGAAGAAGAGGCGCAGTTGGTCGACGAAAATAGGACATTGTGATGAGTAGCCGCCAGTAGGATAACGCCCATCGTCTTCTAGTCAGTCTCGGGTCAAGCGCTGCGACTGGAAAGTATCGCGGATGCACAGCCACATCAGAGCCGGCCAAGCGCACGAGCGGCGTACGCGTTCCCATGGCTTCTTCGAACACACGTGTGCCTTTGAAAGGAGAGACGATCATTCAACGTGGATCCCGGTGCGGCTCCCTATTGATCTGTTCGTTCCCAAGAACTGCCGCAATTGGTGGATAGCCGCATGGTACCCGTACACTATCCGGACCACACCGCGCGGAGACCTGCGTCGTGCGACCGTCCTGGATCCATTCAAGAAGCAACCACCGATGCGTACTTCCGCTAGTGAACCGTGATGCTTCTCCGGCTCCTCCCCGTCGCCGCCGCGCTAGCTGGCTTGGTTTCGCTTGTACGGGCCACCGACATTACCGATATCCAGGGCCCTGCCTTTCTCTCGCCTCTGAACGGACAAAAGGTACATAATGTTACAGGTGTTGTTACAGCGATCGTACGTAACAGTTATGATATCGTTCCCTTCTTCAAATCAATGACCTGTTGGATACACATAGGGCGACTCTGGATTTTTCCTACAGGGCACTCCGTCCTCGGATGTCCGGAAGTCCGCCGGCCTGAGAGTGTTCACGACGAGCAAGACTATCCTGGCTCAAATTGCCGTTGGTGACCTCATTTCTCTCGACGGCAAAGTCAACGAGTTCCGCTCGTCAACTGCTCCCAACGACCTCTTCGGTACCGAGCTCGGTTCTCCAGCGAACATCACCGTCATTGCGAAGAACAGCACCATCACCCCGGTCGTCATAGGCAAACATCGTCTTCCACCTACCCAGCAGCTATCTGCCCTGGATGTCGCAGCTGGCCACGACGGCTGGTTAGCGGTACCCAACAACCAGTCACAGATCGATGCTGTTAACGCGACCCTCCAGCCACACAAGTTCGGTCTTGACTTTTGGGAGAGCTTGGAGGGCCAGCTCATCACCGTCCCTGCGCCGACCGCTATCGACTTCGAGAATTCGTTCGGCGAGTTCTGGGTATACGGTGACTGGCCTGTGACTGGCAAAAACTCTCGCAATACGCTAACCCTCACCCTTGGTGCGTAATGCTCGAAAGACTGGATCAGTTCGTGTGCTCATGACATACAGGTCCTGACGGAATCCCGGATGCTAACCCGGTAACGGAAAACTGGGTCCTGGACCTGAGCAGCACATCTGATGCGAAATTTTCAGGAAGTGATCATTGTTGGGTCGCCATTGGATGGTACCGATAATCCCTCTGTCGCTTTGGGCACCACACTTTCGGACATCACAGGTGTCGTAGTCTTCCAGTACGTTTTACTAGTGGATCGGCGAGTTCTTCAGGATCGAATCCCTTTGCAGATTTGGCTTCTTCTACGTCTTACCGTTGACCGCCCCTTCGATTCTTACGAAGCCTAACTCGACGGTCCCCCCTACGACGCTTGTCTCCACCAAGAACGCTTGCGAGATCACTTTCGGCGATTACAATGTATGAACCCTGTTTCTCTTACCTAGGGGCTTGCTAAATTCTGTCTGTATAGGTGGAAAATTTGGGGCCGACCACTGCTCATCTTCCTACCATCGCAACGCACATCGCCCAGTTTCTCCGCATGCCGGACATGATGTTCTTGCAAGAAATACAAGATGATGACGGACCCACCAACGACGGCGTTGTTACTGCCAATGTGACCCTTCAAACGCTCGTGAACGCTATCGCAAATATCACGAATATCACGTACAGCTTTGTCAACATCCCCGGCGTGAATAATGCAGACGGAGGAGAACCGGGAGGAAACATTCGTCAGGCCTACCTGTGGGTTCAGTAGCGCGTTGTCTCGTCATCGTGCTGAAGATCCGTCAGCTGGAATCCTAAGAAGATCTCCCTCGTGTCTGGAGCGCCCGTCGGCACCGCGCTTGAGGCTGTCCATGTAACCGGATCCTTCCTCAACCCGAAGCTGAGGCGCGTTTATCCCGCATCCCTCCGCTTTTGTGGTCGCTCATTGAGAAATCAGCCTGAATCCTGGGCGCATCGAACCCAACAACTCCGTCTGGGAGGATTCCAGAAAGCCTCTGGCTGCCGAGTGGCAGACGGCGAATGGACATCGCTTCTTCACGGTGAATCTCCATCTTGAGTCGAAAGGCGGCAGCACTACGGAGGAAGGCAACGCACGGCCTCCCGTCAATTTGCCTGTCGAAAAGCGTACAGGCCAAGTCAATGTGACAGCGGTATGCACTCTTCAGCGATCTTCGTGTTCGTGATCTAAACTCAGCAACGACAGAATTTTGTCAAGCAAATTCTTGCGAAAGATCCGTCGGCCAACGTCATCGTCGCGGGAGACTGTAACGAGTACACCCAAACTCGATCTGTGTTCCACTCGTTCAAAGGAATTCTGAACGACATCGATGTAACGTCCGGTGTTCCTCAGGTCGAGCGTTATACATACGTTTTCGACATGAACACAGAACAGCTGGGTGAGTTCCACCGAATACGATCGATGTTATTGGCTGATGGAGAACGCCAGATCACATTTTCATATCTGATGCCATTGCGTCGAGGGGGACCGAAGTGGAACATGTCCATGTGAATCAGGTAATGAAATCTGCATGCGACATCGACCTTGATGCTCACGACCTCGCAGTGGGCGCCCAGCATCGATGCGCGTACTAGTGATCATGATCCTACGGTCGCGCGCGTGAAGGTATGCTAGACGCATGAACTGTACCTAGAGGCGGGCCACGACAGTAAAATGAGGACATGTTGGTTTTCTTGTAGCAATGTCGAACATGCTTAAAGAACGCGTGTACCATAACAACGGCCAATACAGGCGAAATACATATCCATCATATTGGACACGATGCTGGCTCCTCACCGGGGAAGAGCAGCGCATCGGGAGCCAGGCGTGCCGTAATTCGCGACTCATGCTCGGACATTACGAGCGGAGTCTCTTCGGGCACATCCTGTACAAACGCCACCGTAGTCCGCCACTTCGGGCAAAAGGAGAAGCAATTCTCGGGCGTCGAGAGAAATGGTGCGGGGGAGGTCGTAAACCCTGTTGGCCGATCTGTCCGGGTAAGGTTGTCGTTGGTTGCGATCTATCGACCGGGTTCGCGGAGACGGGATCTACTTCCTCCTGCGTCAAATCCTGTACATCAGTTCAGCTCTGAGTTGGACATGGCGCGTCCAGTACGACCCACCTCGATAATCGTCGACGTTATTGCACGACTAATGCAGGTTTCAACGCTAGGCACAGCAACCGTGTCTATTTCCGAGTGTGGTGCCTCGTTTTCAATCATCCCTCCAGGACTCTCGTGCATGGTTTCGTGGATTGTTTCCGGGACACGCCCTGGGAGGGCACCTTCGCAAACGAGCGGGATAGCTAATACGGGGTTCTCTTCATCCAATGGAAGTAAGGTTGAGGTTGAAACAGCCATCGGTTCCATATCTGTTGCCGCCGGATTTTCGTGGGTGCAGTTACAGATGAATGCAGCAAATGACATGAATGGTCTTGCGAGCTTCGGTAGATTGATGGATCGGAGGGCGTCGTCCGGTGGTATGCAGATGGATGCCATGCAACAAATGGGTACGATCTACAGAAGCGTGCTCAATGACTTCGGCCCATGGGGGGAACGTTCTTATAGTGGTGCTGAAGTTGGTGGCCCTGTAAACAATGCACGCGCACTGTGGCGAGGGCGACGGAGCATGGCAGCAGGGTGCAAATCGGAGGTGTGGCCATGTTTCGTCTCCCTCCGCAGTCAATCGACGATCTGGGCATCATCCCTCGCGAACGTGAACAAAGCGTTGCCTCCGACGGCACATTGCGACGCCGTTTGACTTCCTAGTCCACGGTGAGCCCTGCAATGCGCTCGAACCATTCCACCAAAGCCGCCACCCTGCGAACTGCCATATCGCTCATCCCTAAGCGGAGATCAGGACGGAGTCGATTGTCTTCATGCGAGTATGGCATCGTGCGATAGCATATCTCCATCCTCGGGTTGAAGAATGCTGAAGCTGTGAGGTTGAGGGTTGGGTTGGTCGTGGACCCATACGTTGCACTGATGTCTACAGTTGATACAAATGTCAGCAAAGCCAAGGTCGGGCTGAGTCACTTACTTTCGAAGAGAACGATGTCACCCTTCTTCACGGCGAGTTCCTCGGTATTTCCTCCCCAAGTGTCTGCCACTTCCCTCCATGCAACCATCTTGGCCACGGGCCCGCCGTCGTCTCCAATGCAAAGTTTAAGGACGGAAACCTCCTTGCCGGCATCGACCCCTTTCTTGACCCTGATGGTTTCAGGTCCTTCTACTTCGAAGACGGCGACGAGGAAGGACACTCTGCGAGCATTTAATCGAGACAACGATTCGGTAGGGTGGAGTGAGCCCATGTTGACGAGAGCATGCGGGTTGAAGGCGAAGACAGGAAAAAGCGCGATGGATGACTCGTCTGAATGATTCCCGCTTCGTGCATACGATCCCGTATCATAGGTATAACCTGTCTCATCCAAGAATGACCTAGCACGATGGTGGATTGAAGGTTCCAAGATTGAAGCATCCCCCTTGGTAACTTGGTTGTCTTGGTCCTCGGTGGGTAGCCACGTAATCGCAGTCGCTCCTGAAGATTCACTGAGACCGACTGACACACATTACAACGATGTTGGACAACTCGACTCACCGTCTTCGGCCTCTTCCAAGGCGAGCTGGTAGTCCTCAGTCGAAGAATCGTCAAATATTGCGTTCCCATATATCAAGGAAAGTCGGCGGCTTGCGGCCTCAAGAGTCGCGATAGGGAGTGGTTGAGTACGTTGTGTTAACAGTGTTGCCCGTTCCGACAGCAGACCAGGCTCCGTGGAGCCGATTTGACGCCAATAGCATGTGGAAAGGCCATTGACGTTGGCACGTAGGTCAGTAGCTGAAGGTGCACCGGTGAAAACTACAAAGCGTGGCATGATGCACGACCGTCGACCGTGCTAGCACATAAGGCTTGAGCGCCACAGGAGATGAGCAGTACATATGCGATGTACTTCCTCCACTCGAGTCTCATGTAGTTCTTGGTGGCGATATGGTAGAACTGCATGCTGCTATAGAAGAGCTGTACAAAGGAAACCTATGGTAGTTCGATCACTGACGCATCTCCTCCAGTCGCAAGCCGGTAACTTATAAGGTTGTCCGCGTCGGATGTAATGTGACTGGGAAATGCACGTGGAGCACTGATTCTGGGCACTGCAGGATGTAAACGCGGATAAACCTCTTGCCAGACGAACGCTTTGACTGACCAAGTCACCTAGAATTGTGCTCAAATCGAACGAGACGTGCGAAGATTATACCTCGCAGTATTACTGGAGTTGGACCTGCTCCCGCGATCATCGTCGCTTGAGACCATGATAGCGTCAACGACGAAGTTGGCGGTCGGAGACCGACCGTTCAAGCCGTCATGAGCGATCCGGGCATAGTCATCCCGGGGGCGGGACTTTCAAGTTTCGCGGATGCGGATCGTCTTGGATATCCGCCTCATAGGCGCATAGATGATGGGTTCTGGGTCAGGACCCACTTTTTGATCATACAATCTTTGGTACGCTTTTCCATACCTACCTTGCGAAGATTTTAATGACTAGCATTCCAGTATGATGGACGACCTCACCGATCTCACAACGGCGCTCCTGCTCCCCGAAGACCGTGTTCAGATGAGTCCCCCGCCCACGAAGTCGCAATACGTGTCCGAAACAGGCTATCCCCCTGAAAACGATGGACAACAGCCATACATACTCCATGGAGTTCACATTCTACCATCCGAACTCATATTGATGATATTCGATCGCGGCCTAATGGCTGACCGCCTTCGTGGGGCTCGCAGGCGGATCCGGATTCCCTTTCCGGTGCTCGTGTCGCATGTCTGCATGCATTGGCGAGCCCTCGCCCTCGGCTCGCCTTGGCTGTGGACTGACATTCACCTTACGCTCTATCATGGCACCAAATTCTGGAGGCTCTATCTCCAGAGGTCTTATCCAGCAGCCCTGTCCGTGGACCTTGTCTGCGGACCTGCCCGCGGAAAACACGACGGCGCTATGCTCGAGCTGGCTCTTCACCTAATACTCCCTCATATTATGCGGTGGAAGCGGCTCACAGTATTCTCGGACCGCGATCAAGTTATCAGGACGCTCGCCGACAGCCTCAAGGACCAGTCGGCGCCCGCGCTGGAGACGCTCGAATTCCTTCATTCCGACGTCTCCTGGTGGGGTGAAGCGACACCGATCCAGTTCTTCTGCGGCGACACCCCCAGTCTCTCGACGATCCGCCTACGGAACATCACATGGGACTGGCGCAAGACGTCGCCCATCAACTTGACGACCCTCGACATTGCCATCCCCCGTTCATACGCCTTCATGGCGTTCTCGTGGACGGACTTCGAGGAGATAGTTCACAACTCCCCGCGCCTCGTTCATCTGGCCCTATCTGGCGCACCGATTGCGCTTCCGAGTCAGGAAGTCGTCACTGCCCCCGTTGTGATCGAAACTCTCCGCTCCCTCATGATCAAACTTGCCGATACTGGCACGTACAGCACCAGACTCTGTGCTCTTATGTCCATGCCCCGCCTCGAGGAACTGACCATCGAAGGTGGAATGCAAGGCTTCATGCGAGCCCTACCGAGCTGGCAACCGTGGTCCGTGTCAAATGTCAAGCCCGACGAATGGGAGGTCAAGTACCCTCGTATGCGCAAGCTTACTCTCATCGAGACGGACCCATGGGAGCCGGATCTCATTTCGCTGCACTTCGCGCAAGCTCTTCCAGGCACGGAGGAACTACGCCTGATAGGCGTAGACGTCGCGCCGATCTTCCGCTTTCTATCACAAGCGTTCAACTTCGATTTTCCCTCCTCGGCTGCGGCGACGGTTCCTTGGCGCGGATTAAAGATCATAAATATCGAGAAATGGCCAAAATACGAGCATGTTAGTCCGTTGATGCTCGCCGCTGGCTCCATCGAAGCGACGAGTGCGGAGGTGGAAGGGATCAAGCGCCTAGTGGAACACCGGAAGAGAACAGGCAAGCCACTTCACGCATTGGTGGTACGTCCCGTAGAGGCTTTTCGAAAGGGCGCCATTGCCATGTGGCTTCGCGAGCAAGGACTAGACCCCCTGTAGGACATGACCATGGGTTGTACCGGTACTAATACGAGCACTGGAATGGAACTGTCCGAATACTGCATGCGCTCCATCATACATACATGATCAGGAGGTGCTCATTGTTCGGACGTGAAGCTTCAACCTATATACGCATGTTTCCATGGGAGTCCTTTATCCCTTATTATCCCTTAAAAACTGTTAGCCATTGTCCGCTAGTCCCGTTGAGCACTTCTGCAATTTCCCTTGCTAAGACTCGATCCGCTTGTTCACTAGGATGCGCCTCATCGTAGAATAAGAAACTGTCGCGGTCAGTACCCTGTGCGACAGTGCAATCGCCTGGATCACTGGTCGATTCGTTGACTTGCAGTATGCAAGAGACGACGGAGCCAGTGACATTCAGCGGTGCGGTGCCGTTGAGGTAGAGGGCAGGGTTGTTGTACATGTCCATGAAAAGAGCGTGTGTGTCAAAGTAACCTGGTCAGGACGGAGTGAGGTTTTAAACGGATGCCGGTGGAGGGCTTGCGGACCTACGGTTGCGCCGACAAGGCTCGGCGTCGTCAGCTGGATGAAGAGCTTGGATAGGGCATTGCCAGCAGCAACCAATTCTCTCATGAACTGACAAAGAACGCGTCGAGGTCAGACGCAATGGAACTGGACCAGCTTCCGAGGACACATACTATGTTCCATTCTGTGGTATTCCGCTGAGCGGACCAGTAGTGATCCTGTGGAGGAACGTCGGCTTCCACGCCAAAAGGACGTGTGGATCACTCACCGGATATGAGTCTGCTTGGTATATGGATGTCAAGTCGAGGGGTATCATCTGGAGCGCACCGTCAGTCCAACGCGAGAATAGGACGAAAAAGACGGAGGACAAACATTCTGGAACAGGAAGTTACGTGCACCACTTCCGTACAAGGTCTTGATCCACTGGATAGCGCATTCGGTTGTGTCCACCACGGTGACGCCAGAGGTCGCCTGGCCTGTCAGCAGCTCGCCTGCGCCGACGTCGTTCGTGCCTTCAAGGATTAATATGACGTCAGATGTGAGGAGGGCACTGGCATCGTCCACTACGTTACCTATCCATAGGGTGTACAACGTCTCGCTGGGGTCAAGCGTAGTGGATCCATTGGCTGTGAGGTCAAAATACGTGTTGATTTCGCTTTGAAGGTCCGGGGTCGTCTTCGGAGTGAGATTATTGTCGCATGCTGCGCCGGAGACAGCGAAGGAGAAGAGTGTCAGATTGGCGTAGCCGGCAAGGTAAGTCGGCCAAGCGGTCCCGCCGGTTGCAGTGGGAGATGTAGCTATCGCACTATTCATGAGTTCGAACAAGGGTCGTGTTAAATCGGAGAGGCGTACCACTATAGGAATCGCCGAAGGTAGCAATATTCCTGATGTTGCCGAATGGTCCCGCGAGAGACGCGACAAGAGGCAAGGTCGATATGACTTTCTGCATCGGAGCGTATATGAGGCGAGTGAAGCTGGGCGCTCCTAGCCCTTGTACGTTGATCGGACTGGGATAGGGCAGCAGATGAGGGATAGGATCCTTATTACAGGTTCCAAGACGATGCACGGTGAGACAAATCACTTCGTTACCACGGAAAGCTGTTTGCAGCTCTTACGTACCTGTGGATCACAGTTTGAGCCCGCTTCAAGTCGTTCCTTCGACGTATGTAGGCCGCTGGGCTGCCAAAGGTGAACGCCGTGGCGTCCGAATCAAAGAAGGTGACAGTCATCGTTCAGATGACCTGCAGGAAGTCCGGCAAGATAACAACGGGCTCAGTGATAGTAGCACGGCGATTACGCATCATGGAATCTGTACGTAGGGAAAGGGGTATAGTTGCGAGTAGAAGCAAGCGCGTGTCTGCAGTACGTGGGGGAACGAACTGTATACACGCACGCGTGCGGCGTACTTGGAGCAACAGCCATACCAACTTTCACTCACTTCACGCTCGTCTGGAGCACTCACTATGGCCGGCACACGTTACATTCTTTGTCCACACAGCCATCAGATATACGTATATGAGTACTAGATTGAGACAGACTATGGACTATCAAAAGACATCAATATGCCAAGGCGTAGGGGCCCGGAGTCTCCGAGCTCATCCCTTGAAGACGGTCACCCAGCGTTCACTAGTCCCGTTCAGTACTTTCGCAATCTCTCTTGCGACTACGCGATCCGCTTGCTCGCTCGGATGTATCTCGTCGAAGAAGAGAAAACTGTCCCGGTCCGTGCCCTGGGCGATTGTGCAGTCACCAGGATCCGAGGTCGACTCGTTCACTTGGAGGATGCAAGACACGATAGACCCGGTGACATTGAGTGGCGCGGTGCCGTTGAGATAGAGAGAAGGATTGTCATGCATGTCAGTGAAGAGGGCGTGCGAGTCGAAGTAACCTAAGTCCATGCATGGCAATGAGTAATTGATTCATGGAAGGAGCTCGTTCTGAGTTTGCTTACCGATGGTAGCGCCGGGAAGGCTGGGTGCCATGATCTGAATCATCAGTTTCGACAAGGTGTTGCCTGATGCCACGAGCTCCTTCATGAACTATCTCATCGGGATGCGGTCAACGGGGAGGTTTTAACAAGAATGCACCAAGATACTCACGACGTTCCACTCAGTTGTATTTCGCTGCGCGGACCAGTAGTGGTTCTGTAGAGGTAGATATTAATGACCTCGCATGAGAAATCGATACCAAGACATGCCGGGTAGGAATCTGCCTGGTATTCGGGAAGCAGGTCTAATGGTAGCATCTGGTACGACACGGTTAAGCCACGTAACATCCGCGAGAAGTATGCGTACGTTCTGAAACAGGAAATTGCGCGCGCCACCGTCGTAGAGCGTCTTGATCCACTGCACAGCGCATTCTGTGGTATTGACGACGGTCACGCCGGACGCCCCTTGACCTGAGATCAACTCTCCTTGACCAACGTCATTGGTACCTACAAATTTGGAGCAGGTGAGTAAATGGTTTGATGGTAAAGTGTGTCAAGGCTGCACTCACCAATCCACAGGGTGTACAGGGTCGAGCTTGGATCGAGCGGGCTCGACGTGTTGGCCGTAAGGTTGAAGTATGCGCCGAGTTCGTCGTGAGTTACGTCCGGCAAAGTACGCGGCGTCAGGTTGTCGTCGCACGCAGCACCTGAGACGGCGAAAGAATACAGGGTAATATTGGCATAATCTGCTAGGTAGGTCGGCCAAGCAGTTCCGCCTGTGGCTGTAGACGGCGACGTGGCTATAAGAGAAGGGTCAATTTGGAACACCGTGCAGTGAATAGAGCGCATACCGGTGTAGGAGTCGCCAAATGTGGCAACACCCGTGATATTGGGACCAAACGGTCCTGCGAGTAAGGTGGCCAGGGGTAATACCGAGAGAACTGCTTGCATGATTGGAACGACGGGTTTGAATGCGTTGTCACAGCGCTTTCTGGTTGTCCGCCCGTAGCGTATGGATACGTACCCGATCAACGTTTCCACGACAGACGACGCTGAGGCCGCTGAAAGGCGCACGATTGTGAACCGGGTTAGAGGGAACAGCTATAACGTGGATCGGTGAACCCTGCCGCGCGGCACGGTGGTGTCTAGGTGGCAGAGAAAGCGTCAGAAGATCAGCTCGTCGTCGGGGCGGGCTTGTTGCGTACTCGCTTCGCCAGCTTCCGCGTCGTGAGCGCCTGCGACGAATCGCGCTGTGTGGGATGGGGCGCTACGGCGGGAATAGACAGGGTCTCAGCTGACCTCAGCTTCCTTGCGGATTGTTGGCCTCCATTGATCATTGATGCCGAAAATGACGGTTCATGAGCAGAGACAGCGTTGTCGGGTTCCATGTTGTGTTCAACGGTAGAAATTCATGAGCAGAGTCCGGACGCGGTGGTGATCACGGTCAATTGGAAGTGACGGCGAAGCAGCACAGGACAGAGAGCTGGCACCGGCCGTGACTTGGCTCAACTGCGATCGGCCTTACGCCTCGTCAACCGTCAGACATCTGGAAATTCTGTTTGGATCTATTTTTCTGCCAGCGCGGTCCTATGTTTATCGCGCCTTGCGGTAGAAACGTCTATATAAGCGGATCTGCCGATACAATGAGCAAGGCCAACGGACATGCAAGATACATGCGAGGCGGTCACGACAACTGGTATGTCTATCCCCTTTTTTCTGCCGTGGTATACTCGACTGGCGGTCAATTCACTCGTTCCTTGACCACACACAAAAGTAGTCACAGCAGACGCATCCATTCATAGACAAGACGATAGCAACATCTATTGCGGCCAGGATATCTGCGAGTGCGCAAGTAAGTCTGTTCTCTGTTGCTTTGAATGTTATCCAACTACACCTTGCAGCAGCCGTGCCATCTGATACGAATGAGCGCTGCGATCTAGCACTCCAGCTTCACCAGAAATTCTTCCAGAATAGCGATCTCGACGCCGCACAGCAGTGCATCGAGCAATACGAGGCGCTCCTATCGGAGACGAAGGAACCAATTCCCTTCAACTCTTCGATCCCAAATCCGGAGCCGCGCATCCCGCTCGATGCCCGTCCGAAGCTACATCACATTCTCATTGGGCTAGCTGATATATACGTGGATCGCTATAGGCACAATTACGAGCAATGCGATCTGGAGCTTGCGGTACAATATGGGAAAGAAGCCCTGTCTATGTGCCGCACAGCTGGGATACGTTGCCCTACAGTACTGGGGCTATTCGCCAACATCTTGGATAGCAATGCAGATGACGTTTCCCGGAAAGAAGATAGGATCGTTGCAGAGTCGCTCTGCAGAGAAGCCATCTCACTCTGCGCAACGGGAACCTACTTGGCAGTAACAGTTCGCCTTCATCTAGCATGGACTCTGTTGGGGTTATTCATGGAGAACGGGTCTCACATCTTACTCGACGAAGCGATTGACATCCAGCGACAGGCCTTGGTTGACCTGTCTCCATCTCATTGTTACGATCGACATCGACCCCTGCGATTCCTAGGGGTGTATCTACGCCATCGATACCATATGTTCGGAAAACCAGAAGATTTGGATGAATGTCTTGATGTTTCCGCGCAGGCCGTGCACTTATGTCCAAAGATGCACATTGATCGGTGCAAGACAGTAAATGAGATGCTCTGGTCGCTATATCTGAAGACTTTGCGCTCTAACGCTATCAATGAGCTCAACAAAGCGATTGAACTTGGACTGAACACTCTCAAAGAAGTTTCTGGTGCTGGGATGAGGCGCGCCGGATGCCTCAGTGTGGTACTCGCCTCGACCAGCTGGAGCAGTCTATGGATCACCTCCTGGATCTTATGGGCACGCTCAGGACATCTGCTCGCCTTTCGCCATCAGCTCGCTCCATCAGATGGGCGCGACCTCGATAAGTCAGTCACTCTGAGCCGGGAAGCTTTGCGACTATGCCCTCCCAACCGAGCAGACTATTGGGTGTACGTGGACCGCCTGGCGCTCGGATTGCTTCTGCAGTACAACTGGACCGGAGAGATAAGTCATCTCGAAGAATCTATTCAACTCGGGCGTTCTACCATCGATTCAATGCCAACTACCCACGCTCAGCGATTCATTCCCGCTCGCGGTCTGGCGCGTTCACTGATGCTCCGCTTCAACGAGACAAGGCGGATCTCTGATCTCGATGAAGCCATCAAATGGGATCGTAGGGCCCTGGCGAGCAGTGGGACCTCACATGTATTCTATCCAGAAATTTCTGCTCAAGCTGTCTCCCGTCTTTGCATGTTATTTGACGCTCGGGGCTCATTCGAGGCTTTGGAAGAAGCGATTACCCTCAGCAACACCGTCCTGGACACGATGGCTTCCGACAGTGTTCAACGCAGCGATGTTATCCTCGAGCTGTCAAAAGCGCTGTTGCGCCGCGGAAGACACCAAGGGAATGTCGCGGACATCGACCGCTCCATCTCGAAGCTAGCACGTATCAAGGAAGTAATGCTCCAGCGAACAGGGGGTCCTGAGCTTCTGAGCACCCTCGCCGACTGTCATATCGTCAGATTTCGCTTCAATCGCAGCTTCAAAGACGCGAACGATGCCTTGGAAACTATGACTGGCTTATTGGATAAGCTGCCTCCTGGGCGTCCCGAGAGGTATCAGTACCTCATGAGTACAGCAGAACTCCACATGGAGATAGGAACACCTTACCGGAGTATCCGGGTCGCACTCTCGCATTTAGCCAGTGCTCTATCCGACGAACACCGGGACGTTCGTTCTCGGATTGAAGGAGCACGTCGCATACTCGATATTGCTGTGTCGCAATATCAGGATATCGTCTCCTCTGAGGCCGCAGCAAGTCGCCAACTGCTGGACATCTTTGCTCTTGCGGTGGGGCTTCTGCCCCGAGTAGCCTTCTTTGATCTTCATCTTCATACCCGGCTCCAGTCGTTGGCTATCGGCCAGAGCATTGCTCTCACCAGCGCCTCTCACGCGGTCAACATCGGCTTACCTCAGAAAGCATTGGAGATACTTGAGCAGGGTCGCGCGGTCTTCTGGACGCATTCATTACGCTTGCGCTCCCCCTTCGACGCAGCGCCCAAGGAGCTCCGAGAACGGTTGTCGATCCTTGCCCGACAGCTGGAGAAAGTACACGACAAATCGTCTACGGGCGAGAACCTGGGTGCTGTCGAAGCGGAGTTTGCTCGCAGAAGAGGTCAGATAGAAGAATTCAACGCACTGCTCAATCAGGTTCGCAAACTACCTGGAATGAATAGATTCCTGCTGCACGACGAGTATACGACGCTGAGAAAGGCCTCCGAGAGAAGTCCGGTCGTAGTGCTGGTATCCAGTGCGCTGGGGAGCCACGCTGTCCTTCTCAAGCAGGGGGGCGACTGTGTCAGCATTCCTATCGAGCATCTTCCTGATACCTGGCTCGCACATTCCGGCACGGAGTGGCGTTCGATCATCGTAGAGGCCAGGGCAGAGATGCGCGACTGCAGAAAGATGGAAAAATCAAAAATCTCGAAATCTCGAAGAGCGGGTGCCGAGGAGATCTTGCGCACATTATGGATTGAGGTGGTGAGACCGGTGATCAATGCTCTAGGGCTCGAAGTATGAGATAACCCTCTACATTATCATGGTACAAGGCTCACCAGTTGCTTCTAGCCCTCCGAAGGTCGAAACCGTCCTCGCATATGGTGGTGCCCTACTGGAAACTTTGCTCACTTACCGATCCATGCAGCCGGTGCTGGCAGAGAGCGGTGCTCAGATTACGTCGTCTCCTCCTACATACCGACCATCGGGTCCCTTCTCGCTGCCAGGAACGCGTATTCGCCCATCCTCAAGGATGACATTCACGCGCTCGTCGCTGCAACGCCTCGGTCTAGCATGTCGCAGTGGAGCGACCTCATTCACACGCGCGCAGAGGCGAGAGCGATCCGTGCCGTCTTACCAAGCGGAGCCATAATAGAGCTGCCTCCCGCAGACGACGCTTGCATTGAGGGCGGAAACGGGATCACGGCGGACACGCTGCTAAAGCTGCTGCCACAGACGAATATCCTGCACCTCGCTTGCCATGGCCATCAAGATCTGGAGAATCCGTTGCAGAGCGGATTCATTCTGCGCGACGAGAAACTCACGATCGAACGACTGATGCCTGTACCCCTCCCTCGCGCGTCCATGGCATTCTTGAGTGCTTGCGAAACAGCCAAAGGTGACTTCGTGAGTACCAATACCAGTCGAGATCATGGTGCGACTGAACAACGTGCCCATGCAGAATCAGCCTGATCAGGTGATCCATCTCGCCGCCGCCATGTTCTTCGCGGGATTCAAAAGCGTCATCGCTACGCTCTGGTCAGTACCGGTTTGCAGCTTCCCACTTCTATGATACCGACTTACAATCGACTGTTAAGGTCCATGGCGGACGCGGACGGGCCAGAGATAGCTCGGTCTATATATCAGAACATATTCAGCAGCGAATCAGATCACATCGACCCCGACGATATCGCATACGCCCTCGACGAGGCCATCACGAAACTGCGGATCGCGCAGCCTGAGCCTTTCAGATGGGCACCGTATGTACATATAGGGATTTGAAGACGCACCGATATGCGTCGTTGGCACGACAGAGACCCCGTTCGTGTATGCTCGTAATGAATGACTGGGGCTCATAACCGAGCCTCCACATCCGACCAACCCATCCGACTCATCACCCCGAATGATCGTGGTTCACTTCATCCGCGGGAGGCACCTCGACGTGCTCGATCACTCCCGCAGGATCCTCGCCTTCGACGTAGGACGAGGGACATGACATGACAGAGACGTCCGAATCCACCGGTGGGGGGGCCAGGACATCTTCGTTGATGGCTGCAGTGTCGTGCGGTGCCGGGTTGAGAGCCGATGCTTACGTGGACGTATCTGCTGGATCGACTTGAGATTGGGACGTAGGCGTAAGGATTTCAGAGTCAACAGAGACGGTTGTAGAGTCTTTGATTGAAGAAGAGTCCGATAAGGGCGCCTGCGAGTCGGCGACAGAAACACGGAGGAATTTGACGGCTCAGACAGGTCCTCAGGTCCTCAGGGGGCCCCGCGGAGACTTCGTCAGGCAAGCTGGCTCTGAGATATGATGGGGGTCGGAGTGAGGAGACATCGATGTCGAGGCTTCGGAAGGCACCGGCGACTTCTCTGGGCTCTCCAGCGAGGGCAATTCTTCGGTAACATGCCCGATCGGAGAAGGCATCGGCGTGTCAGGCTGGGCGGGATGAGCCGACGCGGAGGGATCTGCAGCGTCGTTGGAGAGAGCGTCGAAGGGTGCTGGTTCGCTGAGGTTAACGGAAACATCGTTCACCTCCATAGCATGAACGTCTTCGATAGCGGCTTCGTGTGCGTCGTTGGAGAGAGCGTCGAAGGGTGCTGGTTCGCTGAGGTTAACGGAAACACCGTTCACCTCCATAGCATGAACGTCTTACATAGCAGCTTCGTGTACGTTCTCGTTGGCTGACTGGTCGGAAGTAGCTTGCGCCATTGTCTGTCAGGGAATTTTGGGGACAGCGACAGTTACTTACACCGTTGATGGAGGGTGGGCGCGGTCATCGACGGTAGCTTCTTCAGCGGAGACAGGTTCGTCCACCTTCCCGTCCGCATCCTCCTATCGGCGACATCACATATCCTAACAAGAACTACATAAACAAGCTGTATGTATTTCAAACAACCATGAGTGCGAGTTGCTAAGTATAAGAAATATGGCTATTGACGTGAAACGACATATGGACCGTTCGTTAAACGTCTGGAAAATCATGATATACGGAGGCAGCCTCTGTTTCGCGAGCTGCGATACTCTCGAGGGAGAAAGAGGAACGTGTCGGTGTTCGTTCCCCTATTGTCTCTGATACATAATAGAGTATCAGTTCAATGCAATGTGAGAGCTACGCATACAGGTGCTGACGAACCCGAAAATGGACCGATGCCGTACACATTCTTGGGAATTGGCTTACCATTGAATATAGATCTGACGGCTGCCATTGCAGTCAGTTATGAGGGGGGACAAAATGTGAGCAAGAATAAGCAACTTGCACGATACGGCATCCGGAATCGGATCGACTTGAGGCTCGAGCTTTTCCATTTCCCGTCGCATCATCCATTCTAGGCGATCATCAATCTCACGGGGTTGACCAGAGTGGTGTCTAAGATATGGTGATTGTATAGACGACGGCGGAGGAGATGCCTGCAACATCACAGGAGACACCACGGAGAGCCCGCAGTCCGCGATGGGCACTGGCAAGGATCGTCCAGGCAATGTGGTTAGATATCTCGGCGTGTATTCGCCGGTACGACTTGAATGCATGGCCTGCGGGAGCACTGAAAATGCTGGCAACGTTCATACATTCCCAACCAGCATCAGACCCAGAACGAAGCGTATCTATTCGTGCAACGACGGACCATCTGCACCCAGGGTAGCAATGGGTGGTTCAATTTCTCGTTGGACATCCTTGATCATCACCTCCGCACTGTGGGAGGTAGTCTGACCAGGCGAGAACGTGAGAACACGCACATTAACTCGTCCTTTAGCACTCACTAGCGCGATCCGCACAAATTTCTCGGCCATTGGCAAGTACTCTTCGGCTTTGCTCTTGTCGTCAACAAGAAGATACCTTGGATTACGAGCCTTTCTCAACCTGCACTTCTTGCCATATGCTTCGTGATATGCGGCCTTTGCACGAAGCAACCTGAGTGAGGACCACCCCAGCAGCGTGAGCACCACGATACTGAAAGCCACGAGCCTTCAACTCACTGCATCCTCTCTGATTCTAAATCGCTGAAGACGCGAGGGGGGAGGCACGCCCGCAGAGCGCCCTCAGCTCTGATCCAGAACTGTTCATTGCAGAAATCTATGTCCGCGGCTTGTCTCCATATTCCGATCGCTGTTTTATGCCTTTTGGAGTGGGCCTGGCTGGTCGACCATTCAAACATCCTCTCGTATTCCCGGGAGCAACGAAACTCCTGAAGTGTCCGTTCACGCCCAGAGTATCGCATCACCAACTAAGTTGGGATTTGTTTCTGCACGGGTATCTCTTGTTATCATCAAGATTTTGATCCAAACTTAGTTTGCATTGTATTCTGCGCTTATAGTATACATGGTCGCGAAATGACAATCATTATTCGAAGAGCAAACACAGCGTAACATTTTAAATTCAAGCCTAATTGGGATGCAGATTTATACTTAAAGAATCAAAACCTATTTTGGCGCGGTTGGCGCGCAAAGTTTAAGCCTGAACTGGATGCAAATCTGTACTTAAAATGACGGTTAAGGTACCAATCGGCCCGGTACTTGAAGTCCAAAGGCAGCCCGCACTCAATTCTCGTTCACGGTGCACGGACCGCACGGAGTCGGACCGATGAAGGAACGATCATGGGGGTCTCCGTACCGTGCAGGACCCGTGTCCGCTGTCGGTCACGGTGCGGTTGAAGCTCGAACTCCGTACTAGTATACAGCAGAATTCACGAAACTATGATATATACTACTGTAAACGAAAATTTTAGCAACTCGACGTCGTGTACAGGAAGCAATGTTACTTACCAAGGATGTCCGCAGGTCACCACCAGCCAAACCGATGACAAGTGTGGAGGCGAGAACGAGATCATGGCAGTATACCGACAGCGTGCTCTTCGAGCAGCTGGAGGAGTACGGGGGAACGACGATCGGCATGTCCAATTTGATCCTGCCACGAGCGTATGTCAAGTGGCGGACGAATGATACTCGTGTTTAGGTATGCGTCTCGACACTGCTTGAACCAGCTTTCTGCCCGCTGGCTCCAGTATCCGAAGTCGAGTCCCTCCCAGATGTAAGGCGAAGCGTGGTCTCCTCGTCAGCGCACATTTCATCATCTTCAATATAATTCTCGTTGATGTCGTCCGCGGCTCTCGCCTTGCCCTTGCCCTCGATCTTGGGGTCAGCGATGCTTACTGTGTGGTCCTCCGTGACCGTGGCCTCGCCCAGAACTTGAGTCTACGAGCAATCAATGAGATGCACCTCAGGCAACCACGACTAAGGGGTACATGAGATGACGTAGAGGCCTGAGGTAATGACGATTGTTCCGATGATGGAGGATCGCCGTCTCGGTCATCACCGAGTCGATTGTGGCGGGTCTGGGTGTCACTGACTCGGTCATCACCAAGGTTGTTGGCGTTACTGACTCGGTCATCACCGAACTTGTTGGGGTTGCTGCCCTGAGCAACAGGATGTGCTGGTGGAAGGGACAGGGAATCTTCCCACTCGAGATCACGATCAACAGTGTCGTCCTCAATATGCTCCTGAGCGGGTTAAGCATCGGATTGAAAGAATAGATGGATGAAAGAGCCATACCTGTACAGGAGTGGCAGCGTACGACGGAGCCGGACGATAAACCGGGAGTACGGCCGGATCCTCGGTAGTGTCCATAACGGGGAGACAATGCGGTCGGCCATAGCCAGGCTGGTCAACTTGCGACGGAGGGAAGGATTCGTCCGAAGGTGTAGCCTAAGCGACTGGAGTGTCAGACCAGCACAACCAATAACAACTGAAACGAACAACTTACCTCCAGGTGATCATGTTGCGGGACAGGTAATGCTTCTGGGGGAGGAATCCCTGCTGGGGGATCGACGAAGTCCGAGGCAATATAACCCGGCCTCCCCTCTACCGTCTGGTTGAAGTAGTACTCGTCCACATCCTCCTCAGCCGTGTCGGTGTCTTCCTCAGGCCGATAGGGCGGCGACGGAGGGCGTGGGTGTAACCACGGGGCAACGTCCCATTCATCATACACCCCGTCGTATAACCGCGCATTGGGATGCAGTTCGTAAAGGGTGGCGGCACGTTCTGCCTTCGACACTTGAATCCGTTGAAGCCGTCGCCCTAGATTATCTGCTTTCCAGTAGAAAACACGAGTATGAGGTCCGAGTACCCCGTTTGAAGCCTTCTGCTCCCGGTCGTATATGAGGCCCACAATTTGATCGTTTGAGTATTTGACGAGGAAGAGCTGACGATACCGGTGACGTCGGCGCATGAACGCATAGAACGACTCGTCGGGGTGATGCGCACGAATCTGGGGAATTGGGAACTCGCCACGAGGGTGGTAAGTTTGGCCGCCTTCCTCTACGACTTGCTTAGTGAGATTCTGCACTTCATCTAAGGTCAAGGCAGGGATGAGCGCGCGAATACCTTCGGCGCGTTCCTCACGTCTTTTCTCAGCCGCGGACAGTCCGGCAGCCCGGCGCTGGTACGAAGTCGGGATTCCTTGCTGGCGTCTGCGATTGTCCTTCTGCCCTTGAGTGTTATGCTTTGGACGCGATGTCGTCTTGGAAGGAGGCAGTTGAGCTACCACCTTAACCCAGTCGATAACCTCAGCCTCCCTCCCCTCAGACGCTCCCCCCTCAGATGCTCCCCACAAGGATGATGCGTCCGGCCAACCGGATGCTACCCAACCATCGGATGTTGCGTTCGCCCGACCGCCGTCCGCTCGACTGCCGTCCGTCCGACCGCCGTTTGCCCAACCGCCGTCCGACCAACCGCCGGACGATAGGCCGCCGGACGATGGGTCCGCCGGAGCACTAGACGATGGGCCTGCCCGAGCGCGGGATGATGGGCCTGCCCGAGCGCCATTTGATGGGCCCGCCCCAGCGCTGGATGGTTTGCTCAACCAACAGCCAGATGAAGGACCCCAAGACTTGCGCGAGACGTCAGAGCGCGCCTTGGCCACGATGGCCTGCGGAACCATGTCCGACGGTATTTGGTGGGTTGCGGGGAACCATTCGAGATGACCCAAGTATTCGTGATATTTGCCACAATAGATCCAAAGAGGAAAGAATTTGTTGTGATGGGTGCCGATGAGTGAGATGAGCCATTTGAAATGGAAGCTAGATAGTTCATAAAGATTGACCAGTATGCCTGCCCGCGGTATCGTATTGAATTTGAAGACCCAAGACGCATGGAGGGACATGAGAAACTCGTTATACCTGGATTGCAAACGCGAGTCGCTGAGCGCATGACGAAGCAACGTCGTGACCCGGAGTTCCCGCAATCCGGTGTCGCGCTTGTAGTCGTACTCGCTAAACTTCCTTGCGAGGTAGTACAGGAAGGCCGTCATCGTTAACTGTTCATGGAAGGCGGTACGGACGAGGCTCCAGAGCCCGACAGCGTCGCTCTTGCAGCACGAGAGCACACGGTATGAAGACGTGGATGAAGTGGATACCTCCGAAGGAATCTGAGGTCGACAGTCGATGTACTGCAAGAGTACGGGGTCGAGCGATGCTTGCGGTAGACTGTGCAGATATCCGCGGAGGGTGTTCTGCATGTCCTTCAAAAATAGCTCGTGGTCCTCCAACGTCTTCCAGAACGCTATACGGCACTGATCGTGATTTTCGTATTCGACTGGGTAGTCCCGAACATCAGTCAGTTCAGTGTAGATTTCCAGGCCGGCCCAACCTTCGCCGTCAAGCTTGGTTGGGTACATGATGCTGTATAACTCGGTGCCCTTGAGCCAGCTAGTTACCCCGCGGTCATTGCTGGTTTCGCCTAGATTGGGGAAGTTATGGAATGGGACGACGTTGCAATTGAAGGAAACGAAGTATTTGTCGCGCACACGCCAGAGACCATGAATGGTATTAGATGAGATAGTAGACTTGGACGACATATTGAAGCAGGGAACCTAATGGGCACATTAGTCGACAGACAATAGAATGAGTAGGGTGCGGCGTACGGGAGGGGGCCGGGATTGTCCGATGAGCAGTCAGGACTTGGGGTAGCCGACAGGGACAAGAAGACTGAAAACGGGTCGAAAGCTAGAACAGCGGAGCTAGAAAGCAGCGGTCACCACCGTGGTAGAGCTGGAAAGCAAGATAGCGGGGGGAGCAGACGACACGTCCAAGGCGAAGCCAGCGGTCACCACCGAGGCAGGCACTTGAAGAGGTTGATACGGAACTGAGAGAAATCTTACGGAGACGGTAGCGAGACGAGTGAGAGTGAAAGAAGAGTGAGCGACTGGGGACGGAGAAGCAGGAAAGAGAGTCGATGAATTTTAAGGTTGGGTTGACCGTGAAAGAACTGTGAGCATTACAGTACCGGCGTACTCTGCGGTGGTGACCGTTTATTGTCTACTTCACGCGCCACCTCGCTGGTTCATCTCTGTCTCCCTTGTCCGAACACCGTCTCGCCTTGGGCCATATCGGCGATCCCCTGGTCAAGCTTGTCAGCGCCGTAACATTCTTACCTCCGGGATACAGAGCTTCCTGCAGGAACTGTAATTTCGGCACATCTCATGTTGCGAAGCAATCACCACATTATCATTATGCAAATCCGTACAACTCTGCGATGCACTTTCTGTGGCTGACGATCGCGGGCCGGACTGCCAAATACCAGTAACCTTTTGCATACATCCAAGCTTCAGGAACGTCGTCCTACTTCTAATGGTAAGCAGCATCATGGTTGTGAATGTGTCCAATGCTTACCTCCACCATTGACCACAGGAAAGGCGCGACCACTAGAACGAGCAGTAGTATGACAGAAACAGTCATCACTAGCTTTGCGAGCCAGACGAGGCTGCGCTGCACGAGGTTTGATAACCAGGCAAGGCCGCCTTTGAACCTCTGCCAGATTTGTTGCAATAACTTCCAGAGCTGTCCTGGCAAGTCAGTTCCAGCTGTCGAGTTTGGCAAGGTCGCGGATCCCTCAATAACCCGTTTGCACGTCCATACGGATACTGCTCCGACACCCGTCGTCGAGGATGTGGCGCATGCTATGTAGTTCGCCGAGGCGGTACTAGATGTCTGCCAAGAGGGATCAACATCGTGCGTCCTTCACCGTTGAACAATCTTCTGTGTGAGCTTACCGCGACGATTTGTGTATAGCCATCTGACGCATTCATTAAAATCTGCTCGGGCCCACCACCTGCCTTTTGAAAGACATAAGCACATCCAGTGTCGCTCCCCGCTACGACGATCTCTCCGTCTTCGCCAAACATGACGTGCTTAGGGACAGCCGATATCTTGGACCCGGCACCAAACATAGCGACTAGGGCTCCCGTTTCGCTATTGTGTAGGCTGAAGTTGTTTGTGTTGTCGATGACGACTTCCCTGTCCTTGCCCATGGTGGCGTAGCCGCTATTGTGGTGCTTGGTCAAAAATCATATCCTCATTGATGGTCACTCACATGAGCTGAGCAAGGCTTGGCCCATGCTCCAGCGTCCGTTCCCTCCTGGAAAACGTGTGTCTAGCGAGTGTCAGCACTACTTCGAGAACGAGACACTATCACATACATCTGGCCAGAGAACGTGGAGAAGACCGTGATATCCTTTCTGTTCGACGTGAACTCGATGTTTCTAGGCTCGATCTTGGCCAGCCTCTCGTACCAGTCGTTCCAAAGGCGGTTTGGAAGGACGTCGTAGCATGCAAGAATGCAGTGGATCGTGCCAACTGCAAGTCGGACTCGATCAGGGTTGACCTGGACCGCCAACGAGAGTATCTCGCCGCCCTCGGGCACCCGGAACGCGTGACACTCTCTAAAATTGTTCTTTTGCGACGGTAAGAGCACCCGACTACCACTGAATACACAAGACTTACATCATTCTTCTGCCAGATAAAGACGAAGCCATGCTTCGTGCCAATGAACAACATGTCAAATTGGCCTTCCATGGATGCCCATTTAAGCACCACAACGGATCCATAAATACTTGGTGGAACCGTGTGGGGCTTGCCTGTGCTGATCGGTTTCAAGGTGCGCGTGTCGTTGAGATCGAGACCTGCTTCACCTAAGTCGATTTTCAGCGAACATGCCTGAAAAACAGTCCTTCGCTTACCCCCACGCGCCAGCAAAGTGCCATCCGGCGAGAATGCAAGAGCATACGTTGGAATATGAGGTGTCGGAATGCGCCCGGCGCATTGATATCGACCTCGGGACCAGGTTCTTGAGCTTAGCATTGGTGGAATTTGCGCAAGTGGGATGTTTTTGACCGTTACATCCACCGTTGGCTCTTTTAAATGCTTTCGCAATTGTACGCCCAATTGTATCTTCGTTGTCACGATCCCTAGCGATCACAGTCAACACCGTTTTTGTCGCCGAGAGAAGGCCTTATTGTGATCCCTTCTCTATTGTATCTCAGTTTTTTGTGACCATCGTACTGTTATCTTCATCTGCACGCAATTGCAATGAAACGATATCTTTTTGTGAGCTCTTGTACGTTAGTGCGAACACCGCACGGACACGGTCGCTATCTCTCACGGACACTGAGCTCTCTCGTGATGAATCCAGACCATTGTGCATTCGTTATGTATAACATGTATATTACAAAGTAGAGATTCGCGATGGCAACATGGCAGCCGTAAGCAACATATCATGAAGGGGGCGGAAGGGACTAAGTAATGATCAGATGGTGAGTTGGTCGTAGGACGTAAATCTAACCTTCATATTGTCGTGGAACGCCGCATCCTGCGGCTTGCTGATCCCCTTCTTGATTTCCCGAGCAGTGTACGCAAGCCTCTTCGCGATCAAATCGTCAAGCGGCCAAGCATCCTCGTACTTGTTGACGAACTCCGGATACTTCTGCACAAGCTGCAGGCCATGAGTGATGTAGGACATAGTATGTACGGAAAAAACTGCCTACCAGTTGTTTGGCGCGCTCGACCGCTCCTGGTGGTTGCTTCGAGACAGTTTGCGAGTGGTGGAGCCATTGCGAAACAACTTTGTTGACATCACGCTTCGGGCAATTTCAGAACGGCGACGTGCAGGCAAGTTGGTAGAATACTTACCTGAACTGACACGTAAGCCTTATTTTTGAGGCCCATCTTGGTGCGAAGTGTGTAGCCGCCGCTACGGGGACGACCAGCGCTCCCAACAGGCCTGGGCACTAGATCGTGTCTTGGGACAGATGTTGCAAATTCGACGCGACGAGATGTCACAGGTGTGGATTCTCGGGAAGGGGATGCGGAGGATAATTCAGAGCTATCCTCGCTGTCCTCGGGTTCTACTGAGTTGCGAGTTGAACCAGGCGATACTGTGCGGGATGTCGACGACTGCCTTGGAGTCGACGACCTCAGCAAATTATGAGTAGGTGCCACAACGGGGCCAGGAGGAGCTGCCATCGCGGGGCCAGGAGTGCCAGCCCTCGCGGGACGAGGAGTGCCTGCCCTTGCGGGATCAGGAGTGCCAGCCCTCGCAGGACCAGGAGTAGCTGCCCTCGCGGACCCAGCAGAAGGCATCCTCATGGTGCCGGGAGTCGGTTCTCGGCTGGGGGTAGTTGAACGTGCGGTACTAAGACCCTCGGAAGGACGAGGGTATGGGCGGGTCGCGATCCGCGCCTCATGAGCACGAGAGCGATATGGCAGCACAAGCGGGACAGTGTACGAGACGGGGTCGCTAGCCAGGAGCAATGAGAGATCACGGTGTAAGCTGAGCATGAGCTGACGCGGTGGAAGCGCCAGAGGTACAAAGTACGCTCCTCGACGGGCAGAGTCTGGAGATGGGGTGGTCATGTCTAGGTTGGGGAACGAGGGTCGTCGAACGTATTTTATCCATACCGAGACAAATACCGTTGCCAGGGCACGAAAGACAATTAGGTGATCCGCAAGACAATTAGATATGTCTCAGCGCAAGGTCACCACCTCACGAAAAGAATGAAGAGACGTCTGAGAGGTCGAGGTCAACACCTCGCAACCCATGAAAGAATAAGGCGAAGACAATAAGCAGTTGATGGACGTGAGTCACGGATGCATGATTCGGGTGAGCAATTTGTTCACCGGTTCTCACGATTTTGGAGGGTGGTATGATTACAAGGCCTAGGTATAAACTAATGTAACGACATGAATTACGAGGTACAAGCTAATGTAATACAATCTCATAGACACAGTGTGCGAGGCTCATCATTAGGATTGCAGGGGTTTTGGAAAATAATCAATGAGTGGATCGTGATGCTCGTTGTGCCAATCCTCCTCCGATTCATCCAGAATGTCGTATTGCGCATTGGGGAGCCGCCTAAGAATCGCGCCTATGGTGTAGTTTGGATTAGGCCGCGTGATTACCTGCAAATTGAGAGCATTAAGAAAGGTCTCATCCGAAGCGAAATGCACTGACTGGATGACGACACATAGGACAGGTGTACGGTGGTAATGCTTGAAGATGCATTACCGTGGCCAAGACAGTCCGAAGTGATGGCGAGAACAGCATATCGGATTGAACATCGTGCGCTATAGGCCGAAGAATTGTGGGAAGAGCAACGATATCGTTCGATCGGAGCGGACGGATTCGTGTTGGTTGGTAGAAGGGTCTGGCGCGATCCTCGCGGTATTGCACCAGGATCCCATTGAACCACTCGGCCACGCAGCCTCGACAAAAAGTGTGACCACACTCCAGGCTGAAAAGGATGTGAGCTTGTGAATTCATTTACGAAGCGCGACTCACTTGACGGGATTTCTGATCCGCTGGATGCAAACCTGGCATTCCAGGTCATCCTCGATCTGTTCGAGGGTGTGTTCAATGGGTTGCAGGAGCTGACGGGCCTGCATCAATTCATCCTGCACTCGTAACAGCGCAATTTGGGCCATGGTGGTGTCTTGCTTTGCCCTGGTAGTCTCTTCCTGTGCGGTCGCCGCTATTTTCTTGGCTTCAGCAGCTTCGTCCATGGCTGCCTTGACCCGGGCGCTCATACCCTCGAAGTCTGCTGTGCAAAGCGGCAGCACCTACGTACAAGTCAGCGGATAGGTTGCCAGGTGGTAGTAGACAAGAATTTACCACGCGAGCGTCACGAGTCTCTTGGGTGGAGCTTGTAGCCTTGTTCGGGCGCGAGGCCATAGCCTTGCTTGGACGCGAGCTCGTAGCCTTGACACTGCGCGAGGTTGTAACCTTGGTCCCGCGTGCACCAGTATCCTTATTGCTAACATGTCAACCAACGAAAAGACCGCGCAGTAAATATCACATACCGCATTGCTGAGCCCGGAGGAGACCCAAGAGGAGAAAGAATGGTACTCATCAGAAGAAGAAGAGATGCTGATGACATCGTCCGGCTTGGTGGAGCTCATAGTAGGTTGAACTTCGTCGTCGGAGATCGAGATAACCGACCGGGTAGCCATAGACCGGGTAAGGGGACGGGTAACCGCCCTACCAGGAGAAGCACCGCGACGACGGCGAGTAGGGCGAGTAATGCCGCCAACCGGTTGGGGCGTTCGAGCTCGACTCTGGCGGACGACGGGCATATTTGATAGAGTAGAAAAATGAGCGTTCAACACTTTGAAGGGATGTGAGGGTGAGGGCGTTCAACGCGATGAGGACCAGCACGGTACACGGAGGTATATTTGAATCCGCTGATACACAAAAGAAAGCACCGAATATCAAAAACTATGACAAAAAGACAAAAAGAAACCTGGTGCTCACCGCCGATTCATTCCTTGATGACGCCACAATCCCACGGTCTCATTACGAAGACGGAACGGTCACCGTAGTTTGACAATAAGGCTCGGCATGGCAATGGCAGCTTTCAAGAGCCGTAGAACCATAGCTGACAATCAATGTGGCACGTTCGGACGAAAAACAATCAAGAGTGTTGCGCTCGAGTCGAAAACAATCGATACTCCTGAATATAGACCCTGTGAGCAAAGATTCCGACGTCAAGAATCCGTCCTCACCTCAACGCCCCCACGAACATATTTTCCGCGCAATGCAGCAAGCTCAATATACTCGTACTTTGTGGGTGAGTGCCAGTGGCATTGAGCGCTTCTGTAGTCTAAAACATGGTGTAGCGCGAGAGCGAGATTGTAGTCGAAACCTCCGCTGGCGGATCGTCGACTATGAAGAAACGGACCCGCGAAGAGTCCTCCGAGTTCGTGTCGCGTGAGCCGCTTGCAGGGCTTCCGCTTTCGGAGCCGGCTTGGCAGATGCCAGGAGCAATGCCTTCGGCGGACTTCAGCTTCTCGCACCCGGGACCAGGACCGTCAGGCGAGATGTCCGCTCTCGCCGGGAGGCCTCCTGCGCTGGCCATCAAGATGGCGGGACCAAGCGATAATTCTGGCATGCTGGCCATTGCTGAAGCCGAAATGGCGGGACCCGACGACGATGACAACAATGCCGTCAGCCAGATGCTGGTTGTCCCGCCAACCCAGTACCAGGTCAATACTGCTGCCGCAAAGATGAGGCGACTGAACAATGCGCCCACCTATTTTCGTCCCAGCCCGACTCGGTTATTTGTCCGAATGGAGGAAAAGAACGACAGGGCCGTCGTAGCATCCAGGATTGCCCACCGCCGCAATGTGGAGCTGGCGAATCAGCTTGAGGCCCTGCGGGTGGCACAGTCTGATAGCCAACAGCAGCTGGTTCAACTCTCGGAGGAGTGCGACGCTATGAAGCGTTTTCGTGTCAGTAGCGATACCGCTACAAATAGCCTGCAGCAGCAGCTCCAGGAGGAGGAGAGATTGAGGGGGATGCTTGTGAGCGACTTCTCGGCTCGCATTACTGCCGCCGAGGGGGTTGCGGCCACGGCAAATGGCCTGCAGCAGGAGCTCCAGGAGGAGAGGAGATTGAGGGAGACGCTCGAGATCAACTTTGCAGCTCGCGTCGCCTCCGCCGAGGCGTTTGTGACGGATTTGAACAAATCGCTTCAAGATGAGAGGAGGACCAATGGAGAGCTCAGGGCGAAGCTCAACTCCGGGACTGCGCGCGTGCAGCAGCTCGAGTGGCGGGAGAGAGAACGGGAGCATTCCATATCACGGCTCGAACAAGATCAGCGACGATTAGAGGAAGAAATAAAGACGCGAGATGCCTCGATCAAACTGCTTGAGGCTGATTTGAAACGCGAGCAAGATCAAGCGAGGGCCGAGCGGGAACAGTTCAATGAAACGATGACGGTATGTCCATTGTGTACTCAGCCAATCAGAGTACGCTGACGAGCAATGCCGGCGCGGTGTCAGGACCGAAGCCAACAGTTCGAGGAAAAGATTGAGGTAAGATGTCGATGCCTAGAGCCATCGATGACGCTGATGAGGAAGCAGGCTCAGAACCAGGAGTTCGAGGAGAGGTTTGAAGTGAGAAGAATCTGTTGCTGAATGATCGATGACGCTGATGGGCTCGTAGAATTTGACTAGCGAGAAGAACAGGCTCGAGGCCAGCCACGCTGAACTATATGCTGCAATGACAGCTTTAGAGAAAAGATTTACGCGCCAATTCGAGGTAAACACGTACGCGTTTTGCCGTGATCTTTCGCTGATTAGTGTCATAGCAAATCCGTTTTGGGAGCAGCACGCCGCCGGCGCCAAAGCAGATGACATCAACCGACCAGCCGCCATCAAATGAAGCAACCGGGTCCAACGATGTGTCGGCGTCCGATGTGACCAATGCAGACACACCAGCAACACCAATGGCTCCGGTCTCCAACGAGGCGGAGGCGTCTAATGTGACCAATGTGGATACACCAACAGCTCCAATGGCTCCGGTCTCCGCCGGAGGGTCGCTCCCCGGTCCCGCTACAGGACTATCCCCAACGCAGTCTGACGTCAATGCCCGCCTTCTACTCAGTCCCCCGAGCATGTTTAGAACAATAGGCAAGGGGAGGAAATCCGCGGGCGAGAAGAAGACCCTGAGGGAACTAAAGGATGAGAAAGCCAAATTTGCTGGGGCTTATCGCAATGTGCAATTGGTATGTCGCTATAAGGTCGCCTCCAGCGCGATAATTGAAGCATTTTACCAGGAGGAAGCGCGCCTGGTGCTCTACGGAGTGTTGGGGATCAGAGACCAGAAGGAGATCACCATGAAGGCTAAGGAGGCTGACGAAGAGGATGTCGCTGCTTTCAACGCAGGGTCGCTTGCTGTTGGACCAGATCACCAAGACGTGCGCTTTTCTTTGATCGCGCCTACCGACAATCGCTGGAATCGCTATATTGTGGCTATGTTTGCCCAGAAAATGTTCAAGCTGCAGGGCGAAGAGCATGGGTTCGTATTCATGAACAGCAACCGGAAGATTGAGCGGGTGCCGCCAGCAAGCTTCTTATATTGGGAGGATCTCGTCTGGGAGATCTGGACGAGACTCCGCAGTTCCTGGGTGGACTGCCTGCCAAAGATGGTAACGGATGTTGGGACCGGCCGCGTGTGCCCAGAGCGTGGAGAAGAGGTCGCTTTGCGTATGAATGACAAGGAGACTAAGTTGGAGCAACAGGCACGGAAACGGTCGCGAAAGCATCGTGTAAGCTTTCAATCTAAATTCTCGACGAGTTGCTCACCTATTTTGGCAGCGATATATCCGTCGTCTAGATGTTTGCGATGTGAAGGCGAAGAAGGCGACGTCTCCATCCGAGGTTGACAAGTGGAACAAGAGGCGAAAAGTCCTGGCACTACTCACTGAAGACGGGATGAGTTCCGACGAAACCGACACTGAATCGACATCTGTCCGTCACAGAACTCATGCATTGGCGTGGCAGCGGCAAGAGGTGGACTTGATAATGGAAGTAATCGACACAGGGAGGAACGATATCCTGAGTTCTAGAGGATCTCAACCAGCGGCACGAGCGCGCTCCGACCGAGTTCTAGCGTTGGGACCGTATGGAGCTTCGTTGCAGTCGACCCGGTCACCAGTACCTGCGTTGCCCAAGGCGATGTACGATGCAGACTGGCTCGCGGGCACGACCAGTCAACTTCGGGGAGGGCTGGACGTAAAGGAGGGTGAGATCGATTTTGTTGGACTCCTATAAAGTGAATGTACCGTCCGCTATCTGTATGACAGTCCAAAGGAAGTAGGAGTGCGGGTCGCGAGGTCACCACCTCAGTCGCTTGAAGATTTAAGTGCAAGAAGGTGAGCCGTTTGATGTCACGCAATCTGACCGGTACCGGTGGGAATCCATCTGACCCTACGACTTGCCTCCTTCAAGCTGGCTTCGCTTCACCACTCACCGCCGTCTTACCTCCTCATCGTTCATCACTCTTCTCTTGCAACAGCCGTTGCGGTGTTGACCGCGACGGCTACGGTTCGACTCACTCAGGCTCGCGGTGTTGACTGCAACACCTGTAGCACCCGAATCACCGCTCCGCGTCTTCATACAACAACTGTCGCGGTGTTGACGGCGATGATTGTAGCACCTCCTCTGCCGTGCAAGTAGCTGGCGTCAGAACATCCGCATAGGACCTACCATATCTGCTTTTCAGTAGTCTGGACCTTAACTCTTCACATCCCTTCATGTGATCCGGTGTTATGCATCATCAAAGTTTGGCCTTCCTGAACTCACGGCGAGGTGAGGCCCCTTCTCGTGCTGTCGTATACATAATTCTTATCATTGCGCATTATCTCCTAGCTTTCCTGCAACCCCATCCCCATCCCCATCATGTACCTGTCGCCTTCGGAGTACGATCGCCTCCTCAAGGAGGACAATCTTGCAAATCGTTATGCTTCCCCGCCCGCATCAGCTAAAATCCCTAGGCCAACAAGTGCTGCTTCCCGCAGAGTTAACATACTCCAGCGCATGGGCCCCGTCGACGAGGACATCGAGAACTCTTGGCCGTCCATCACTTATCAGATCCGTCTCCTGGCGTACCATTTCCTGTGCGCACTCCCGCTCGACGCGCAGGACCAGGATCGTGTGGATCAATTCCTGTACAAGGTAAACGCCACGCTCTTCCGCTCACCTGATTCCTTGACTGATGGTTGTCTACCATGATAGGTCTTGGAAGTCTACCCTTTTTTCTCGTCCTTGGAGGATTACTGGCCGATCCGCGATTATATTGAAGAACATATCCGTCGTACATGCTCGCGCCGTCGCCTTCCCCATGGCGAATGGCCTGCGAAGCCGAGACCACCGAGAGTAAAGAATGATGAGATTGCCCGGCGAATGCTTCGTCCGCGCGCTGCGTTTCCCGAATGATCTGTATCCTCAATCCATGTATTCTCAATTGACGGACGACGGACGAACGGCAAGAGTCATTGTTTATGTCAGGTGATCATTGAATCATACACGTGAATTCATGAAATAAAAATTCTCTTGACCAAGTCTCATCCTCGCCAGCACCGTTTCTTCCTCACACCTTGTTCACCTGCTCAGACGGCACCCACGGAGGCTTGGAGCGATCCGACAGGGTTTCACCACCCGGAACGGCGCCCGCCTTGCTGCTGTTCATGCGGATGGAGACAGGCCGCGTTTCCTCCCTCGCACCTCCTTCTCCTGCTCGGACGGCACCCACGGAGGCTTGGAGCGATCCGACAGGGTTTCACCACCCGGAACGGCGCCCGCCTTGCTGCTGTCGATGCGGAAGGGGACAGGCCGCGTTGACGTGGATGTAAGGGGTATAATAGAACATGTAGTCGATATATTCATGTACGAAGATTCGGATAAGGAACGGGAAGTGGAAATCGCTTACGGCAAGTGCCAGTGGAGGTGTCCTGGTCGCAAGTGGCGACGGCGCCGGCTTGCGCAGTGCATTGGTCAACGTCGGTCGCACCGGGGTCGGAGTAGCCTTGTGCAAAGCTTCCCTCGGCAGGACAGATCGTGCACGACGTCTGGCCCGTCTGATCCTGGTAGAAGCCGGAGCAGCAGGTGCAGCACGACGTTGCGCCGGACACGTCGCTGAACGAACCCTGCAGTACCGGAATCAGTTTCGTATTCGACGCGCTGCGGAGATACCGTTGTAGGTCCCTCGGTACACATTCGCGGATCCCCCATAGCAAGGAGGATCATCCCCAACATTCACAGGCCCCGATAACCTGCATCTTGTGGGTAGGAGCCCGCTCTTGCTACACAGCCCGCTGAGCGTGCGCAGACTCGTTCGAAATCTGCCGTCAGTGCGAGGTATTGAGTCGAGGCCCTAGATCGCACTCTGAGTCTCCGGTTTTGCTCCAGTGCGCTCCAGCCGACCGCCACTCACACAATCCAACTTGTCTATCTTCTCCTGCAGAGCCGCGGTGTGAGCAGCGGAACCATCGTCCATGTAGTTGAGTATGGGCGCGGGTGAAGGAGACATGATGCGCCTTGACGTTGTGTTGTTGCTTATTGTATCGCGATTAGCGCCGAGGGGGGATCACAGCATCCTTTAAGTCCTGTATATTGGAGCTCAATAATCACGACCACATTTTAGGCACACGTTCCCTTCTTTGAATCATCACGCGAGCGGCGACAGAGTGAAAACATAGATTAAAGGTCTGTACAACGCCCCTTATATTCCGGCAACTTGACCATGTACTGTTATGGACATTGCAACGTTTCGGTCCACCACGGAAGACAAGACACCGCCTTACTCATATAATGGTGACCGCGCAAGCTATCTGGGCTCGAGAACGCGGACACCGCAACGATAGACCGTATTCGGTTGCATGCGTGGTATCCAAGATCCTTTTTACTGGTACAATCCGAACATCCGATCCTCCTAGCACAGCAGCCTTTTGGCGACCACGAAGCTACACTCTAACCCTCATCTACAAGCGAGGGACCAAAGGTCGCTGAACTCAGAGGCATTGCGAGTAGTCTGTGGAGGATTGTCAGTTTCCTGCTCGACTCAGGCGAAAGGGGGGGATACTCACAGGGGTTGAGGACGGTGCAGGTCGAGCCAGACGCGCAGGTCGTCGCGCCGGTGTAACCGGTGCCGCCGCACTGTCCGTACTTGGCCACCGAGCCGGACGAGCCGGTAGAACCAGAGCCGGAAGCGGTCGAGGTGCTGGACCCACTAGAGCCAGACGATCCGCTGCCGGAGGACTCTGAGGAACGAAAGCGCATGTTAGCGAGTAGAAGCGACGGGGAGAGGAGAGAAACGTACGGCCAGCCTTGAAAGTCGTCCCGATGTCACCGACCTTGATGTTCGAGTAAGTCACCGAGATCGACCCGCCGTTCGCTTCAACGTCCGCGGGGACACCGGACGTCGTCGCGCAAGTGCCGCGCTTGACACCGGGTGCAGACGCGTCCTTGTTCGTCGGGTAGTCCGAGTCCAGCCAGAGCATGTTCACCGCGTAGTCGTCCCAGATCGACAGGACCAGCACCATACCCTTCGCGAACGCCGCGCCCAGCTGCTTCAACCCACCGAGCGACTGGAACGTGTTCGTGTCCCCGAACGCCGTCTTCTGTGCAGCGCACCAGCTGTCCGTGATCGAGTTGCCGCTCACGCCTGCGATCGTCGACTGCGAGTTGGGGATCACCACCCCGTTCTGCACGTAGAACCGCCGGATCTCGGACAGCGAGCCCGTGGTGGTGTTGTCCGACGTCAGGAACTGGGTCACCACCGTGATCGGCTTGGTCGTGTCGACCGTCATGCCCGGGCCGTAGAACATGGTGTTGCCCATCCGGTACGAGTTGAAGTCGCATCCGGCCTGGTCGCACGTCGAGGTGCACGTCGAGCCCGTGCAGGCGGTGATGCCCGTGCCCGTGCAGGGATGGGGCGTGACCGCCTCGGAGATGGAGTTGGCCTCCCAGATGTCCATCTCGGAGCAGCAGGCGCCGATGGACCCCGTGCCCGAGTTGGCGGAGGTACCGTTCCAGCCGATGATGTTGGCCTGTGGGCAAGAGAGCGTTAGGCATGAACGGCAAGCAAGGAGGTACATCGTTCTCACCTGGCCCTGGATAAACTTGAGGTCGTGAGGGCACTGAGAGTCGCAGTAGCCGGTGCCGTACTTGGCGCCGGCGGCGTTGGTCGAGGACGCGTCGCCGTTCGCGCTCATGGCCGAGAAGTACACGGCGCCGTTGAGACCGCAGGGGAGCTTGGAGACGTCGACGTCCATGGTGAACTCCTTGTTGAGGAGGTTGAAGGTCTCGTAGGTGCTGTCGTCCTTCATGAGGTAGACGCGGGAGCCGACGTTGCTGCCTGTCTTGAAGGCGAGGGTGAGGGCGGAGCCGGAGGAGGTGATACCGTAGGTGCCGGAGTAGTCGGCGCCGTCGAGAGCACAGTTCTTCGCGCAGGTGGCCGGGTCCGGGCAGAGGGTGGCATCCCACTGGTTTCCTACGAAGAAGGGTGAGGACACTGAGTGAGAGTGGGGATGAGGGGAGGATGGACATACCGGTGTAGCAGTTGGTGTAGCCGCCGACGTTGTGTACCCAGCGCCAGTTGGAGTCGAGGGTGACGCTACCGGCGACGTTGGTGCAGCCGGACGAGGTGCAGGTCTGGTAGGAAAGGGCCGGGTGGGTCTCCGCAGCGGAGGTACCGACCTGCTGGGCAGACGCGGTGGCGAGGAACACCACTGGTGTTCCTCGCCAGCAGCCTGGGACGGGTTGAAGGGTGCAGCCCGGGTGGCGTGGAGGGCAAAGCCCGGGCGGCTTGGAGGGCAAAGCCTCTGGCCGGTTTAAGAAGCCGGGGGCGTTTCGGAGGGTGAACCTTAGGCGGTTTGGAGGGCGAAGCCCGGGACGGGTTGAAGGGCAAAGCGCGGGTGTGGAGGGCGAAGACTCTGGCTGGGTTAAGAAGCCGGGGACGTTTCGGAGAGTGAACCTCAGGCGGTTTGGAGGGCAAAGCCCGGGTGTGGAGGACGAAGCCCGGGCCATTTGAAAGGCGAAGCCTGGGGCTGTTTGAAGGGCAAGCCCGGTGAGCCCAGGGTGTTCGGCGCAAGTGCTATGCCGTTGTCTTCATGAAGGAGTACTGCGTTGTCTTCAAGCACAAGCGCTAAACGTTTTCGAGTGCCTGCACTTTACTGAGGAAGCCGCCGGAGAGGACTGTCGATGCAACGGGTGAGCTGGGGACTCGGAAGAGGGGGAAAGGAGAAAGATGAGACGATGCGTACAGTTGTAATGCGTCGCCGAGGTTGATGACGAGCGCGTTGGGGACGTGCCGGACGAAGCGCCATACGTTGTCGGGCATCTAGTGTTCTCGCTTTACGGTCTTCGGCGGCAAGCTTCGCGTGGTCTTCAATGGTGAGCTCCGCACGGGCGCGGTCTTCAACCGTGAGCTTCGCATCGTCTTCGATGACGAGCGCGAGCGTGAAGATGGCAAAGCATAAGCGCTAAGCATCTTCAAGCGCCAGCGCTAAGCGTCTTCAAGCGCCAGCGCTTTGTGGTCTTCGGCGGCAAGTTTGGCGCGGTCTTCAACGGTGAGCTTCGCGCGTTCTTCAATGGTGAGCTTCGCGCGGTCTTCAAAGGCGAGCTTCGCATCGTATTTGATGACCGTATTCGAGTCCGAGTCCAAGCGGAGCATGCTGTGCGCAAGGGGGGGGGCATGGAAAGTGGGCGACGACGATGACGAGACGGCTTCGTGAGATATGGCATTTGCCACATTGAGGGACTTCGTCGCGAGACGGCGCAATCGCAAATCTGACGGGTCATATTTATGAACTGACTGAATACATGTGTTTCTTATTCAACATATCAGTCGGAGTTCAATGCGGCATACAATACAATGGTGGCAGTGTCAATGTGATCAAACTTCTCTTGCATGTACCATGAGCAACGCACTCGAGGACGATCCAGATGCCGATATCGACCAATGGGTCGCCGACCTATGGAGCGGCAAATCCTGGCAGACAATCCCGACTTCTCAGGACGATGAGGTCGAATGGACCGGTGGCACGCGGTATGAGAAAATTTGGAGGCCTCTACAAAGTCAGTACTATCGGCCTCAATACCCTCGATAAGATTAATGAAAGCCTGATCATCTCTAGACACGAATTCCAAGATTGATTCGGATTTGGTCCTCGAGCCAGACCCCACCGCTGGACCATCGACACAACCTCAAGCTCAATCACCATGGGTCGGCGGCGGCAGCATCACGCACGCGCCAGTGGTTGCTCCAGAGTACAAGATCAATCCCGAAATCGAGTCCGAATCGGAGCATGGCGACTCAGAACCGGCACACGGCGCAGATAATGCTGACCGACTTGAATGCCGGTTGTGTGAGCTGCGAATGCGGGCACTAGCGGGGGTTTATATCCATTTCCTTATCTTCCTCGCAGGCGCTCCCGGTTATAGTTCAAGCACCCCATCATTCGCAGTGGGCAATGCTAACAGTATATATATAGACTCATACCGTATGACAACGAAGATTAGACTGGGAACAAAAGATGCTGAGAGCGACAGCGTGAGGAGTGGCATATGAACAAGGTTCACTCAGCAAAGGCCGGATCTCGCTACATCCCGTGGCCAGCGGTTTGTTCAATCGACCACACGATTCCTCCGAGGACGTGCGAGAGAAACCGCTCGTCGCGCCAGATCTCTTCGGTATGCCCCAGCGCCGTGTAGAAGCTGCGACCCGGCCGTCCGCTCTCGTTCGTCGCTAAGACGACTTTTCTCAGTTATGCCTGGCGCGCGGTCGTTCGTCTCTCGTACCTCCGGGGTGCTCCATGCACCAAGCGATCGGATGCGGTGATCCATGGTCAAGCGCCTCGTCCCTTCGTCCACATATGTGGACTTGTCGACCGTCAGGACCACGGACGCTCCGCGCGTGCGCGGGTCCGAGCGGAAGTTGTAGACCTCGTCGAACACGGTCCAGCGTCGGGGGAGGCGCTTCGTGCTCGGATGCGACGGATCGGCGACCTCGATCACCTACACAGTCTGAAGAGCCCGTCACTGAGATTGCCGTAACGAAATAGGAGCACCAGAAGGAAGCGTGACTTGCAGCGTTCTGGGGGCGGTAGTCGAAGTAGGCGCCTGAGCGACTCGCAATGTCAGCGTCGAGACACCGAACTCGTCCAAAACCAAGAATAAATAAAAATGCGTTACCGACCCACTCGGTCGAGGAAGAACTCGGCGTGGCAGAGAGAAGCCGAGGCGCAATGGACGCCGACGAAGCAACCCTTATGGTCCTGTCGCAGGGTTGACGACCAGATCCGTCCTGCGAGAATCTTGCAGCAGCATGTCGGTCTGACCCGTTCTGCCACCAGATCATCAGACCGGCAAGACCGCTCAGATCCAAGGTGTTTTGCTGATGCATGCGATGCTCGTTATCGTATGGTATGGATTGGCGAGGCACGGAGATACTGGAGTTCCGACATTAAGTACGATATGTAGTCCAAAATAATCGTTTCATGAAGTTGATTGTCCACACATGCACACATGTCGAACACCAACGGACTGCACCGGGCCTGGTTCTCGAGGGAAGAACATCCTTGCGGCGATACACTGCTCCGCCACTGTTCAACAGTGTACTGGTCAATATGTCCGTTCGTGTAATATTCTTTCTGTCATGCTTCTGTGGAGCGCGAGTATGTATGTAAGGGAGATACACACTGAGTGGTCTGGAAATTTTGTATAGCAAGATTGTAGTACCACTATATCTAACGGTACAGGTTGAAGAGCCTTTGGAGGTCAAAATACGACGGAGCCTTGGTAAGCATGTTTACAATGAAGCGATCAGTAAAACAGGTAAAGACCATCCGCCTGCCTTTGAGCATGGTGCTGGCGCAATGCACCAGACGCCGAGCAAGGACAAACATCAGATCACCTTGCTCCAAACGTATGCGATACCCAAGTTGCGGCAAGTTCCAGTCACCACCTTCCCAGCCTTCCTCGTCAGGACTGACGCAGAATATGATGGCATAGAGGCGGGAGTCGTCGTTCCAGTCCAAGTGCCACAGCTCGCTGCTGCCCACTGCGCACGCAATTGTAAAGAAGGCACCGTTCATGTCCAACCACGGGTTCTCTTTCAGAGTATCCCCGAGCACGTTACGAACGTGCTCTGCCACCCTGGATACTTTGTCGGTGACGTGTGCGTACCAATCAACTGAAACTCACATTTGCTTCAAGATGAATTGCGGGCGGGCGTGATATTTCAAGATACTGTTGATCTTCGGGGCGAAGTGTGCCTTCAGGTATTCGAACATTTCCTGAATCACCTGCTGAACTTCTTCCGACTGAAGACGTGTCTCCCTGCTGACCATCGGAACCGGAGAGTAGTGTGCCCAAATACCAAGGTGCAAGGCCTCCACGATGTCGGACCTCGGATTCTCCACGTTGGCCTTGCTGTATCGCTTCGGCCCCAAGTCCTCGAGCCTCTGACGAATCTGCCCTAGCCGAACACAGTGATGAGGCGGGAACACGTCCTTCATAACCAGGACCAGGTGCTCGGGATGTTGAGGCGGTGGGCGGATGCAAGCGTAACGAGCCGTGAACGTGATGCAAATGTTGCGAGGAATATGTAGGAGCGGCAAGGGAAGGATGTCGCCCCAGAGGCGCTTGACGGTCTTCTGTACGGCGGCATTGTTCTTGTGGCCTTTGAAGAACGTGATCGGATACTCGCGGAGATAGATGTACTCTGTCGTACACCATGAGAAGTTTCGTTCTGTACTGGGCATGAACAAAAACACTCACGAGTCTTGTACTTGCTACGCTTGACCAGAGTACGATGTAACGCGCCTGAGTAGACGAAATGCTTGTTCTTCTTCGCCTGCCCTTCAACAGAGCGCCGGCCGTGATGCTTTCTCTTAGGTTTCTGCTCCACTGTGAAACAATCCAATTAAAGCAGAGTAATCGAACTACCGACAGAACGAACTGACACGAAGACTCCTGCGGCTTGATTTTTTTGCTAGATGACTTCTTGCGACGAACTCTCTTCCTGTCGCGGCCGGACTCTGAGTACGAATGTAAGGTGGAGCCGATGGCGTTAGCACCAGGAGTGGGATGACTGACTTGTAACGACCATTTAGACGAGGGTTGTGCACGTTAAACAGAAGGTCGATGTGGCGAGAGCAAAAAATGAGTAGCGCGCGTAGAGTCTCCGCCGGACATTGCACTTCGGCCTTCACATCCAGTGCACCAACACGAGCCGCTTTCGACAAACTCCATTACCCTATCTTCATCCTGATGCGAGCACAAGACGGCCTAGCCTATTCAACTCAAGCGCTGGATGGAGACTGCACTGTCATACGACGGCAACGGAGCCGCGAGCATCATCAACTTTGGGTACGATGAGTATTGCATTTCGGTAGGAGTTAATTCGATGTCTGACGCTGAGTAGATGAACTCGGAATGCTCCTGACACACCGCGCTTAAGATGTACACGATCCTGCGAATCGAAGGCCGCTGGAACTCACACTCCTTCGTCTGCGCTTCATCGGTAAGCGTCTGGTTTTTCTCCCATCGGTACTGGGCCAGCGGCTGAGACTCGGGCACATCTACAGGTGCCGCATGTGTAGGTCGCGCCGTTTGCGTCCTCGTCCTCGTCACCGTCGGGCCGGCAGCACCAGACCAGACCAGGCGGAAAGGCGACCTGGCGGGCGCGGACGTCGCGATCCCGTGCGATCGGCGGCAAAAGGGCACGGATATATATGACAAGGGCCCTACCGGCGGGTCCAAGCACTGGTCGGACAAGCAGAAGACGCGGCTGTTTCGGTGCGTGATACCCCGGGGATTCCGCCACGACCAAACCAACCTCAATCCGCGAGCAGGCCCATCTTCCGTGTTCGACGATAGCGACGAGCAGGACGACGATCACGGTCGACCGGACATGTTCGGCGACGACGCTTTGGCAGTCTCCATCACGGCGACGCCTTGCATCATCGGCATTCGCAAGACGAGCCGCTCACGAGCGTGGCGTCGGCTGGGATAGTGCGATGTATTCTACACACGGTCAGCGGCACATCCTTTTCCCCGTCTCGTCCGTCACGCTGAGATCATCTCGGTCCCAGATACCACGGGGATTCCGACGCGACCCCACTGACCTTGGTCTGCGAGCGGCCCCATCCATCCGTGAATGACGTCCACGACGAGCACGACAACGATCACGGTCGACCGGACATGTTCGGCAACGACGGTTCCGGCGGGCCCGATCACGGCGACGCTTCCGCCCAGGGCGCTCGTCATTGGCATCCAGACCGACGGATTGTTCACCATCGGCGAGCAGCGCGAGATCGCGGCGCACATCCCCGGCGCGGAGCTGGTGGTGATCCAGTCCCCCGACGGCCACGACGGGTTCTTGCTCGAGTTCGAGCAGATCAACGGGCATATTCTCAGATTCTTGAAGAGGGAGTTCCCGGGGCTATACGCATCTGGCGCGGAGACCGAAGAGCAGCCGGAAGAGGGCTTTGGCATAAAAAAGACGAGCGTGTTCGGGGAGGCTGAGGCAGATATCACGAGGTGGTGAAGGCACAGCGCGGTGCAATTTGCTTATCATTATTCGCTTTGGACAGTTCATGTTGCTATCCAAGGGACGTTCGTACGAGGCGTAGAAACTACATGGTGTACAAGGGATACATACACGTTCGGCGCAGTAAAACCTAAACAAAATGTAATTTTGATGCAAAACAGCTCGCTATGGCGGTGGTGCAGAGGCCAACCATAAATCCTAGCGTGATGAGAGATACATCTCGTTCGATGGCCGGGCGAGCCTTGGATAGTTGGTTGTCTGCTTCGGCATCGAGGTTGGCGAAGGCCTCCTTCGTGTCAAGCTTCCGCTTCGGCTCCTCAATCGGGGCGTGCGTCACCGGCTGGGCGCTCTTATAACATTCGTCGAACGCGGGTAAGCCGTCCATGCTCGCGATGTTATTATCGTTCCAGTACGCCTTCAGCCCGTCCACGCAGATCGCTTCGACCTCGCCATCTTGGAGGCGGATCGTCTTTGCGCCGTCCTTCTCCGCGACTCCACCGCCATCAAAAGCGAGGTCCTTATTCTCCCGCTTGTAGGCGAAGTTGAGCAGCGCTGTGCGATGTTTTTGGAAGGTGTAGATCGGTACCGCGTAACCACACGACTGTAACATCCACGAATGCGTTTTCAGCATCACAGAAAAAAGACAGGCGACTTGAAGCGAGATAAAACCCACCGTGCCGGCTTTGTGCACCCTGATCTCGACGACCGCCCTTGAGCCGGGTGTGCGGGAGGAGAGGTCGATCCGCCGGTTGTACTCGGACGTGCCGAATTCGTGGACGACGGTGGTCCCGAAGAGGCGCAGGATCATAGCCGCGCCCTCGAAGGCGCTGAACATGATCGTAATTCGGCCGTTCTCCCGGACGTGCGCAGCTGTCTCGCTTCCTAAGAGCGTGCAGCGTCGGCTCAGTACAACGTTTAACGGTGCGATATCAAGGGGAGTAGACCCACCTGACCCAGCCATATCCTCATACCACACTGACAAGGGGACACTGATCATGAATAGGCTCTGCCCCATGGATTGACGACGGCCCGTACCTTCATTGGGGCTTTCGACGTGGAAACAACTTTTCAAGCCCTTGGGCGAGACATTGACATGCCCATGGGGAGATAGTGGGGCCGTTGCGACCCAGAACAGCTCCTGTTTCCGGATCCACGATCATGGTGACCCGGTGATGAGGTCCAATAGTGAGAATCAACCGAAGGTCGCTAGATTGCCGTGAGGCTGCTGCAGTTGTCGGGGAAGACACTCACAGCGGACTGGGGCAGGAGGAGGACGACCATGAAACGTCACGTGCATGGTGCCCACCAATTTCACTGTGTTAGCCCCGGGTCAGTGGTCTCTGCGACTCGATGGTGATATCCATGTACCATCGCGACCTAGACATGCACGAGTACTACTCTGCCATTCTTCTACGCGATGCAAGAGGTTTCATCTACATTGCTTTGGCTATATGCGATGTCTACGACCGCATCTGTTCACAAGCGGCGGCACCGTGGGTGGACTGATGCATCGCCCTTCAAGCTGAAGTACTTCTGCTACGAATGTCTATGACCGCACCCTTTACGCCCATGCTGCATGCCATTGGTACGACTATCTAGGCAATACGTTGCACGGCGTGTAATCTGCGAGTCTGTTTCGATCACTTCCGCTTTGGTTTCAGCTCGTCTCGGTCGTTCCTGCCGTCACGTGTGGCGGAAGCGAGCGAGATACAGTAGCGAACGACATGGTTTAATGGTGTTTTGCATACAGATCAATCCGCCGAACCTGTGTCATACTGCTCTGGGGGACTTGATGTGATAAGTTCATGCCCATCTCGTTGCATGATTGCTTCCCTCAACTGCCCCGCTAACTCTGGACATTCCGGTCCCTTCTTCATAGGAGACAGCGCCGCCGTCGCCGGGTCGCCTACCGCAAGTCGTTCCCCCCCCTAGACGGTCCGTTGAGAACGATCGGCGGATGCGGCATTTCGCCGACATCCGCGCTGGTCTGCTATATATCTCTGTCCATCGCGACTGAACCCTCATTTCGCGACTCTTGTTCATCCTCACCCGTCAGTTCACCCACAGCACATTCTGCCTTCCAATGTCTGGTTCAATGTCCTCTTGGCTTACCGCGTCCCTGCCGTTGCGAGTGTCGCGTCTCGTCAACGTCTACTCGTGGCGATTACAGTCGCCACCCTACAGACGATGGCTTCGACGCCGGGCGCTGGTTTCAATTCTACTCATCGGCGCACTCTATACCTGGATGGCCCCCTTCAACCATACCACCTCTCAACCTCCAGTCCACCCACTTGTCGGGTTGGTTCAAACCGCGACCGCGACTTTATCGACGCATGGGTCGGTGGAGACTGGTGTTCCGTTTGTCGCGAGGCCAAAAGTCGAGGCCCGCCCAGGTACGATCCGCCAGCAATCGATCTCTGACATGAACATCGACATTGATACCCATATACGCAGCGGCCGACAACCACCAGTATCGCACTGACGGGCTCCTCGTGGCGAACCCTAACGGTACCCATCCGATCCACGAGCTCATTGAGAAAGCGGAACACAAATGGGACACGATGTTGAAGCGCCAGAGCCGTTCTCTCCAAGAGGCGGTGTTGGAGTATAAACGGCGCTACGGGCGTCTCCCTCCGAAGGGTTTTGACCACTGGTCCGTCCTCATCCGGACCGAGTATAGGGAGCCGCAGAGCTAACGGGATATTTGTCGTAGGTGGGATTACGTCCAGGCCAACAAAGTCATGCTCCCCGACGAGTACGACCAGATAGACCACGACGTCGCGCACTTCTGGGCGATCTCTCCCAAGCAGCTCCGTGCCGCGCAGGCCGCGCACGAGGCTCACAAGGAGACGTACACGATCGGCAAGAACAGGCACGGGTACATCGACATCCTCAAAATGAGCTTCCACGAGAACACGAATCACGATCTGTACCTCGATGGCGCGTTCCAGATGATGGAGGTCCTTGAACCCATCGAGGAGTTCATCCCGCCTTTCCGCGCCGTCTTCAGTCCGCACGATGGCCCGAATTTGTTGTCGAGCTGGCAGATGAAGGAGGAGGCTCGCAAGGCCGTCGCTCAAGGCAAATGTGCGTGTTGTCTTTTACTTTCGATCTATCTCACAGACGTCGCGGCTGACGAGGTGTTCGAAAGACTTGGACCTTAACCATCTCCCTTCCTTGGAGAACGTCGGCTGGTTCACGGCGTGTCCGCCTACCTCACCGGCGCGCAAGGGCCCGCCCCGGACCGGGAATCAATCACGGCTCCCCCCGAACCTCGCCATCCCGAACCGCAACCGGACGTTCATTCATAGCCACATCAAGGCCATGGATCCCTGCCTTCACCCCTCCATTGTCGACACCCACGGCGAGTTCCTGCCTCACCCCATCGGCCCCCCTCTGCCGGACATCGTCTTCGCGCCCCAGTTCAGCTACAGCGCGTCCTTGCTCCACGGCGACATTCGCCCCGCGACACCGTTCAACTATATTGAGGACCTCGGCGAGAACGACCTGACGTGGGACCAGAAGGAGGCGACGGAGGAAGGGCGCCAGGGTCGACTTCTCTGGCACGGGAGCAACACCGGCGTGTACTGCTCAGATGAGGAGCGATGCTACCAGTCCCAGAGACAGCGCCTCGTCGCCCTCAGCGAGAACCGGACCGGCACCGTCGCACTCCTGCGCGAGCCGCCAGCGACGTCCCGCACCAGCCGACTCTGGAAGGAGACCCGCAGGATCGCCACCGATGACCACGCGCACTGGAACGTTACACAGGTCCCGCGGTCGACCATCGACGACTCTATGATGGATGTGCATTTCTCCGGCAGCCCGATGCAGTGCGATAAGGAGATGTGCGATGAGCTTGACCAGAAGTTCGACTGGCGCGGCAGCATGAGCTTGAAGGAGGCGAGCCGGTACAAATACGTCATGGACGTGAGTATGCCTTCATCCTATACCATCCGCGACGGCGGCTGACCATCGTCATCCCTTCAGGTCGACGGCAATGGCTGGTCGTCGAGGTTCAAGCGACTGATCACTAGCAACGCGATGGTTTTGAAGTCGTCCGTCTACCCCGAGTGGTTCACCGAGCGCATCTTGCCCTGGGTACATTACGTTCCGGTCCAAAACGACTACTCCGGCTTGCTCGATATCATGGCCTTCTTCCGTGGCGGCGTGAACGGCGACGCTGGCCACGATGAGCTCGCGCGCAAGATCGCCGATGCCGGCAAAGTCTGGAGCCAAACCATGTGGAGACGGGAGGACGTGACGGCGTACATGTTCAGGCAAGTGGTCATCTTTACTGCGATGCGACATTCTGTACTGACATTCTTTCCCTCAGGTTGATGCTCGAATATGCGCGACTGATGAGCAACAATCGCGCTGAGATGTCTTATGGGGCCTTGGTTTGATACGATCTTGCACATAACAAAATGTATATTTCACTGGACTTTGTTGTATAGAATATTGGTCGGGCTGAACACTCAACCCCCTAAGGATGTGCGCTCGGCATGCCTTGCCTTCACCGCATCCAAATGTTCGAAATTAGCAAACACATCCGAATATCTATCAAGCACGCTGTCGTTTTAATGGCGTTCGCGAACCTCGTGAGATGCGGGTTCACGCCGCACTTTCTCCCCCAGTCCGGATCGACCTAGACCGACCGCATCCTCTTCGCGCGGGTTTCGATGCGGAGTTCCTCCGCGGGCAGCTTCAAATCCCGGTGCTCCTGGAGATGTCTAATGACAAAGTGCACCACTCTTCCGGCAAGCAAGGACGTCGGCCAGCAGTGTATCCGCATCGTGTGTCGAAGTCCTTCTTGATGGTACGACAAGACCTCTTGCCCAAGTTTCGTGATTGCCGCGTGGAATCTCTTGAAGTCCGTGTATGTTCGGGAGTCCATCCTAAGCGCCGCGTATGATATCGAACGAGAAAACAACCATCAGCTTCACGTAGAATAGTAGAACGGTCATGATCTCGCTCGTGTCGAACGGATCAATGGCAGGTCTGGATGCCAAATAACATTCTGCTATTCCCGGTGCATAGGGGTGGTCGCACTAAAGATGAGCACCGGCGGCACCTAGGGGTCGACATTGTGACTCGGTATGTACATGTAAGGTAGGTAGGTAGGTAGATTGCCGACGAGGTCCCGGTAGCGGAACAGCCGGTTGCTGCGCTGCACATACGCCACTCGTGCAGTCGACAGCGTAAGAATATGCATGTCTCATTCCGTCACCGCCGGCACGTGACTCCGTTAATTGTACTTGTCAATGTTTGCGAACTCATTCTTGTTCTCTGGTGCTTCGCCCTTCTTCTCTTTTTGTCTTGGCTTTCTGTATATATGCGTGGATGCTATGTTTGATGCTGGATACCTCCCCCACTGAACTCACCTCTTCCTTGTCTCGAGCTTTCCTCAGCGACGTGGTGACATCGCTTCAAGTGATCTCTGAGACCTTTGATTTCTAAGACGTGGTGACGTCTCGTTGGTATCATCGCGTGGCATCTGCGCACCCCTCTTGAGTTGTCGTTGATCGACTGGCCCCTTCACCCGCATCTGGCTTTCTCAGACGCAGTCGCGTCTCATTACGCTCTTCAGTGGTGAGTAGGTTGACATGACAGTCCCTCTACACTACTTGCTCACAGACTCCTCGGACCCTATTCACTTCTAGCCGTCGTTGACCGACCGGCCTCGAGTAGCTCTTCGTCCTCCAGCGACGTTTGGCCTTCTGATATGGGCGGTTATTCTCAGTGACGTGGTGACGTCCCGTTGTTCTTGTACTGCCCCAGCTCTTCGTCAACGGCCTATTTTTCACCTGCGATCACTGTTGTCGGCATGGTGACATCTCTTGAGTGATTACAAGGCGTTGTAACGTCTCGCTGGTATTTCCTCATAGGATCGATTCCTTTTTGTACCGTGTTGTGGTATGTCTCCGTTGATTTCCCCCTGTTCATTCCGGCTGACGAAAATGTGTTGTCTCAACACTGGTGACCAAGATATCTTACACAACCTGGGAGTTCCCACTGGGTACATATGTATACAAGGTGGGCTCTGCCAGAGGTGGTGCTTAATACTTCACACCGTAATATATGGAGCATCTGTGATATATGTCAGTGACATGCTTTATACATACACCATACCAGTGCTCCTGGGTGGCATCTGTTCACATCTATAATGAAGGGTATTCCAATACTGGTATTTCACCGTGTATCATCCACCTTTTGCAGTATACTGCACTAATGGCATGTAATATGTTTGCTTCCCCAATTTCCCCGTAATTGAATACCAATCTCTATACAGGACATCAATTACGTCCAACACATGCACAGTGTGATACATCTAGGATGTATAAATTAGCTGAGCTATATTTGATGTAGGGATGTAGTACCACATCATGTTATATTACTACTCGTGATGTCCAAGTACTATCATGACATGCATGCTCAATCACAAATATGCATTAATAATGGGTCATGTCATACAGTATAGTACCATAGCCACTGTGTCACTTGCATTACATGGGACAACTATGTAGTCTATAGCATATATACCCTTATAGTATGTGTGCTGTGTGATAAGGTGGTATCTGTAGCTATATAGTCTGGCCAACACACAGTGCTTGTCACCTCCCATAGAAGGCAGATTATACATGTATTTGTATGACATGATCTGGTGAAATAAGGCTATACAGTGGTACAAATAGAAAAGGTCACCTCAACCATACATATAAACCTGATCTCCTCAGCCTGGTTCTATGTGAGCATATACTTACCACCTCAAATCAGTGATGAGTAATACTACCGCTCAGCCATGAGGCAGTGGCATACTAGTACACTGTCTACTCAAACCTACAGTCCAGACACCATGTAGTGATGCCCAATCATAAACCACATTTGTACACAGCAGGACACAGCCTGTTATTTATGTACTGCATGTGTGGGTAATGCTGCAGATGTAGCATATCTGTACCACACAAATATGTTATTTGACCATCCATGCAATACTACAGCTCAACCATAAGACAATTGTACATCACTATGGCCATACACGGCACCAGACAAGGCATGGTAACACACCAGATATTATTCCCACACATTCAACTATGATCTGACTGTCATAGATGAGGTTCTCAGATGGATTGTGATATATGACATGTATACCATCACTAAAATATCATTCCTCACGAGATGATATAATAAACGGTTTCAGTCGGAATTCATGTCTCATCGCTGACGGCTCTTAATTCACCGATATGATGCGCCCCTTCCGTTTTCAGCCAGCACACTCGGTCCTCGAACACGCCATGTCCCTTATCGTGCCTGAGCTTGCGTTCGCGTCTCTGCTCCTGACCTCGGTGGATGACCTTGTCCCGCCGGCCCGCCTCATCCGCGCAACAGCGAGCCTTTCATCATGTGCTTCCGACCACATATACATCGAGTGTTGAATCCGACGACGGGAGTATAAAGCACCGTGAGGTTCCCTCGATGCAGGTCGAAGATGGTCGCCCTCGCCCTCCTGGTGCTCCTGACGGCCGACCTCGTCCTAGCGGGGATCCGCATCGCACCTCCGCCCACTGGCGGGGAGGCTGTGCACATGGCTTGCCTTTTACGGAAAGGATGCCGCCGCATCCCGCCCTGCCTTTCGCCGAACTCAGCTGATTTGTATTCGTCCGTAATGGACAGGTACACGGCCAGTACGCAACATAAAATTGAATTGAAGCTGTATAGGTAAGATACTCTCCATCCGCAGCCTGTGATCTACGCATCCCTCCTTCCGTATAATGGCGTTCCGGCGCTTCGAACATCAATATGTGCTGCCGTATCTACTCATGAGACTGGCCACGAGCCATGCTCGTCATGTCGTCCCTGTTGAATCTTCCGAGGGCATCCAGGAGTTCTGATCGATATGGGCCAGAAGAGGCTTCAGTGGTGGAGAGTTCCTTGTGGGGATGAGAGTCGATTCGGTACCGCGGTCGAATAATGTCGGTCCTCAATTCAATCGGACGATCGCAGCCATGAATCCGATAGCTGAGCGCGACAGTCAGTAGTAAGACAGCGAGAGATACGCGACAAACTCACTACAGACCACATGCATTACAGACTGTCCTTCGTCTCGCATCCCTTCGCCATACCGTCGTTATCGAGGTATCACAGTTCTCACATCGCAGTACTAAACACGAGTCAGGTTACAACATTATCTGAGGTAGAGGGGTGCTTACAGAGCATCTGATGACCGAATGAAATGCGGACATGCTTGCCGTCTCGCGGACGGGCTTTGCCATTCTGCAAGAAGTTTAGTAGCTGAAGATGGGGTGTTTCGGGACGACTCACCCGCTGGAAGTACAGACCGCACGCGTTACATGTTCGCTTGCCATCCTGACCACGGCGCCAGTTCGCACTGTGTGTGATACCGCAGTTAGAACACTGAAACTTGACCCGGACACCGTTAGAGTAGGGGGATTCGTTTGTTGGAGTCGGTGTCCCAGCCTTTCCACTGCAACAGGAAAGGGAGAGTAATTGCTAAGTGAGAGGAAGGGACAGTGAAGCTCAAAAGTACCTGTCCTCATTGGATTCATCGTCCAAGATGTCGCCATTGGAGAAAGCTGTTGCGTTGCCATTACGGCTTTGTGCCGGGTCGTCATCGCTTTCGAACTGCGTGGATGAGACGTCAATACTCGATGGCATGCGCACAGGACTCGTTGAAAGCTCTCGCATACCGCTGACGACAATCCACTTCATTGCTCCGTCGAGTTCGAGGCAGGTACCGACTTCATGCCGCGACGACGTCCAGTAGATTTTACGGGCTGTGATGTCACTGCAGTAGGTCTTGTTAAGGTTGAAAGGTCGCTGTCACTTGGTGAAAAGTACGAGAACCCGAGCGAGGAAGACTGGATGTTCAAGGAAAAGGATTCGTGCCCATGCATGGTGTCCTCAGCATAAGCACCATTCGAAAGCAAGAGGAGATAGTGCCGCGATCGTGTTGAGGACGTCGAGGTTGAACTTGGTGGATAGTTCTGGGCGGCGAAATTTAGGGAGCTGAGATGGTGTTCGAAGGGTGCCGCTTACGGTTGACTTTGTTTTCTATACGTGTACATTGCTCGTGTTGGGTGGGTGGAAGCCGGAGATCGGAGCGCCTCCACGCTTCTGGTTGGCCGAACATGTGGCGCGACAGACCTACAATCACGGTAATCTTTTTTCAGTCGCTCAATCAAGAAGGCAGAGAATAGCAGCACGGATATATTGACGAGACAAACTTCAAAGTGCGCAGGTATAATAAATACGAAGAATCCTAGGCGACACAGGTGCTACACGCAGTCTGTACGGCGACGAGTGCCATGAGGTCGAAATTATCAAGCGGCGGTCTTGCGTGAGCGCCTGGAACGTGTCGTTAGTTTTTGCAAATCGATCCGAAAAGAGGCTTACTTCGCAGGCTTCGGCATTGCAGTGGGCGATTCGATCGCGCGCTTGGTCCCCGCCGTTTCGGTTAGCACGGAGTTGCCGGACATGCGATTCTCAGCAGCACGACGTAACGCCCAGCTGACATCAGCAACTGTGGATGCAAAATCCTTTGCACGCTTCGCGCCGCAGGCCGTCTGAGCAAACCACGCGAGCGAAACAACGAGCATCGAAACACCATTCTTGCCAGACTTCAGAGTAGACCAGTCAGCAAGGTCACCCTCGCATTTCGGCGGCCAAACGAGTCCGCGCCATGCTGGCTGGTTCTCACACCACCATTGTCGCCAAGCACCGAGTGAGTCAGCTGAGATCTTCGGCACCGCAGCGTAGTTGCGAGTTTTGTTCCACTTGGAAACAAAATCGGGGCGGCTGCCAGTTCTCAAGCGCTGTGACTGACGCGCTTATCGTTCAGCCTGTTGTAACAAAGCAAAAATGTAAGCAACTCACATCGTCGACATAACCCCTGGACGTTTGGAAGAGAATAAAGTTCGCGATCATATCTTCGAACCCCTTGCAGCTACTCTCACTGCAGACGGTGTCGAGATACTTGACGGCGTCAACGAACCAGTCCGGAAATACACCTTGAGACTCTATGACACGAGAAATGATGTCCGTTGGAGTCATCGCCAAAGAGAATGTCGGATGACCGCCTCTTCCGTTAGCACGGCGGGTGGGGCGAATCGGCGAGTGGGAAGCCTCGGCAGCTTTGGCAGATGGGCGTCTAGAGCGTTTGGTAGTGCGAGAGGAAAGCGCCTGGTTGGCCTCACGCGCGTCCTCTTCTTCCTCCTGCTGTGCAATAGTAAAGGCTTGAGCAGGTTGTACTGAAGGGGAAGGAGAGAGCACGGAGCTCTGCGGGTGAGCGCCGCCACAGTTTGACGGGGCTGCAGACGATAAAGGAGACTGATCAGCTTCGCGTGTGGCCAAGACGTTGTCCTCTCTAACGTCTTCGGCTGCATCCTTGGACGGAGTCCCCGATGGGAGAGGAGGCGTGGGAGGCGATGTGGAGGAGGACGGCGAGCGGCTAGCCTTAGAATGCGCAGGCTGCGTGAGACATTTGTCCTGGTCAGCTTCGGAATCGAAGCACGAATCATCCATGAGATCTCCGTTGCTTTCGTCATCCTCCAAAGGAGCTGGCGCATCGGGGAAGCTATCAGTGGGGCTGGGAGCACGGCTTGGCTTTCCCTGGCGAGATTTGAGATAACGTTTTGCAGCGTCGGAGAATTCTGCACCGGTCGCGGCGGATATAGAATTGTTAGGGCGGGCGCGCATGACCGAGGCTAGTTGCGACTGAGCAGGCTGTATAGCCTTGGATCGACGAACGGCGTCATGATCCACCGCGATCTCGCGCGGAGCACTCGGTTGCTGTTCCTCTGCAGAAACCGGGCGTTTCGATAGGCGATGAACTGTGACATCGGGCGCGTGACCGGCATGGATACCAGATCCACGATCAGCCGCAGAAGAGCGATCGATAGGAGCGGCACCGTTGATGGAAGACTCCGAAGGGTCAATAGCAGAGTTATCGCCGGTGAGAGCTTTGGTGGCTTCTGCAGTGCTACCGGTGGGAGCCTCAGAAGGACGCAGGTTGACAGAAGATTCGGATGGTGGCAAGACGACCAGGACGTCGTCTATGCTATGCATTAGCTCATGAACCGTACGATATCATAAGCACACTTACCATCATCGGACTCTTCGGATTCGGGAGGCAGCTTTTCCTTAGCGCTCGAGGCACTGCCCGCCGAGGTTCCATCAGGGATCAAAGGTTTATCGTCATCGTCGTCTAGATCGCACGATTAGGGGTAAAGTCATCGCATAGGAACGTTGTACCCACCAGGATCCATAATCTCCAGGGTCTTGATGAATGCTTCCGCCAGAGCCGCACACTCCTGTTTTGCTATTCGTGGCTTGAGTAAAATGGTCGCGTGCGGACAATAACACGAAGACGTACTGAACACATTGTTCGCCCAGTCTTCGAAGTGATCGATAACATCTTGCTGGAAGCGAGGATGGAACGCGCTAAAATGAGCTCCTTGCAATGTCCGATCGACCGATATGCTGTGAGCATGTTATGATATACTCATGCTCGATGAATTCGTGCTCCTCACAATGAAGTCTTGATTTTTCCATCGTCTGCGTAGTCGGGACCGGCGAGGAGAACACCTCCGACGAGGTTGGTATGCTCACGGAGTCCGACGAGGAAGTTCTGAACAGTGTGAGCCACATTCGGCATGTTCCTATTGACCAGTTCAGTTCTGGTTCTTTTCTTGACAAGCGCATCACGAATCACATTACCTCATGAAGCGATGCGCGCGCGCATCATCTTCCTCGTCCGAAAACGAGTCTGTATCCTTCGCTTCATCCTCGCGGTATGCCTCCACTTGCTCCTTCACGGCATCCGACTCCTTCTCCAACCTATTAGCCAGCCACTCTGCCCTGAATGCTACCAGCACGGGCGGATCTTCGCCCTTCTGCTGGCAAAGTAACTTGCGGTTCGCCCAATCGACCTGACAACCGCGTTGATAAGCCATGCAGGAAAAACAAAATCATGGCTTACGTCGAACTTCGGTTTCAATCTCTTCCAGTGCAAGGTAGAGTACGCTTGCCATGATGTTTGCTTCTTCTTACGCTTGCCGGCGAGCACGAGCTCGAGGAGCTTGGACTTGCCAAAACCCGACGGAGTGGATCGGGCATGGTTTGGAAACCAATTCTTGACTTGCTGCAAGCGAAACACGTCAGTTTGTCTCTAGCTAAGCGTACAAGTCAATGACTTACCTTGGTAACAGCCATACGGCGCTCGTTCACTTCGGGCAAGACCATCGCTTTCGCAATGTCGCCGTTGACAGAGCGCAGCTCAGCATCGCTTGGATTAACCGGGAACTCCTTGAGAAATCCGGCGATGGCGACAGGCCAGAACAAGTGCAAGGTGTGTTGCTTGCGGTGATCGCGATACTTCGGCAGATGGAGTTGAAGCCAGTGAGTCTGAAGCTTAGACATTTTACCGCGCGGCATGTTGGGTAAGATCGATAGCAGCAGATACTAGTGAGGAGTGTCCGAACGCGTGTACGTTTGGTCGAAGTTCTCTCGGATTGGCCTTGTCTTATATATCGGTACTGGGCCTGTCATACAGCCCGTCGGATCGGGTCTCTGTCATCAAATCGTCTCGAGATGGATTGCCAACGACCCCTGATACTCCCCGTCGCCAGCTTTCTGACCTTCATCTGGTTTCACCCTGCACTGTGGCTGCTGCGCTGAATTTTTCTGCAGACAGCATTCCGGTTTTTGCAAAAGAAACATCGAACAACAGACTTTACGATCTCGGTGGCATCTCAGTCGGCCTCACGTTCCTCGCTTCCGTGCACTTCACTCTGCGTGAAGCCTTCTTTACGCGGTGCTAGAATTCGGGGCAAACGTGGTCATGGGCGCGATCAAGGCGTACCGCGCTACGATTTGATTATGAGAAGGTAGGCATTTCTCATTTCATTCGACCGTTAGCAGGGTTACCACCTGGACACTCTCGCGATACTCGCAACTGCTCATGCGTGGACGTTCTGATGCCCGATATTTTCAAAGCAGTTGTCGAATGGGATGCTCTACGGTTCCGCTGATTTGTTGACCCGGTACGCATGATCTCGCGCAGCTTTTGATCTCATGGTTTTTGCCGATATGCCTTTTTTTTGCCTAGCCCTCGGAGCTCACCGCAGGTCATCAAATTTGGTCGTTGGTGTGGCCAAGACGTCTTGAAAAGCACGAGTAGGAGACAGTGATTCGTTCTACAGTGACCATTTGCTCGTGGTATGTTGATCTTCCGTACGAACTGTACTTTGTCCATAGAATCACGAATGATTCACTGAATTCATCTCACTTCTTACTTCGAAGGCATCTCTGTCCGTTGGACGTTCGTTCTTGGCGGTTTGAAACAAAATGTATTATGCAACTTTCGCGAACGCGATCGTCGGCTCAAATGGGACACTCTGATGGAACGCGAAAAGGACCAGCCGGCTTAATCGCATTCAGTTTTAGCACGGTCGCCAACTCCACATGATCGCATGCTCACAAATTCTTATTGGTTGGTCTGCGGTGAGCTCTGAACATGAAATCTATGCAAAATCCACTGAATCAATTGCTTCTACAATCTCGACGGCGTCTTCAACTGTTAGCCACCATCCCTTGGCCCTCCGCAGCTTCGATGCGCATAGCGGTAACCCAAAATATTCTCCTTCTTCAGTGCTCGGATTTTGGCGGCAGTTAGTACAGATACGGCCGTCGCTGCGAACAAGAAGCTGCCGTGGAAGGACGCGAACAGCAGGAAGGTGTTTTTTCCCAATTGCGTGTTTGACTGTCAGGACGATTTCTGCCTCGACATTCGCCCGATTATCGCGCGATCCTGGTTCCGCTTTGTGGTAAGCTATGTACTCGGTACTTGTGAAATATCGACTGAATTGACTCTCTCATGATCTCGATGGTGTCTCAGTCCGCTACCCCCGCCTCCGTGACCCTGTGAACCTTCGATGTACCTGGTGCTTCCCTACACGATATTCCTTACGCCCTGCCCGGGGCAAGGCGCAAGCCAGTACAAACATGGTCAAGCAATCAGGACCCCTTGACAGGATGCGGATAGGAGGAAGGCCGTTTTTCTCGAAACGTGCTCGAATTGTTATCGCGGTTGTTACCTTCGGTCAGGATTCCTCACTCGAATGCAAATAGGAAGAACACGGGTTTCTCTCCCTTCTGATCATGTTTGACTGTCAGTACGGTTGCTTCCGTTCTACACTGTTGCGATGCTCGCACAACCCTGATCTTCTGTTTGCGGCAAGGTGTGCACACGGCAGTTTCGACTGAATTGACTGCTCATTTTATCTCGATGGCGCCTAAGCGTTGCTCCGCCTCCTGCTCTGCGTAGCTTGACGGCCTTGGCGCTTTTCTGCGTCGTTTCTATTGTACAGCCCTCGGAGTGAGCCCGGAGTAAGTCAGCACGGACACGGTTGTCCGTGTGGTCAGGGCGGCTGAATAGATGCGAGGAGAAGGGCAAGTTCTCTATCATGTCCATTGTAAGCATTGTTGTTGCATCAGCATGCTTACAATGCGCACGGTAATTATGTTGTCCGGTGAGCGCTGCATGGTGTTCCATTTGGGGTTAACACCTTCTATATCCAGGGAACATACCCTTCGTGCCGCATGTGCCATGTCAGGGCGATGTGCCCACGACACATCTAGTCCATGATTCTTGTACTGATTGTGAGTCATGGCCGAGTCTTTACTTAGAGCAAGCTGGTGCCCACACTTGTGCTCGTTCGCGAAGCTTCGCCTCAATTCGGTCCCGAAGAACCCGTTGCTTACCGCAGGGCAGGTTACCTACTTCGAACAACGAGGCGAGTATGTCCGCTCTCTATCTCCACACCTTGAACTTCCTTTACGTCGCACAAGTACGTGAACAGTCTCTCCGGATATAAAAGATGCTGACTCCTACCTCTATCGCCATCATTCCTGCCGCCGTACACTACTTCCGCGGTTAGTACCCCGGAAGATTACATATGCACGCATCTCACAGGCTGCGGTAGCTTAGATGGAGACAGGTAGACATAGTCCAGCTCCGCAGATTCCGCAAATCGCTATGGTGAGCTCGTCCCTGTATTTTCGGCTCCTTCACTGAAGTCTTGGTTTCAAGCAACCACCCTATTTCGTCACAAGGTCTATTCTCGTCGAGCAGTATCTATGTATTCAGCGCTACCTTCTTAGCACCGGTACGTCAAGTTGCGGATCCGTATCAGAGTCTCTCTGATGCACAGTATAGCGCCGTCAGTGCCGTCGTCTCCCTCCGACATTGAGTGGAATAACGAGACTTCCGTTCTCGTTCATGATCTCCTGAAGACGATGGGAATTATGTACGACCACTGTTCATCATGCGTCGTCGCTCTGGGAGAGCGCAGCACGCAGAAGCCGTCACCGCGTGCTTCGCCTACACCTGATGCCACGGTCTCCGGTGATGATTCGAGCGCGAGCGAATCTGATGTCAACGAGAGCACCGCGGAGAGGAGTGGTTAGCGATTAATGTGTTGGAAATTGTGGTTGGTAGGACGTGCCGTCGTGTAGCTGCTGTACTGTCACATCAATTGTTATGTGTGCTGTGTTTACCAGCTTTCTCCCTCATTGAATTGGTACTGCACAACGAGCTGAAAGTGTCCGTGAGCTGCTGCTTGTATCGCAGATATATGGTCCTCCCGCCAACCGAGTCGCTGGTATTGTCGTCTCCAAATGTAGTCGCCGCACTGGATATACAGAGTGCGTGCAGGTGTCAACAAAAATACACGATTAATCTCATGAATATACGATCGGTATGTACACCATAATCATGTACATTCATATACTAGAATTCAATCGCTGAGTTGTGACGCAGGCAAACAACATTGAAGTAAAGCGGCTGTATCCTCATGTGAGAGTACATCAATATGCACAGCTACCTGAACAATGTGCCTGAGTTTTATAGCGCATAGCATGGTGTTCGATTCGCGGATGTCTGCTCCTGCACAACTGTATCAATTAAGTTGCGAAAGATAGCAACCTACCAAAGATATTCTATTCCTGCTCCAGTATCTTGTTAATTAACACATCTGATAGTTTTTTTATACATGTAACAACTTGCGGAGTTATGCGACAGTAGAAGAATTTACTTCCGTCCTTGCATCACCAGATTCGCCATCCACAATCCATGGCTCGATGGGATTGTGCACCCGATGTTTCATTGATCAATGTCAGCTCGTTCTCCGATGCAAATTAATTGATTGACATGCAAATTTTGAGGCCGAGCAGGATACATAAGTAATCTTACACATGCATGTTCACTAAGTACAGCTGATCCTCGCTCGGATGCACTCGCGAAGCTGATTGCACGTTGCAAGAGTGGAACCCGGATGATTGGTAGAAAGATCATGTCAAGAGAGTGACACTCTTGATTGACCTTTTTCTTACTGAGAGTATGAATATCATCGGAGCGGGCGGGCAGCTTTCAATCGAGACGAAGTGTTGACATATTCGCAGTCACGGAAATGTATTACACTAAGTTCTAGCGGACAGAAAAGAGTATAGCTCACTATACAATATGCTTCGACGTGCGATGAGGCTTCATGCCTGCACTATGTCCGTATAGCGAAACGGCGGACGGCGGGTCGAAGGTAGGTGTCGGCGTGGCGGTGCTGATGCGCCCGGACGTCATGATAGATCGCGACATCGCCGACAGTCGTGCTAACTTGCAATCCTCTCCACAACGCCTGCTGTCATGTAATCTATGTTTAATGCTAGGTCAACACGATGTCTGAGTGCCCATAGTACTCCCTGAATATCGATGTGGTGTGCTCTGATTGTCTGATTGCTCGGGTCTGGGCTGAACATCGCACTACACGCTGCACCGCCTATCGACCATCAACATTGACATGCTCCATGGAGTATACCACAGTGTTACTGGATCACGCGGCGGAACTCGAGAGAAGGATGCGTGGACTGGGACATAATGAGATCCCTACGACGCCAATGAAGGGAGGCACTATGCAACATAGTACGTACGATTGTGAATCTTGACATGAGACATTACAATTCCAAACAGCTGCTCCGACATACTTGAAGCTGTTCCGACGTACTTCGAGCAAGAGTTGCATACATGATAGGCTGGTAGGGTTAGTGGCGCCGGGTTGGGTTGCGCCGCAGTGCCTCAGGTCCGCAGCGTCTCCTTTTCGCCTGCGACAACACCACCATGTCCATGAGACGCTTCGCTTCGCGCCCTCGCGGGCGTCCCAAAATTCAGTGGCTGCAATCTTCGAGGGACACGAAAGCTCACGCCGCCAGCATCTCGGAGCACGAGAACATATACCTGAATGTCGATGGTCGACGCGGTCAGTCGTCGCAGAACCGCAAGCGCGCACAACGCTCCCCGAGTCGTGTTCACAACGACAATCCCGGGCCGTGTATCTCAAACCAGCCAGAGCCTTCGGCCAGTGCAGAGGACATGCTCGGCAACGAGTCCGTCAAGCGCACTAAAGAGAACCGCAAGAGCAAAACGATCGCGGCAAGTTTCTTTCTTTACACACCACTAATACCCTTGGTGGTACTCATACTCGATAAATACTAGTCGCGAATGAGAACCTGGCTTGAACATCGATCGGACTTTCTTGACGCAATTCTCCTTCACGAAGCGCCTCGCGGCTCCCTCGACAACGAGCCTTGCGCCAGATGCACGTCTTATAACGTCTTGTCCTCGATCCATGGCCCCATCGATATTGGGCGCTTTTCCTGTGGTGAATGCCATCCCCATATATTACTGTGCGGTCCCTGTGTGGTGGAGAAGCATCAGAAACATCCGCTACATGCCATTAATGTCTGTCTTCCGCGTGTTTCCATTGTATTTGTCCTGAATGTTTTGCAGGAGTGGCTCGATGGATGCTATCATAGACGCACCCTATCAGAGCTTGGTCTTCGCGTGCAGCTTGGGCACCTCGACGGGTCACCGTGCCACAACTCCGTGCCGGGACCCAACGACTTTCTCGTGTTTGATTCTGAGGGATATCAACATGTCAACGTTCGATTTTGTGAATGCAGCGGCCGCTTGCGATGGCAACAGCTGATTGATATCGGGTGGTACCCCGCCTCCGTCGACCGTCCCAAGACCGCATTCACGTTCAGGTTTTTGGACGCATTCCACAGGATCACCTTGCAAGGAAAAATTTCGTTACACGACTACTATCTTAGTGTTGTGAACAAGACAAATTGCGCGGGGACTGATCGACCTGTAGTAAGCAATCTCTCGAAAACAGTCAATGCCCTACTGATGTGCTTGTAAAGTATCGATACAAGGAGGCGACACTCTGCACGAGGCAATGGGAGAATCTGCTCATGCTGAAGCGCGCAGGTCGTGCCCACGATCCATCGGGGATAGACGCAACCGCTCTAGGAGAGCTCGCCGTTCTCTGCCCCGCTTGCCCACAGGATGGCTGGAACCTACCGGATGGATGGCAAGACGTTCCGGAGGATAAAAAGTGAGTTGAACCATTTTAGGTTGTATTCCCCGGCCGGCACTCATTCAATTTCATAGATGGCTCTATACAGTATTTGTGGCGCTGGATGCGTGTTTCAGATTGAAGATGAAGGATAGGAAAATTGATGATCCAGAGCTTGGATCAGGGTGGGCGTACATGGTCGCAGAGCGCCCGTATCAGGATCACCTCAAGAAGCACCCCCAAAAGAAGGAGGTACGATGATCGCCCTCGATCATGTATTTGCTCTGAGAACCTGTGCAGAATGTACCGTCGTGCGACTCGTCGTTCCATGCGATAAGCAATGCGGACTCCAAAGTCAATTCCAAGGTAGCCGTCACCGGTGTCGGAGCCGCAAAGTGCGCGCGGCATGCCTTTGTACGGCCTCATGCTGCCGCAGACTTGCAGAAAGGCGAAAGGTTGGTTACCGGTATTCGCTCCCTCACATGCTGACCCACGGTCCCCAGGTTCGTTACCATGGACTACGTGTTCTGGACCACGCTCTTGGTCTCGACATGCGTCTCGTTTCTGGTTGTGTCGTACGACATTGCATGCCAGTGGTCTGTGAACCTCTTGCGCCGTATCACGGACGGTATCGAAGCGGGATCATATTCATCGCGCTTCTGCGCTCTGATTGAGGCACCAATCCGGTTCTTTATCCCCGACTTCCATATCCACGGGCACGGTTGCAAATGCCAAACCAAATATGCGTTCCCATTGAACAGAGGAGTCGGATTCTCGCATGGCGAAACCACGGAGCAGGAGTGGGCGCATATTGGAGCCGTTGCCACTAGCACCCGTGAAATGGGACCTGCAGCTCGACATGCTACTCTTGACGACCATTGGGGATTCTGGAACTGGCGGAAGACAGTTGCGTTAGGTGAGCACGTGTTTCTCGTTGGGCTTCTCCCGCCTTTCAGGAGGAAACCCATCAGTTTCCTTCGGTTCAGCGGTGCCCTGACTTGTACTGAATTATACTTTCTCAGGGCCACTACTGCTTCGGAGCTTGACGACCGCGCTGCGATTGCAATCCAAGCATCGGAGGGTGTTTACCGAGTTCACTGCCACATTTCCCGAAGACCTCGTCGGGAAGTGGGAGGCCATGGTGCAAGAGTGGGAAGTCGATCACTCCAAGCCGGATCCGTTCATTGAACCGGAGGAATGTAAGTATTCTCTGTAATGCTGTTACGGCGCTTGTCTAACGTCAATTGCAGCGACAACGTTTGCCGCTGTTCGGGCAGAGCTGGCGGAGGAAGAAGACGTAGAAGTGCAACGCGGCGTAAAGTCTCTTCATAGGCTCACCGCTGCTACCTTTATCCGCCAAGGTCTAGCTTTGGAGGACCAGATGTACGCACGATGCATCCTCCTCACGTCTTTGTCGCTCACGTTTGTCCGATAGCAGGAAGTTGCGACGAGATGTCGAAGCAACAACTCGTGTCCCGACTGACGATGCAAGAGCCTCGCTCAAGGAGCGCCGCACCTCGCTGCGACGATTAATCCTCGCGTGGTATTCCGTGCAAAACATCTACATGCCCGGTGCAGTCACCGAGCGTGATGCGCAGTGCCATGTCAGCGAGGACGTAGAGCAGCAGTCCATCGAAGCCGAAGACCTACCCATCCTGTTACCTTCGTATTTTGGCGATAAATTGCCCAAAGACGCATGCCTAAGAGGATGCACCTCTAAGGAAGCTCGACTACGAGTGGCGCTCCTCGAAGACTCGCTGATAGAGTTACGACATCGGCGTCGAACACTTGTCGGCCTTTTGCGAAGGTACAAAATCGACGAGAACACAGGCACTCGAGGAGGCACCCGAAATCGAGAAGTTCTTGCTCGCCTCGCCGCGAAGATCGACATGGTTGTGAGTCGTTACCGCGCCTCCTATGACGCCATGACGAGATTACAACCAAATGGCGAATGGACGAAGCGCTTCCGTGAGCTTCATGACAGAGATATATGTGGCCCTTATCAGGTGGAGAACCCCTTCGCCGAAGATGCAGCGGATCGAAGGAAAAACAAGAGCAGCAGAGAGGGCGAGACCGCGTCTCGTAATCGCGAATATGCACCGTCGTGGATATGGACTATGGGCCCTATCCCGGGAGTGAGTACGCGGAGCGATGAGGCTGTCGATGAAACATCTACCTCCGAGGCTTCGGCGGAGTTCATGCGAAATGAATGGGCTCGTGAACGCGCACGCTACCATAGGGCCAATGAAGAGGTGGAGCTCAGTGTTGCGGAGATGCAGCGGGTATTGATATTCTGCAAGACGAAAGCCGCCTGGTGGGATAAGCAAGCATCCCGAAGACAGGTGATGGACGAACACCTCGGCCGCTCTCTGAGAGCCTACGCTAGACGCCAAGCATTCATGTACCGCGAGATGACTGTGGCGTACGCTTCACAGTGGAAGCCAGCCCTTGTCACCGCTGGACTCGCGAAGGACTGGATCATGTACTGGCCTACTAAGGTCTGGGCAAAGCGGAAAAGTGTGCCGTCGTTTTATTTTATTCCCCTCAACTTACAGATGTGCCGCCAGGTCCACGTATGTCCCAGCCACCTGTCGCGAGGGAACAGCAAGCTACACCATCTCATAGTGCCGAAAACGATCGTAGCACCGGTACCGAGAGCGATGACGACGACGAAGAGGAAGTAAATGAAGACTGCGCGGACGACGACGACTTTGTGGTGCTTGAAGACGGAAGCAACGAACTTCAAGCTGCTCGTAGTATTGTCAGCGACGAGATCTACGACAAGTACATACACGGCGACTCGTGATTCACGAGCTAAGTCATCATTATTACTGCCCGGCGGCTGACTTTCAATATCAGTTGTGAAGTACGCTGTCTTGTTGCTTGTACTATAGTCACTGTACATGGGGAGCTATGATAAATTTGTTTTTCAAGTTCGAGAACCTGCGCGGCTTGAGAGATGAGACATTGAGTATACAAAATTGTCACGCACAATGGGAACTACAATGACAAGATCCCAACTCCACCAGCAGCGAGGCCGGCGTACGCTGCACCACTGTCGGCATTGTTCTCGTCGACATCCCTCCATCTACGCTCGCCACCTTATCCTCGTCAACCCTGTCGATGGCTTTGGCTACCTCAACCTGCGACCACAAACACAACGACATGACCGGCACGACAAGATGCGGCCACGACGACCGCTGCGATGCTGAGCAGCGTTTCAACGCAATCCGGAAGAGCGAGAACATCGCAACGGCACAGCCCAACGATGGATTCGGGCGCACCTGCGCATGACGACCACAGTGCAGACTCGCAGTTGGCTGCCTCAGTAGTGAGTGGCACGATGAGGGGCACCGAGGACACTGGAGTGGTGGGGATAACAGGCGCCCTGTGGCACGAGCGCGGCATAGGGCGAAGCGTGCGGTGAGTATAGACACCGATTGTCGTGCCGCGAGATCGAAGAGAATGAAATCGAGGCGAATAAACAAGCCTATAGCAAGGTTTGCGAGCGGGAGGGCAAGCGGGTTGTGAAATATCCTTAAGCAATGAGTCCCGCATTCCGAGAGACGCCCTGCCACTGGGCGCCTAATCGTGTGTGGGAACTTTCCTTAGGCGCTGTACGGCGGGTGATTCCGTAGGCGCTGTACGGTACACGGGTGACTCAGAAGAATCACCCGTCTTTGCGATTCAGGGTTACCATTATAGGTAGCTACTTCTCACATTGTTGCCTTAACCAGAAATTTCTAGAGCCATCTATTGCCTTTCACGGAAGGTCAAATCGCAAAGATGGGTGATTCTCTCAAATCACCCGTGTACTGTACAGCACCTTAGGTGGTGTTTGGTTCAAGGTGACTGAGGTAAGTCACCCTGATTTAATACCAAAAAAGTAGAGTAATACTGTGAGACACACATGCCATAAATAGTAGCTTTGGGTCGCAAGAGACACACTGTGTTAGCAACGAGTCCCGCAACCCGTGTGACACCCACCCTGCCACCTGCCTAATCAGCTGTGAGAACTTTCCTTTTCCGGAACCCTTGTGCCTTGCCTCCACTCGATGTGTTCTCTGGCTGAAGCATTTAGGATTGTAGAAGTATAAATGGTGTTGACTTGTCGCTGTCATCCTTCCTTCAAGTTCATGTCACGTGTAAGTACAAAATGGGCTCAATCTCTATGATGCTAACATATAGCTAGTTGATGGTCATCTGTCGGGTAAATCGCACACTGAGCTCTCTTGAGCTCTAATCTTAGGCTGAGCATTCGACCTTGTCAGTAATAGCAAATGATCATTTCATGTATACAATATGAGCATTATTCCGTTGATACAGTTGTGTACACCTTTGTCACACTTTCATTGTGCTTTGGCGGGGTCACAGGCCTTGTCACTGTGACAACTCCCAGTGCAACAGTCAACTCCCACCTTCGGGGGAGTTGGGACATCCCCCTTGAAGTTTTATTTTTGACTCGACCGCGTGCGTAGCTACGGGCCTCCGGCCAATAGAGTAGACTTGTACACGTATAAAAGAGGTCCTTACGGCCTCAAATCATTATCTTGTTGTCCCCCAAGCGATTCGTGAGTGACCTGAGGTCATTCAAGTAAGCCTAAGTCTTTTCCGATCCACAGCTCGAAGCACGCCACAACATCATTATTCCTTCCGCCCTAAGATACTCACTCCGCTAAAGGCTATATGCAGCTGCTCTTGTTTGACATCACAATTACTCTGTCTTGGAGACATTCCCACGGTTTCTTGAGCACACCCCCACACTCACATCATCCCTGACAATTAATCAGGTTATTGTACACACTGCTAGACTACTCTAGGGACCTCCCTGAACCTACCGACCTCTGCCTGACTTTAAGCCCAGCCCAGCATGCCGGTGAGAAACACTTCTCGCATACCACACCATGGTATTGACTGATTGACTGTACTGACAATATCGTTTGTTTAGGTACCCCTTTTGCCATCGCCCGCCATCGGCTGTTGCAAACCAGACACACTGGTGACCTGCTCCATGCTTGCAGTATTGCACCCGTCCATCGCACTTGCAAATATGTGCACCTGACTCCGGAGGCGCAAGGCAACATGCGTGGAGATAAGAGATTGTGAATACCAAGTGTTAACACGAGTATTGAGCGTGGCCTTGGAACCATTGGGTGTTGAGTAGCACATATCTCAGCTGTCTCGGAACATCACAGTAAACCATTGGGTGTTGTGTAGCGCGTATCCCAGCTGCGGGTCATCTCGGAATGTGACAATGCAGTGCTGCGATGTCGTAGAGTAACAAACAGCAGGAATAGATGGGATTTTGACCAAATACGTGATTGAGCAAATGAGCAAGTCCCAAGATATCCATGACAGGATATGTTGCCCACCTCCCGATGCCCAACGCCCAACGCCCTGTCGTACTGCCAGCAGGTGAACATCAGTATGTGTGTGTTTGTACCGAACCTTGTACCTACACCTCGGCCTTGTCTCTCCCTGCTCCACATCCTGTGCGTAGGTTGATCACAGTAGGGTAGATATGGACATCACCGTCACAGGTACGATCTGACTTGTTGATTGCATCATCAAACACCACCGTTATCTATAGCCTATTTGACATGTACACTATGTCTAGTACCTCAGAATTCTCTTGTTGTACTCTAGTTCCCACATCTGAACTCCGTCAGAGTACACCAAAACCACAGCCCAACTCTGCCAGTCAAGAATCTATCCGTCATACACACCCTCAGTGTTACAACTGACGACTTGGTCTGATCTCTTAAGCATTAAGTCTTAGACATTGCCACCACACATCCACACCCACACACGATCTAGTGCATCTAGAGTATAAGCTCTCATGCCTACGTCACACGACACAGCCTAGACTACCACCATCACAAGTGCTAACCTGTCTGTAGGCATACCAATATATTACACTCTCACAGCTGGGATATAGTATTATGAGTATAGTGTGCTGACAGCACATATAGTATTATGTCGTCATATCTATCATATCACACAAAGACTGTAGTCCCACACTTGTTCTCTCAGCTATTCCCTGCTCTTGTATGATTGTGTTGTAATATTTCTCACTCCAAGCAGTGACTTGTGACAAGACTATTACAGCAGTAGATCTGACATAGTCACACAGGCATATAGTATGCACTATAGTGTACTACATGCCACCCCTGGCAACGCCGTTGAGAAGATCAACAACACTGGGGTTCATGGTTGAAGGGTACCTTCTGGGATCAGGCTGTGATGTCGTGAGATAACAAGCAACCAGAGTGCTCATTGAACAGAAAGGGTAGACATAATAACATATAACAGAACAGTTAGTATAGGTAGCACGAACGAGAGAGTGTGATGAGGATAGGGGAAGGCTTGGTGTGTGCTGTGGCATACTCAGTATATATTACATACCACATCCAGTACGTAACAAGCACCCGTAGTGTTACAGCATTGAATAATACAGCCATTATGTATCAACAAAGCTACTTATATATAAACTATAGACACATGTGATACAATGCCAAGCGTATACAGCAGCATCAGTATTTCTGTTGCCATGCTCAATTATGCCACAGCTATGATTATCCATAACTGGAGTTGGGTACATGAGACATGTGCCTTCTATACAGTGTCTACACTGAGCCATAAAACATGTTGGTGGTACTTGGTGGTACAGTGTAAGTGTGAGTAAGTTTTGACCATGTTTTGGCTATTTTTGCACACCACTGACACCATGTGTACCAATCCAATGGCGGGTTTAGAGGAATGCCTTAATATGATTACTACATACTACACACAGCATGCAGTGTGTAGTACTTGCTTGTGTTAGTGCATCAGCAAAATAGTTACCCCAAGCTCATACCAGTAGTATTTGTCAATGACACTGATTACATATGAGCCATGACTACACAGAGTGTACAGCACAAAGAATGTATGACTTACTGCACATGGCAGATATAATGATACCATGTTTACCATAATAATACTCCTCATAAGCTCCTATTGTGGTCACTTAGGCTAGGTTAAACTATTAATCTGTATTATGGGCTATATGTAGTGAATATCCACGGTATACTACAGCCTTACGTATCACATCTCATGTAGTGTCTAGTAGTATGAGTCCATGATTATACCAGTATAACAACATGACTGGATCAAATATCCTGCCCCACATGAATGTTGTATGTATGTTATGTGACATAAAAGGACCCTCTGTATGGCATGCCTCTGCTAGCAGATACTAAATAGCAATATCCAGATATCACATATCACCATGTGTAATATGGTACACTGTATCAGGTGCTGATATATCTTTGTATGCATATATCTGTGTATTACTTGCAACCAAGCACTACACTGTATGATATAGTATATCATAATACACATATATATACAAGTACAAGAATATGATTGACCACACAGTGGGTTTTTCCAGGTTCCATACATGGGGGTATGATGGGAATTGCCACAGCTGTGTAACATCAAAGGTGACCAGGGCTGGTTGTCTACAGGTTACCCCGACTTCCAGCATTTGACATTTGTTTCTCTGACAATGCCCGCTCGCTCCTCTACCACATCAAGACGGGCTGAACGTCTTCGAGCCCTTCAAGATGCTGCTACTACTCATATTCCACCTCCACCTGTCGACGCAGCCTCTGTCAGCGATTCTGCCGACAACATCGCTAAGGAGGTCTTTGGCATGACGATCGCGGACGACGGTATCAATCCGGATGCGCAACCCAATCCTTTGTGGTCACGGACCGCAGCCCTGCCTTCTTCCGCTACCCCTTCCGCCACTCATATTATGGACGCGCTGAACAATGTTATCCGGTCATCGGCTTCGTCATCTGATCCAAGTCTGTCATCTGGGTCGTCGGGAGCAGCACCTATGTCGGATGAGTCCAGGTCGTCTAGCGCTTCAGTCCCACAGGTCGAGTCCATCAAGTCTACCAAAAGTTCCACCGCGGCATCGTCAGCGTTTGCAGGGCGGTCATCGCGCTTCGATCGTAGGGCTGATAATTTAACGCATCGTGCACTCACTTGCTTGGATCGCCTCACAATCGACATATCCTCATACGAAGAGCGGAAACAGTTCTTGGAGGTCGACAAATCCCTCAACTCATATCTTGAGTTGAACGACCGTTTGAGGCAAATCAAGACGGACGTCGCCTCCATCACTCGACGGATCCCTACTGTCATCGATCGAAAACGAGGACTCGAGGAGCGGCTTGCCACGCTTCTGAGCGAACTTCAAGAATGGAAGGACGAGGTTCAGTTGGGTGCAGCATCCTGTGTCTACGATACTGGTACGATTCACTTTGCCATCCCCACCTCCTGGTCTCATCTCCTCTTGCAGGCCATCACTTCCATCGGCCTGTCGATAAACTCTCTGTCTTTTCTCAGGTACTTCTGGTCTTACTCGTCGTTTGCCACATCGTCATGGGTATTAGCCAACGCGACGGTGATTTTATCCTTGGGATTCTGTCTATCGCGATGTCCCTCCTCCCGGGTGGTTTTCATGATCCATTCGCACCTGGTCTTGGCCGCGAACTGCCGCGAACGTTGGGTGCCGCTCTGAACCTCTTCAAGCTGGACGGGCGGTTTTCGACATATGCAGCCTGTCCGGAATGCAACAAGACATATCCGCCCGATGGATCAGGTCAATATCCCCAGCATTGCGATAATCAACCTGTTCCCGGCACCAACTGTCGCGCGACCTTGCTGGACGTGAGCAGGAAGCCGATCAAGACATTCCAACACCACCTGTTCTGTGATTATCTCGCAGGCCTTCTGTCCAACCCCGAGCTGGAGGCAGCTGTTGACAACGCTTATAACTCAAGCACAGGCCGTATCTCCTCCACGCTTGGCACAATTCATGGACCTCTGGATGCGCAGTTCATCAAGAAATTCAAAGGCCCCGACGGGAAGCTTTTCTTTCTTCGTCCTCAAGGATCCGAAGGGCGTCTGCTCTTCACCCTTTGCGTTGACTTTTTCAACGCAGAAGGGTCCAACCTCCACGGCAACAAAAACTCCACTGGTATCATCGCGCTGGCATGTCTCAATCTCCCTGTTGAAATTCGATACGCCCCCGAGAATCTATATCTCGCCGGTCTGGTTCCAGGTCCTCGTGAGCCAACCCTCACAGAGTTGAACCATTACATTCGGTTCATCGTCGACGATTTTCTTGTTGGTTGGCATGATGGCTTTTTCCTGTCTCGCACTGCACTCTACGAAAGCGGTCGTCTCATGCGAGTAGCCCTAGCTAATGTTGTGTGCGATCTACCCGCCGCTTGGAAAATGGCTGCGTTAGCGCCGTCCACCTCCAGAAAGTTCTGCAACGTATGCGATTGCTGGCATCCTGTGAATCATAATGACCCGCGGTGGCGGCGTACTAAAATGGGTCGAGTTGACTACGAGCGGTGGAACTGTCGAGACGTCGCCCAGATGCGTGTTGACGCGGAGCGATGGAGAGATGCCACGTCGAAGAAGGAACAGGAAACTATATTCAAGCGAACCGGTGTACGATGGTCCGAACTTTGGCGGCTGCCGTATTGGGACCCAACTCAACAGTTGGTCGTGGATAGTATGCATTGTCTTCTCGAGGGTCTGGCTGCCTTCCATTATATCTCGTTACTTCGTTTGACGGAGCGTGAAGCCTTCGTCAAGGTTCCATACCGTCCTGCCTTTGACTTTGATTTCCAGATTCCCGAAGTCGAGGACGAGTCCCTACTTCCAGACCCCGTCCCAGCACATCCCGCCCCAGCACATCCCACCCCAGCGCATCCCGCCTCAGCAAATCCTGCCGAAGATGCGCAGGGCAACTTGCCATGGACGACTGAAGGTGTCAAGCATGTCGAACAAATACATCGCGAACTCTTTGCGGAACTCGCGGATGATGATGAGTCCGATGACGAAGACGAAGGGGATGAAACCTTTGATTCTCGAGTGGAAAGTCCTGCTCAGAACCGCCGGTCGCCGCAAGCACTGGAGAAATGGCTTACGAAGCGGCCGCTGCGGGCGCTGATTTTCGTTGCGGTGGATGACCTCAACCTCACTATCGTTAAAGGCGGCTATCGGCGAAACAAAGCCAAATACCAGAGGAACGAGCTCGCGCAGGCGCTTGTGAAATGGGTATGACATTTGATATATTGACCACCGATGCATACTAACTTATATCGTTCTTCAGCGTCTGGAGCACCCATGGACGTCCTCTGCACCACGCACCAACACATCGTACCCTGAGGTTGTGAAGAAGCTTCGTCATGTCATTAAGAAGACCACGCAGCCGTCTTGGGTTGAATCCGTGCCCCCTAACTTCGGTTCAGCTTCTGCCGGCAGTGTGAAGGCCGATGAATGGCGGACACTTTTCCGCATCTACCTTCCGCTTACGCTCATCATGATGTGGGGTGAGGTTACACCCACCGGTTCTCACCCGCTCGCATTGTTCCTTGACCACACCATGTTGCTTGTCTGTGCACTGTCTGTGGCATGTCGACGTGTCACCAGCGAAGCTATGGCAATCGCCTATCGCAAGTACATTGCCGACTACGTTCAAAACTTATCTACGCTCTATCCGGACATCCTCCCCAGATCTAATCACCACATGGCATTCCATATTTATGATTTCCTTCTCCTGTTCGGACCTGTACATTCATGGTGGTGCTTTCCATTCGAGCGACTGATCGGTCGCCTCCAGCGAACTCCTCATAACCACCGCCTAGGCGAGCTCCTCCACGCATTGTCGTGACTTCAGCTCACTACAATCTCGTCTAGGTTTCCTCGAAGGCACAGTCCACCGTGCCTTCGTCGCAGGTGGTAATTTCAAGCGCTGGCTACGCCGGTCTGCGTCTCCTCCTGCTCTTCGTGACTGCCAGGACTTGTTCCGACGACTCTACACTGCACGGCCCGATGATCACCCGGGGTTGTACGAAGAGCGATTCGCTTGCGAAGAAGAGATTGCGCCACAACAACAAGTTCCGGTTCCTGACGATCTGCAGCACCTCATACCGCGAGGCCAGAGACTTATTTTCCAACGAGCACGTCTTCGCGCGCATGGCACCATATATGCCCGCTCCAGGACTCATTGTGGCAATAGCCAGGTAGCGTTCCATCCTGGCGGCGACCCAAAAGCACCTCTTGTGCCGGGGTCAATCGAGCACATCTTTGCATCCAAGACGTCGTTCTCCTTCGCCGTTCGGAGGTTCAAGCCCCTGACTGCTGATACCTACGATCCCTTTAATCGATGGTCAGATTTTCCGGCGAAGCTCTGGTCTACGGAGCAAGAAGAGGAACTCGAGCTCGTCGAAGTGAACTCGGTGTCGTGTCAGTTCGCCAAATACCAAGTTTCGGAGGACACAGTTGTTGTCCTCCAGCTCCCTCGAGTACGTGCAGCTTGTTGCGCGATATTATCATGCTAACTCGGACTCTCCACAGTATTGATTGGTTCGGCTGGTGGTGACCTGCGGACATCTTTGGTCAGTAACATTGCATCCTGCGCACGACGTCGAGTTGCTAAAATTTTCATTTGCAATAGTATATACCATAGTTCCGTGAACATTCTACTGTATACTAGTACGGAGTACGAGCTTCGACCGCACCGTGACCGACAGCGAACACGGGACCTGCACGGTACGGAGACCCCCGTGATCGTTCCTTCATCGGTCCGACTCCGTGCGGTCCGTGAACCGTGAACGAGAATTGAGTGCGGGCTGCCTTTGGACTTCAAGTACCGGGCCGATTGGTACCTTAACCGTCATTTTAAGTACAGATTTGCATCCAGTTCAGGCTTAAACTTTGCGCGCCAACCACGCCAAAATAGGTTTCGATTCTTTAAGTATAAATCTGCATCCCAATTAGGCTTGAATTTAAAATGTTACGCTGTGTTTGCTCTTCGAATAACGATTGTCATTTCGCGACCATGTATACTATAAGCGCAGAATACAATGCAAACTAAGTTTGGATCAAAATCTTGATGATAACAAGAGATTCCTGTCAGAGTACGCGCTGGAGCTCCTAGGAGAAGCGCGGATCCCCCGGGACGGCGGTGGAGACGCTGTCGCACAAGGCAGGGAAGCAACTGAGTATATATACGAAGATACGAGGGGAAATACACATACCTGTCGCACAAGGCAGGGAAGCAACTGAGAGAACAAGTCTGGGTTGCTCCCTGGTGCGACAGGCGACTATATAGTAGATGAGTAATCCATCAACGCAACGAAAGATGGTCCAATGAGAGAAGGGGAGGGTCCTCGGGTGCCCGACACGTGACCGGTGGACCGGCCTAGGAAGGCCGGGCGAGTGCGGAGGCCCTAGGAGCGCCGAGCGACGGAACGAAATAGGGGAGATGCCAAAAGGAGGGCGCGGGAAGCCTAGGAGGGCGCGGGAGAGCGCGACCGAATAGGGAGACGGAAGTATTAGGGGAAATGAACGAAATGGGAC